TTTTGCAATGCAGTGTTGGAACAGCTGCTGAATAAGCGACACAGGACTTATGCTGAATTTTAGTTGACATATAATGTTTATATACTGTTATGGTGATGAGGTACCATCCCTTCATGACTGTATGATTGGTAATCTTTTTCTTACAGTGCATTCGTCTGGTGGATTATTATGCCCCTCTATTTTTCTTAGAGGCTTCCAAAGCTCACGCTGAAGAATTCTGCACTAAGTTTGGTCTTTGTGGGCAAGGCATTCCCATTTCACAACCTCTCTACAAGGATAAATGCAAAGTATGCCATGATGTCATTACAGAGGCTCTTCTGAAGTTGGAAGATCCTGATACCGCGGTAACTTTTGAGCAATTCAACCTGTCTATGGATAACTCGTTCTAATAGATCATGCTGCAGTATCTTCTGATGCATATATATATACATATATATATTAATTACAATGTTGATCTTCAAACATAACCACAAACATCTGCATAGAACAACACTCATAAAAAATTCATATCTGAAATATGCATTCTTAAATTCAGCTTTTCTTAGCTGATGAGTACTCAGTGGAAGCTCGTATCTGTGCCTTGTGTCTGAATTATATATTCTATGGTATTGTGACACAGATGGAGATTGTTCAGCTGCTTCTGAAGGCTTGCGACTCAGTTGGGAAAAGTGTGAAAAAGGTAACTATGTAACAACAATCATATGATGTGCTTATACCGTGTGTGTGTGTGTGTGTCACAAGTGCTTGCTTTGAAAATATTATTTCTGGGTTGTGTGTGCCCACCCGACAATGCAATGCAAAAGGGAACCATTGACCATTCCATTCCATTAAGCTAAAAAATTGTTTGTGTTGAAAATGAATGGCAGTGTAAGAGATTGGTGTTTGAGTACGCGCCTGTGATTCTTGTGAATGCGGAGCAGTTCCTGGAAGCAAACGATGTTTGCACCATACTGCATCTCTGCAATTCAACAGCTGCTGCAGGCGGAGATGGTGCGGAGGAGAAGGAAGAGGAAGTGTCAACAGCATCATCAATGCCCATGCATGCTTCCTCGTGATTCTTTTGTGACGGTGCCCTGTCATCGTTTTATGTACCATACTCAATTTGATGCGCTCTGCTCTGCTTGTATAGCCAGCCAGCCAGCCAGCCAGCCATATGATATAAGATTGTTTGATTTGATGCGTGGTTGGTCCTCCGGGGCTGGCCTGACCTTGACCTTGAGCTTGATGATTGATGCATACATACATAGTACATGTGTATGATAATATTGCTTCCACTTTTACTCTTTTAAATGGCCGGTCTCCTCCTCCTCCAATTGTGATTGTAGTTGAATATCAGGTTCAAGGTACAAAATGGCGCTGAGTTGGAGTTGGAATTGGAATTGGAATCGCAGTGGTTGTTGTATTGATGATATCAGTATTATGTCATTCGCACGCAGATCGACCTGTTCCTGCTGGTAGTTGAAAGATGGATGGATGGATGGATGGACTATCTTCTGTGCAATGATTGTGATGTGGTACATACACAACACAACAAAAACAGAAAATGGGTTTCTAAGTAGCAGTACTACTATTATATGTGATTTTGGTTGAAAAATAAAACCGAAGAAAATCAAGGTTCGTAGTGTGCAGCCGATGGCATTTCCTATTCCATTTCAGTAACTATTATTTATTTATTGATAATACCACCTTGCAACACTCTTAATAGGTTTCAAAGTTTGTTAATTTGAAGCCCAACGACAACATAAATCTAACAACGATGATTAATTTGACTGGCAGAGAGAGAGAGAGATGAATTTGATTTCATGCATGATGCATAACTCTCGATAAGAAAGAATTATGAATAGAGAGAGAGGAGGATGACGATGAGTTGGAAGGAAGTAGGAATTAGGAAAGTGGCGTGGATTACAGTCAGCTCAGCTCACCACCAGCCGTTTTAAACCTACCTGCTGCCTGCCTGCTTGTCCTTTCCTTTGTGCACTAGCGCTTCCTGCCTTCCTTCTCAAATATAACCCCCAAAATTGGGGTTGGCATTGGCATTGGCATTGGCATGGCGATAAGATCTTGAGAACAAAGGAAGGAAGGAGAAGATAAGAGAAGAGAAGCCCTCTACACCAACTAGCAGTAGTGCGGTGCTGTCTGATACCATTCATTCATTCCACAGGTCAGTCTAGTCTAATAATCCTATCTTTTCCTCTCCTCCAATCTTTTCTAGCAATCAAAGTTCTGCACCCACCCATTCTTCCTCTCCGCTCCCGCTCCCGCTCCTTTCTCGCCTTATTTTCCATACGCGTTTTTACCAGCGGACAAGAGATTGCTGCTGCTGAGCTTCGATTCTGTGTCTATTTTATTCGCAGATTTCATGAATGTATGTAGATTGAGTTTTTTTTTTTTTTTTTTTATATGAAATGTTTGAATATGAACTGAAGAGGGTTCTCCGTCCATTTTAGGTTGCGGAGATGTATCGTTCAAAACGGTGTCATTTTTGTTGATGAAATTGGATACATGCGCTTTTGAATAACCATCGAGATCGGAATCCGAACCAGACGAAAGAAAGGTCTTCAGGTTGGTTTGTCAGAAAGACGATCTCAACCCACCTCTTCCCTTCTCTTTCGTTTCCTTTTTATTTCTCTTGGAATCTGTGATTGTTTTGGGTTTGCGCGATCTCAATGTTGCTTGCTTGCTTGTTTACTGAAACTTCATTCTCATCTAGAATCACGCGTTTTTCAGTTCTACTGGCTGGCCGGTCTCCACTCCAAGCAACAGTACTAAGATCTCAATATAGTATTATTTTAAAAAAATTCTGATTCTACGATGATATTTTAATTTTGAAATTTTGATTTCCTCCTTCCCCTCTCCTTATTTTCAAGTTCAATATATAAAATACAGGGTGGGAATGCGGAAAGATGTGCTTCGCGGGGAGACGGCCAATCTTTGACTTTGGTGAGGTGGAGGAAGCCCCACCTTGTCCTGCTGCTGCTGATACCACCAGATATACATTCTGCAGTCCTATACACTTGCGCTTTCAGAGGCCAGCTTTTGGTGAATACCTTAGACGGCTAATTCCGCACAATGCTATCTGCAGCGACGATGATGGTTGAGTCAAGGTGGTGTTTTTGAACTGGTAAAACTTATCTGGGAGGCGAACAAGTAGTTAGATCTATATCTGTATCTGTGTCTTCTATCTTTGAATGGAGGAGAGTAAAGGGGTTGTGCTGATGCAAAAATATGAGGTGGGTAAATTGCTGGGACAAGGCAACTTTGCCAAGGTCTATCACGCCCGGGATATCAAGACTGGTACGAGTGTGGCCGTTAAGGTGATTGACAAGGATCGGATCTTGAGAAGGGGAATGGCTGATCAAATCGAGAGAGAAATATCTGTGATGAGACTCATCAGGCACCCCAACATTGTGCAGCTCTATGAGGTGATGGCCAGCAAGGCCAAGATTTATTTCGTGATGGAGTATGTGAAGGGAGGTGAGCTCTTTAAAAGGCTGGCCAGAGGGAAACTGAAAGAAGATGCGGCCAGGAAGTATTTTCAGCAGCTGATTGTTGCTGTGGACTTGTGTCACAGCAGGGGCGTCTATCACCGGGACCTGAAACCTGAGAACATATTGTTGGATGAAGCTGGAAACCTCAAGGTCTCAGACTTTGGGTTGAGCGCTCTTGCTGAATCCGCGAGGCAGGACGGCTTACTTCACACAGTCTGTGGAACCCCTGCCTATGTTGCCCCAGAAGTCATCAACAGGAGAGGATATGACGGGTCCAAAGCCGATATCTGGTCTTGCGGGGTGATCTTGTTTGTGCTCTTAGCAAGACGCCTCCCATTCCACGATTCAAATGTAATGGAGATGTACAGGAGAATAGCCAGTGCGGAGCTCAAATATCCCACTGGGATGTCTCCCAGCGCTTGCAGTCTCATCTCTAAGATATTGGATCCTGATCCAAACACCAGGTTCTCTATTCCGCAGATCATGGAAAACTCTTGGTTCCGCAAAGGTTTCAAATCCAGAGAAAAGAGGAGGTGTGAGGAAAATATGAATCATGCAGCGGCAGGAGGAGCCAGCAATAGCAATAGCTGCTGCGGGAATAGCAGCAGCACCGAGAACATGAAGGTGGCGGCAGCGGTTGCCTTGAACGCCTTCGATATCATCTCACTGTCGGCTGGTTTCGACTTGTCAGGCATGTTTGAGGAGGAGGAGGAGGGGGAGAAGAAAGAAGTGAGGTTCATGTCGGAGCAGCCGGCCTCGAGCATCATCTCAAAGCTGGAGGGATTAGCAAAGCGGCTGAAGATGAAGGCCAAAAAGAAGCAGGGGGGGTTTGTGAGACTGGAGAGTAGTAAGGCGGGGAGGAAAGGGGCGTTGTGTATAGAGGCTCAGGTGTATGAGGTGGCCTCGGCCCCGCCTTTCCATTTAGTTGAGATGAGGAAATCCAGTGGGGACACGCTGGAATATCTAAAGCTGCTGAAGCAGGAGATCAGGCCCTCCTTGGAAGACATCGTGTGGACCTGGGCATGGCCGGGCCCGGGAGGAGGAATGGGCCAAGGCTGATCGATGCTGGTTCACCCCACCCCACCCCACCCCCACTGACGACGATGGTGATGCTTCTCTTCTCTGCCGGTCAAGCCTAGACTAGACTAGACTAGGTGTAGGTGGTAGTTATGGATGGAGGGACGGGCGGGCGGGCATCTCTCCTTTCTTGCGACTTCCAACTTCCAAATCCAAGTGAGATGGATGGATGGATGGGCGTTTGCTTTCTATTTATTTATTCTATGAGTATGAGTGAAACAAACAATGTTAAGAAATTAAGATGGATCGGTCGTTAGTTCCATTTCCATGTTGGGCAGCAATCAAGGTACGGATGAAACCGTAAATGAAATTAAAAAAAAAACAAAGAAGGGTGCGTGTGGGGCCGCGGCACCCTTGCGACCATCAAGATCCAAGAAGCAGTTGAGTACAAAGAGACCCATCATCGTCGTCGTCCATTCAGGGTTGGCTGGCTTGGCTCTGCTCTGCTACACTAAGACGCAAATCATTACACTCTGCCAGTTGAGTACACCATTATGGATGGCGATTTTGATCTAACACCACACCACACTACATTACGCACCTGCGAATCCAATCCAATCCCACCTCTCTCTAACTATTATCATATCATATTCTAGTATATGTTTCCAAAGTAGCCAAGGGACAATGATGATGATGATGTTCATTCCTTTCCTTACCAGAAAGGCAGCAAAGCAAAGCAATATATTCAAACTACAGCGAGGGAGTAGTAATAGTAGTAGTAGTAGTATAGTAATAAATTAGTAGAGCAAGAGGGAGGGGAGGAGAGGCACAAGCATAACACTAATCATTATCCATCCTCCACCTCCCTCCCTTGGAGCTTCCATTGCAACCTCCGATCAAACATAGGAGGAATGTACTACTGCTACTAATAGTAAGAAGTACTAGCCCTTCCTCGTCCGCCTGCCTGCCTGCCTGCTGCCGCTGTTAAACATTAAATATATATACCATATACCTACCCTACCTGGCACTGGCACTGGCACTGGCACAGGCACAGGCACAGGCACAGGCACAGGAAGGCAACAAAGCAAGTATGCATGCATGCATTTGTAACTAGTTCTCCACCATGCTCCACTAAAATCTCCCTTATATAGAAAAGGAAAATAACAGAAAAAGGAGAGGGAGAGAGAGAGAGAGAGAGAAAAGATACAGTTCAGTTCGGTATTCATTACATACTCCCCCCCACTCAAAAAGAGGCCGCTGACTTCCCTCTTTCACTACAAGAAGGAAAGAGGGAAACCAGGTAGTAGTAGTAGTAGTAGTTGTTGTTGTTGTTGTATTTTCATTCAACTCTCTCCCCCTACAATCTGCCACTTTCCCTTCTTTGACTATTAGAACCTAATCATTCAAATGACCAAAGCGATTGTACATCTGGAGGGGAGTAAAGACCTCCAATGTGAGGCCTGCTCATTGGGGAATTCCCAATACCATCTCGAGACCCCCCCTGCACCGCCCAATCTTTCCTGCAAATATACAAAACCAAATCTCCAAGTTACCACTAGAAACAAATAATAATAATAATAAATCAATGACTGAATTTGGAACTGCCAATGGCATTGCTTCAGCGCATATAAGCATCCTGCTATATTGCTATGCATTAAATTTTACAGGTCCACTCTAAAAATCTGCCAGTTTTGCCATCTTTACCCAGAAAATCGAATCTGTTTGAGTGATACAAGGCTTAGTTTTTTAACTTTGCAAACATTTAAGTAAAAAGCTGTTAAATCATAAGGTTCATAAGGCAAAGACAGCCATTATAGAATTTTCTCTAGATCTTCAATATTGGCATAACACGTGAGCATGCATTGTTTTCTTATTAAACCTTACAGAAAAAAAAAAAAAAAGCATAACAAGTATTATATAACTTAGCTCCGATGTATATTTAACAGCATTCCAATAACTAAGTGTTGCCTACTAAGATATATTTCAACCAAAAAGAGAAGCTATACATAGCCTATAGCTCTTTTTGCTTCATGTTATTTAGTATTAAATTCTTAACTTCTCCAAAAGCTCATTCAAGTAGAAATAAAATCATCAAAAATCTTAAGTCCATAGATTATCCAAGTAAATTTAGACAAAAGTATCATAAACAAAAACCAAATAAAGCCCTTGTTTCTCAACTTTCTAGCTTGTTGCTTAATAACGAAATTATAAACCTAAATACTCACCAATATTAGTCTAAACTAAAATGCCATATAATTCAGCAACCACAAAAATCTACATCACACAGTTCATTATATAGTCCACATTCCAACATCAGTGCTACACTCCAAAAAATCCAACAATAATTTCACTTGCAACAGACACCAAAAGAAGAGTAGAGTAGAGTTCAGGCTGCTATCTTACTTGGACCACGAATTAGTAGCAGAGACTTCAAACTGATTGTTAGTAGTAGAGCCATCAGCATTTCCATAAATCAGGCCATGCTGAACACCATCTTCTTTAGGCTTCAGCAGAATTTGATTTTCAGGACTTAATGCTGGCCCAAACACAGTTTTGGGAAACCATGGAGCACCGGTAGTGGCAGCTCCATCATTCTGACATCCATATAGAACACTCTGAGAAGAGTGAGCACCATAAATGTTTTGCTCATCTTTCTTGAACAATGAAGCCATTGTCTTCTGTGGTACAGGATGAATGTTGTCTTCCTTGCTTGGAAAGTTCATCTCTGGATGCAGAAGCCAGCTAATAGGCCCACCAACTAAACCAAGACTATCTTGTACAAGTGGAGAGCTGTTCCACATTTGCCATGTTCCACTGTCACTAATATTATTAGGATTACCCTGAGCTTTAGGAGTTCTAGGGAAAGGAAAAGAGCTGGCATGCCTTTCGTCTGTAACTCGTGATCGAGACAATGGAGACTCAATTGGTGATGGCTTGTTAACTTCGGAAGTTGTAACATTAGTCCTCACAGAAGATGGTTTTCTCATTTCAGTATCTGCCACAAAGCCTAGGTCCAGCTGAAAGTTTTCAAGTGATTCAGAAACAGGTCCAAGCAAGGATATGGGATCTGGGACATAACCGTGATCTGGAGTATAACAGGGGTCATCAAAAATCTCAGACTCCGGTAAAAATTCATGTGGTGCACCTTTCATTATAGGAAGCAAGGGTTCGGAGGATATTGGAAGAGTTATATTGCTAGTGCTGGATCCTAAAGAAAATGAAGGTAAGCTAAATGGTGATGACAATCCGATATTGATTGGATTGTTAAACGATTGTGTAGAGGTCAGCTGACCGGAAAACGGTGGACTTTGAACTTCTGTTTTACTCTTTCCTGTTGGTCTGCTGATGACATTTGAACTAGATGGTGGGGAAATGGTAGATGAACGAGTAAATAGTTGTTGCCATGACTTTTTAGGTGCTGTACATTGTTGAGCATCAATGAGCACCTACAGGTAAACAAGTCATCAATATGCTTAATATAAAAATGGAGCAAGATAATAATAACTGCAATTAGATTTACTCTATCCTAACAATGCCACACTAATGTAACACTTTCATGCAGCCTTGCAAAGCATAAGTTGAAAAATGCAGCAAACACATTACAGAGCACTATGAGAAGGGAAAAATTAAATATATACTCGCATCTAAGCACAGTTATATCAAGTGACGGCATATTATGGAGGTAACACTCTGATGGGAACAAAATATTTGCTAAACATAGAAGTCAAGCCATCCACAAATTGTTCTAAACCACTCCTCTCAGAAAAGAGAGGATTGTTGAAAGACTTCAGAGTAAATTAAACTTACAGGACGGCTGGCACTTTTATCATCTCCAGTTGTGGCTGATCTCCCTGAAGCCCGGTCAGTCAGCAGTATATCTTTCTTGTGTGTAGAAGTTTTAGCATTTTCTATCATTGTGTTAGGCTTCAGTTCCCTTGAAATAGTAGATGCATTAACACCCTTTCCAAAAAAACTACCTCCAGCAAATGCTCTGGAAGAGGACAGAAAGGTGCCCCTCATGCGATCCAAGTATCTAGTTCCAGCATTCCCCCTGTTATGATTACTTACTGTAGCACCCTTAAGTCCATATCCACCTTCTGGAGATTTCATACTTTCAGGCGTACTTCTGCTTTCCCGCTTATCATTTTCACTTTTCTTGCTTCGCTCACTCTCCTTGGTAGATCTCTTTTCCAATTCCTCAGCATCAGAGTTGCTTTTACTTGACCCCCTATCTTTTTCTTTCTTTCTCTCTTGCCTCTTTCTTTCAGAATCCTTCTTGCAGTCCCTTTCCTTAGCTTGCTGAGATCCTTTACCACGCTCTTTTTCAGCTTCTGTTTTCTCATCTCTCAATCTCCTACGTTCTTCAACCAACCTAGCAACCTCTTCTCTCTGCTTTCTTTCTTCTTCTTCCAGTAGCTCCCTCTCTAGTCTAGCCTGCCTTTTCTCCTCAGCTTTTCTACGAGCTTTCTCCCCCCTACTTTCTTGACCATGTCCACCATTTTCACCTCGGTTATCCAACATTCCTCTGCTTTCTGTATCAACTGAAGCATCATCTCTGGAAGAACTAAATCTAAAAATCTTTCTCCAAAGCCATGCAACAGAAAAGAACATTGCTGTTAATGCCTTGCAAGCAAAAATAAAAACACGAGAATAGGATTTTTCCGCCAAACAATGGTCATCATCCCCACCAAATAAGACACCACCATTTTTCTTTATGTAGCTCGACTTCCCAGCAAAAGCCCCACTACCCCAATTCCCATTCTCCAGCCAGTCCTGCCCACACAACCACCCATTATCCGACCAAGCCTTCCCGTTTAATATTTTCCCACCCTTCCCAACAATATCCTTCAAAATCCCGGCGTTACTCATCCCAGGTGGCACAGGCAAATCTAAGACTGGCCTCTTCGAGATATGGCCACAGTAGGAGCACATGAACTTACCCCCGCCAGGATTCTGATCCCTATATGCAGTCAAACAATTCCTACATCTCCTGGTAGCAGTCTTCCTCAATTTCTGCATTTCAATAGCCTCAGACCTCTTCTTCTCCCTAAGCCTAGCATTCCTCCTGATCCGCCATGCTGACAGTTGAGGCATCAAAACCTCGTACCAGAACAAGGTTACCAACAGAACGAGGACACAAGCAAGCCTTGGAGACGTGATTTCAAACCGGAACGCAGGGGGCAATAGCTGCGACAGAGCCCACAGCCCAATAAGTGGAATTACTAGCCACGGCAACATGGTAGCAATCCTCCGGGACCACTTCTGGATCACACAAAGTATACACATTATCCTCCTTATTGCAACCTCTATTCCCCAGTCTTGAACACAATCGATCTCAAGTTCCCAACGCGAATTAATTAAAGAATTTCCCAAATCCTTTAACAAGTGATGGAAAGAACCCTACCCTCTCAACTTGTTGTTCGGTCCGAAATGCAATGGCAAATATTGGCTAATCCTCCAAACCCTAGAGGAGCAATTTAGGTGGAACTCCTAATTAGCAGAAGAAACGAATAAAATCAACAAAGAGAGCCTCCGAAACCGAAAAAATCATTGATTAGGGTATCGGAACCGTGTTTAATTGAAGCTTCGAAACCTAGATAACACGAAACGAATAATAATCAAGAAAAGAAAACGGAAGAGAGGAAAAAAAAAAGGGGGGGGGGGGGGGAATGAAATGCAGTTGGGGGAGGGGGCGATACCGGAAGAATCAGAGGAGGAGGCGACGGCGGAGTACCGGACGGCGATTCGTTGATCCTGTGCGAGAGAGAGAGAGAGAGGGATTTGACGTAGAAAATGGAGATAAGAGAGAGAAACATGGAGGGCTCGTTTCCAATAGGGGAAAGAGCCACCCGGGCGGGGGTTTGTGTTTGAGATGAATATATAGGAACCAATTAGACCGACTGATTTGGTGGTGAGCCGGATGGAACCGGGTTGGTTGGGGACGTGATTGCTGTTGCCGATTGTGAGCGGGTTGGTTGGGTGGTCTTGAACCTGAATTTGGGTCGGACGACCAGGTGAGTCCAACTTGGTCGTGCCTTCCTTTCTGAATAACGGTCTGTTTATTTACAATTTATACGGTATTTCCTCCCTCTCAAGTTTATTTTTCTTTTTTATTTTTTTTTTCTCCTCTCGTCACCTACAAATCTATTTTCTTCTTCTTTATTACTGTAATTTATTTCATGAATCATTGTGAATAATTTAGTGATCTTAAAGATAAAAATCAATTTAAACTCTAATATATTAACTACAAAAACATCATATGTGCATCATCAATCAATAACCAATAGCAGTGATTGAGAACAACGGCAATGGGAAAAGAAGAAATAGCCTTGTGCAACTTACGTGTTAAGGCTATCCATACGTACTTGGGATGGAACCACTGTTGAACCGTGCAATATGTGCAATAATTTTACTTTAAAAGATAATTTTGTATCATATACAAAGAATGGAAAGAAAAAAAAAAACATATTTTTTACATCAGTCACATTTCCCCTCATTTCAAACCCTTCAAAAGAGTGCTCCTTTGCCATAATCCTTTTTCTATATTTCGATTTTGGTTCTGAATCGATCCTATTGTTTGTTTTTTGTTTTTTCATTCTACTCGTTTTTGTGTTGGATTTCTTTAAATTTTTTGAAATTAATTGAACGAGCTCTGTAGAAATTAAAGTTCAAGAGAGGCTAGATATGACTTTTGCACAGACGGACAGAACGAGAAAAAAGAGAATGAAATAGCGAGGTGAAGAGAGAATCTAATTTTGGCCTCAACTAAACCTCTACTCCACGGAGTGAGGGGGACGGCCAGCCGAAATTTTGCACGCCAAGAAATAGCAGTTTACATATGTCATATTTTGAAAAGAGTATTAAAAATGAAGGAAATATATCTTTAATAAACCAGATGCATTTGCTCTAAATAAATCCAGATAAGACAACATACTACAATTGAGCCTACAAAGTGTATCATATTTCTTTCGTTGCATATAAAAATAACAATGTATCATACTTCTTTCATTAAGTATAAAATATATATATATATATATTTTTTTTTCATTTTGATCAATTTCATATAATTTGTTTTTTTTAAATAAAATAAATAAAATATGATACATTTTAATTATATTTTAAAATTTATAATCTATATTTGTCTTAATCTTACTTAAATTATTTTAATTTTAATCAATAATTATTTGTATTATAATATAATTATTTTTACTAATATATACTTTGTTTTAGTATTTACTAATTATGCTTATCATGAATTGAGATGTATAGTAATAAGAATACTTTCTTTAATCTTCAAATTGTAAAGAAACTTTCTTTGTAAGATAGGATTGTCTATACATATAATATAATAACTTTGTGTTTACTTGTGAGGTTTTAGTTTTGAGTTTTGATTTTGAATAGTAAAATTTTGAATTAAAATAGTTGTTTGATGCGATATAAATATGTGTTGATGTGATGTTTTGAATGTAAAATTAAATTTTAGTGTAATAAAATAAATAAAAATTGAGTGTTTGATTTGATTTTTTGGAGAAAAAAAAAAGTTAGAATAGTAAAATCAGGTATAAAACCTTACAAGTAAACACACCTCACTTTGTTGTTGAAATACAATATTTCACGCAAAAGAAAATTGAATTACGTTTATTGTCTTTTTATTAATTTTTTAATTGACTATTATCTTGTTTTTTCTTCAATATCAATTCAAAATCTTTGCTACGTAGGTAATCTTCAAACTATATGTTGTAGAATTTGAAATCGATCTTATTGAATTCATCTTGATTCTCATTTGACTGGAACATATAATTTTAATGTACATTGTAAGAAAAAATGATGAAGATCAAAATAATACACACGAAAGACAATAATTTAGTGACTTGGTTTACAAAATGGCCAACTCATATATCATTTTTGTTTTTTCACAAATTTTTTTTTTTTTTTTTTCTTTTTCTAAATGCAAAAACAATTTTAGATTCTAGAAGTTCAAAATAATAAAGATCATTATTATGATAGTTTATCTGCTTGTTATCAGTCCATCACCTGTTATTCCATCTTTTGTTTTGAACCCTAGTCTCAGATTTCAATTGTATGAATTTATTTATTTATTTTGGGCATCTTAAATTATATCTAGCATTTTATAATATATATATATATTTGTTGGGTTTAACTTATGTGTTTCATAATATGTCTATATATATACAGATAGATAAGATAACCAGCAAGTAAAGTGTTGGAGGTAAATGATAATGAAAAAGCAAAAAACAAGCTGGTCCACCTTGTTAATCAATTAATTCATTGAGAAGGAGCCCATGCCAACATGTTGTAGTGTATTTGTATTTGTATTTGTACCCACCCACCCACCATCCCTTTAAGATAATAATATCCCATAATATCCCATGCCAACTCTCATGCTTATCGTCTTCTGCCTTTCTTATTACATATGATATGATCAGATCACACGACGACAGGCAGTCCCACCCACCAATCGACGACATTTGAATATATATATCTCAAACTCAAACTCAAACTCAAACACGGCAGGCGTGCAGATGCAGCGATTCCCAATTCACTAATTAATTCATTCATTCATGCATTGCAAGGCATCCTCTCCTGTCTCCTCCATACATCAATAATACTAGTATTCATTGGCAACAAAAACACAACCCCTATGTTATACTAGTATTTATATAATTAATACTACTATCTATATATATTCTTCATCATCATTATTTATTATTTTTGTTACATACTATCACATTTGATCCAAATTTGGAAAAATAAGGACGTCATCAGGGAGAAAAAACATAAAATGCGCAATGTAAGATAAGATTAAATATATCCAGCATCAGGTTTTAATTAATTAATTACAAGTTGATTAAAAAGAGGATTTGGTTTGGTTTGGTTTGGTCCGGTCCACTTTTCACAGCTCATACTGCTTTCATTCTTTGTTGTTTTGAATTTGATTTCCATATCCTTCCTTCCTTCCTTCCTTCCTTCCTCGTAAGAAAAACGAAAAAGTCAGTCGGCAGCAACGAGACCCCAATTTCCATTTCTAACAGCTCCACTCCCGTCCAATTCCAATTCAACAAATTCCCATTTTGCTCTCTCCTCCCGCTGATGGCCGTCTCGCACGATGCCTTTCCGGCCAGACGCCGCCGCCCCTCCTCCTCGGAGGCTTTCGTCGCTCTCAATTTCTCAGACCAGAGGCTCCTCCGATCCCTGTTTCTCCTCTCTCAGGATATTTCATCCCTGCACCCGCTCGGGATCCTTCTCAAGGAAACCTACGCATCTACCCTCAGGAAATCCAGGCTCATCTCAATCCTATTCGAGGAACTTATTCGGAATCCGGTAAATATGCTTCCGCCTTCTGCGTCTTTGTGCTTTGAGGAATTGTACTTAGTTTTGCAGCGAATCAAAATATTATTGGAAGATTGTTCCAGCTGCAGCAAAATGTGGCTGCTGATGCAGATTCCTTCCATTTCCAGTTCTATTCATCAATTGATGGTCGAACTATCAACGCTCTTGGATATTTTCCCCGCAAAACAGCTCTACTTGAACGAAGATGTTGAGGAATTGCTTAATTTGATTAAGAAGCAATGTTCACAAAACGCTCGTGTGGACAGTAGTAGTAGTAGTAGGGATGATACGGATGGCGAAAATCTGAGAGCCCAGGTTCTAACCATGTTGGAGGGTATTAAGAAGGAAATTGTTCCGGATCCCTCGAGCCTTTCTGAGATTTTCGAGAGATTAGATTTAAGTGACTCCGCAAGCTGCAGCCGTGAAATTGAGAATCTCGAAGATGAGGTTCAGAATCAAAGGGGCGACGACAAATCAAAAGCAGATGCTGTTGCTCTCATAGGGCTGGTGCGCTATGCAAAGTGCGTGTTGTACGGCGCGTCGACGCCTAGAACCGGCGGCGGCGGCATCAGGCGGCAGAAGTCGGCGGGGGAGGTGAGCTTCCCGTCGGATTTCCGGTGCCCGATTTCTCTCGACTTGATGAGAGATCCGGTGGTGGTGTCCACGGGACAGACGTACGATAGATCGTCGATAAACCTGTGGATCGAATCGGGTCACGCCACGTGTCCGAAGACGGGCCAGACGTTGGCCCACACGCAGCTCATCCCCAATTTGGCTTTGAAGAATTTGATAGGCATGTGGTGCCGCGACCAGAGGATTCGCTTGGAGGAGCAGGGGCAGGAGGAGTCGTCGACGGGGGCCAGCGGCAGAACCCGCCGCCGCAACAAAACCGCGTTGGGAGCAACCAAGATGACTATTTCCTTTCTGGTGAGCAAGTTGAGGGCGTTCGGAGCGCCGTCGGAGGCGGCGGCTGATGCTGATCGCGTGGTTCATGAGCTGCGCGTCTTGGCCAAGACCGACTCCGACAGCCGGGCTTGCATCGCCGAGGCTGGAGCTTTGCCTCTGCTGGCCAAGTTCCTGGGCTGCGCCGGGCATCCCAGCCTCCAGATCAATGCCGTGACGGCGATTCTCAACCTCTCCATCCTGGAGGCCAACAAGGCGAGGATCATGGAGGCGGATGGAGTGGTCAACGGGGTGATTGAGGTGCTGAGATCGGGGGCCACCTGGGAGGCCAAGGGGAATGCCGCCGCTACAATCTTTAGCCTGACGGGGTCGGGGGATCATTCTTCTTCTTCTTCCTCTTCCACTTCCTCGTACCGGAAGAGGCTGGGGAAGAAGGGGCGGGTGGTGAAGGGGCTGCTGGATCTGGCGAGGCAGGGGCCTGGGAATGCCAAGAGGGATGCCATGATGGCAATACTGAATTTGGCGGGAGACAGGGAGGCAGCAGGGAGGCTGCTGGAGGGTGGGGTGGTGGATGTGATTGGGGAGGCAATGGATGATGGTGAGGAGGAGGAGGAGGAGGTGGAGGCTGTGGCGGTGGCGGTTCTAGAGATGGTGGTGAAGAAGGGCGGGCTTGTGGCCATCTCTGCGGCCTATCATGGGAACATGGTGAGGAAGCTGGGGAAGGTGATGAGGGATGGATCGGATAGGGGCAGGGAGAGCGCAGCGGCGACGCTGGTGAACATGTGCCGGAAGGGGGGGGCGGAGATGGTGGGGGAGCTGGCCGCAATAGCAGGGATCGAAAGGGTAATATGGGAGATGATGGGGGGCATGGGCACGGAGAGGGCCAGGCGGAAGGCTGCGACATTGCTGAGGGTCCTGAGGAGGTGGGCGGCAGCCGGATTGGTAAACGAGGGTCACCAGCACCAGCTGCAGCAACACCACTCTGTTGTTGTGAGTCCTGCTTCTGCTTCAACGAGGATAGTATTGCCAGCTGCTTGAATGAACATCAAGGAAGGAAGTTAGGGCTGGCTGGCTGGCGTTGGCTGGTTGGTTAGTTCATTTTCATCTTCATCTTCATCTTCATCTTCATCTTCATGAATTAATAATTATATTGGCTTTTTCTCTTCATGTACGTTACCATCCATGCGTTCGTTCGTTCTATATTATTTGGTAGCTAGCGTAGCTTAGCTTAGCTAGCCGCTGCATTCATCCATTCTAGTATATACTAATTTGCTTCTTTTACACTGCTCTCAAAATTGTGTATATGCATTCCTATTAATTGTTATTGATTCATTCACTTGTTGCCTTGCCTTACCTTAAAAACTGACAACCTGTCCCAATCCATTTTTCTTTTTTTTTTTTTTTTTTTTTTTTTTGTTTTTAACAAAATTCGCAACTCCTATTCGGCAAATACAGTCGAATTTAATAGTCTGCAAACTAGGCCCAATAAACAAGCTAGATGAATTATTCTTTAATTTATTAGCAATGGATCATAAATACTTGTATGATTTATTATTTTTCTTTAGATTTTAACTTTAGATATAACCTTTTATATTATTTTCTTCCTCTTTCATCTATTCATTTACCCATCATTATAAAGTATTATAATTAGTATATACTATTGATTCTATTTTATATGCACTATAAATTTATATATAATATATTGTTTGATATATATTATTAATACTCATGTGAATTATGATGATTTTTATTTACTTCATAGTCCTTTTCAAAGATATTTTATGTATTTATATATTTTTTAGTAAATATATATTTTGCTACACATTAAAAATATATTCAAATTTATATTTATTTATATCAATATAATTACATTAATTTTGATATACATTTAAATATGACACATACCAATCTAAAATATACTCCGTTAGTCATCCAAATATATGATCAAATGTTTAGACATAATTTTTTAGTAAAACAATTAATTATTATGTTTATAGTGTAAAAATTCAAAAAGGAAAATGATGCACATTTTACTAAAGAAGCAAACAAAAACATTTTTTTAAATTTATTTATAAAGTGAATATTTGATTAATGTATTGAGTAATATTTATTTGATTTTACGCAAAAAAAAATAAATAAAATATCAAGGAATAGTATTTCAAGATTAACTCATTCATAAATTTAAGAGGTTGTTTGACTATTAATTTCTTCAAAAACTTTGACTTATATAACGATTTTTTATTCATTTGATCGATCAAACAATCAAGTATTTGATAAATTCATTTATGAAAGAGTTGAAGTTTGCAAAAATTATACTATAATTCTGTTTCAAATTATTTTTTATTTTAATTTTTACTAATTTTTGGAATATATTTATATTTTTACTAAATTTTAAGTTTATTTTTACAAATTAAAAGTAATTAAAATTTTTATTTTTTTATTTGTAATATATAAATAAAGTTATTAAAATTCAGTTAAAATAAAAAGCATAAATATTATTATTTTTTAATATGTTTTTTTATATAAATTTTATATTTAAATGAATAAAATAAAATAAATTTATTAAAAGTATATATATAATAAATTAATGGCTAATATATGGATTAGGAAAATCAATTTATTAAATCAGCTAATAATTAAATGAATCAATTATAAGTTAATAGTCAAACACTTTTAAATATATTTAAAATAAAATTAAAGATAAATTGTATTATACTCCACTATATTTTTAGTAAATATATAAATATCTTATATTTTATTATATTAGGTAAAACTCCAGTATTAAATTACAATTTCCTTTTTTTGTATAAAAAAATGTATGATTATAAATAAAAATACAAATTTTATACAAATAAAAAATTTAAATATAAAATCAAAAAATTACTAAATAATTGATTAATAAATATATTAATGAAAATAATTATAAATTAAAATTAAAATAACTAAATAATTTAATTAAAATTTAAAAATTATAAATTATAAATTTTAAAATATAATAAAAACATATAATTATATTTTAGAAAAAAAATAATTATATAAGAGTACGACAAAAATAGAAATAGGATATTTGAATTGTTTTTGGTTTTTTTTTTTTTTTGCCGCCTGAAAGTACAAACCCGGTCGAACGGACAAAAATTACTCACAGTGTCACACCTTTTGTTACCCTACATGTGGGTTTCTCTTTATGTAATGCAGTTGGGTTGGCTATTGATACAGTTTTGGGCTTTGTTCACTATTTCAATTATGGGCTAGGCCCATCGGATACCACACATAAACCCTTCTAGCATTTCTTCTCTCAACCAACATCCACGCGCTCACACTTCTCAGTCTCACACGCAGTCACTTGGACTATTTCGCTCTTTCCCGTCTGCCTGCTCTCACTCTTTCCGTCTACTTGTTATGCTTCCGTAGCTCTTGTTTTTCACAGGTTCCTATTGGTGTTGGTGATGCTCGTTCCTATTTATGTGTGCTATTTGGGTGTACAAGTTGATATCGGAGTTGTAGCAGCGAGAGCTTCACACTGCTGCCTTGAACTTAAAATCCGGTGATTTATGGTCGTATATATCTCATTAATGACTCCTTACCTCTTCGATTGTACAATTTTCATTTTATCTTCGATGCGTCTGTTATAACACGTTATTGTTTACGCCTCCTTGAACACCGATCCCTTTAGACGAGAGATTTTTTGTAAGTTTTGGAATTTTGGTTGCAGTAAAAAAGTAAGTATATGATGTGATCTTTTACCGGACAGAATAATATATCTGATTTGACGTTTTTGAAAAGTTTGAATACTAAGAAAGACTCCAAAACTGTTGTAAACAGCTGCTCGGTTTGCCTCAATCACTTTGCTGTGGAACCTATGCTTTATGTTTAGTTTTAAAACACACACATACTACATATAATATAATTTGTGGAACTTACATCCTAGCTAAGATGACGAGCATGTGTTGATACACACCATATATCATACACGTATAGATTAAGATTTATTCGGTTGCTTCCAATTTTCTTTGCAATATCATATATTGAAGATAATCAAGTTATTAATTTAACTATTTGTTGATTTATTGAACCATGCATCATATATTGAAGATAATCAAGTTATTAATTTAACTATTTCTTGATTTATTGAACCATGCATTGTATATGGAATTTTTTTATTGATTAATGAAACTTTTATGACATTAGTGGACACAAGAATTTATCTCAAACCTACCTTCTAAATTTTTTTGAGTTGTTTTTGATATAAGATTTGACATCAAGCTGTTTTTGAAGTAAAGATTTTGACATCAAATTCACAACAACGGTATTTACAGATAGAAGTTCCTGCACCTCGATCATGAATAGTATACATACATACATATCAAATCGATCTATGCATCCACCCATCTCACAAATATTATATAATCGATTTGATTGGGTTTGAGTACCGCTTGAATATATGTATAAATAATAACAATAATATTATATTATTGCATCATCAGCATCAGCTGTGTATCTGTTTGTATCACTGCAGGAACACTGATCACTCACCTGGTGATGGTGGTGGTGGCGGCCCAGCCTATATGCTCAAGTGCCCCAACTGTGTTGAACAAGCGCCTCTTGTTTATTTCCTCTACAAGTTTTTGATGCAGCAACTGGCTATGAATGTTTACCATCGACCTGCTTCTTCTAACCATTTGTTGATGATGGTGGTGGTCGTATTGATGATGATACCCTCCTTGTCCCTTGATCACTTTGGCCTTGCTTGCCGTTGCTGCTTCAGGGCAGAACCTTGTGCATTTCTTAACCTTGGAATTGATGATGCCTTGGAAGAAATATTCTTCATCCTCATTTACTGAATAATCAGAGGGGTAACTTTTATTGGTGCAAAATGATGATGCGCTCTCAGAACCGTAATGGTCATGGACAGTTCTAGTACTTGCCTCCGCCTCCTCCTCCTCCACCTCTAGTTCTGCTGCATGAATCACAACTCACAAGTATTATTGTTCTTATTCTTCTTCTTATTATTATTATTATTAAGACAGTGCAGTCATCGTCAAAAAGACCTGCTGGCAATGGCATCAGGGAAGCCTGGGAGGAAGAAAAAGAAGACGATGACACTGAGATTGCGTAGAAATCTGGGTGGGGAGGGATGTTGTTGTTGCTGTTGCTGTCATTGTGGTCGTCATCATCATATTTGAAACTGTGCTGCTGGAGGATTGAATTTGAATTTGAATCTGAATCCTTCCATGTCCAGTTCCAGGAGGGAACCAAGGCGGAGATTTCTTCTTCAATCATATTTGCAATCTCAAATGGCTCCCAATCTTCTATCTCTAACTCCTCAACCATTTCTGCTGCAACCTCCAACGAAGTGTCACTCGTGATGTCAAATGGGAAGTACACATTTCTTCGAGGACCTGATCCATCTCATTAATTCATTATCGTCACAAGCATGCATGACATGACATCCCATGATCATAATTTAAAAATCTCATCAGGTGTTTTTGTTTTAATTAATGTCACATTACATTACAGTACAGTGCTACTACACATACCATCTTTATGGGAGATCTGCACTTTGAGATAAATGGCGTCATCCTGTGGATTCATAGTCCCTGTGATTGACATGGCAGTGGCAGTCGCAGTCGCACTTGCAGTGGGAGATGATACCATAGCGCAGGCTGCTGCGGGAGATTCTTCGTCAATGGAAAGGAAGGGGTCCATCAAAAGTTCACGAGCTGATGGCCTCTCAGGAGCCTTCTCCAAGCACCTACGCACAAACCTCCGAGCCTCACCATCATTGATCCTGTAAAATGCTTCTGGCAGCTTTGCCTATTATCATTATCATTTATATGTATATTACTGCTAGTTAGTATATCATCGTATCATTTGGCAGTAGATCGATGCATGCATGCAATCCCTAATTTATAATAGTATAATATACTAATGCCATGCATCCATCCATCCTTACCGATGTCACTTTCTTGTATATTTGTGCAGGGTTCGAACACTCGTTGTATGGATACTCACAAGTAAGCATCTCCAGAACGCACATGCCAAAGGAGTAAATATCCACGAGCTCATCATAGTCCTCTTCGTATAGTTCTGGTGCCATGAACTCCGGCGTACCTATGACACTGTGGGCATGGTGCGATCCAACAAGCATGGCTGCTAGCCCCAGGTCGCCAATCTTAACTTGGCCAAGATGGCCATTGACAAAGATGTTGTCGCACTTGAGGTCCCGGTGGATCACCGGAGGGTCGTGACTGTGCAAGTAGTTGAGACCCTCCAGAATTTGGCGAGCCCAGTCCTTAATTGCTGCGATGCTGAGGCGCTGATATTTCTTCCTGTACTCTCGGAGGGTGCCGGAAGTAAACATCTCAGTGATGAAGTTGAAGGTGGTGCGATGGGGGTCAACCCAGGAAGCGTGAAATCTCATGATGTTGGGGTGGTTGAGGTTGTTGAGCAGGTGGATCTCAGAATACAGTCTCTGCAGCTCTTCGGGAGAACCCAAAGCATCGTTAAGTTTGACCAGATTCCATGCTACTTCCATTCCCAGGAGCTCATCGAATGCCCTATACACACTCTTCTTTGCTCCCTTCCCCAGTACATCCTTAAACTGCAACAACATGTACATATATATTAACCATCCGTGAACTAACGGAACCCCAAGCCTGCCTGCCTGCAGCTGCAGACAACTACGAATTAATTGTTGAAGATATAAGTAAGTAGGACTTACACGACCGTATCGTTGCCAAGGATCCATTTCTACGTAGTACTGCAGCAGCTTATTCTTTCCAGCATCGACCAAGACCCGTGGTTTATGCATGATAATTTAATTGATAGTTTGAAATCCAAACTGCAGTAACCTTGTAGATCGATTGATATTGATTGGTCTAATTGATTACGTACAGAAATTAAAAAGGGTCGAGCTACGGACTAATGTATTGTAATGTAACGACTGGTGGTATGTATGTGTGTGAGTGTGCGCGCTGTGTTGTTGCTGGTACGGTAGGATGAATATATCAGCTAAGCTAGGAAATTGGAGGTTTTCCTTCGTGATTCTCGTAGGAAAAGACGCGAAATAAGAGCCAAAAGAGCCTGGAGTAATCAATATTTCGGAGCATGGTGATGATGGTGACGGTGGAAGCCAAAGCGATTTCCAGAGCTGCTGCAGCTGCACGTGATGACGAGTGGTGGTGGTAGTACAAGTCCAAGTCCCGCAGAGAAGCCATTTCAGGTAGAGGTACTGGGCTCATCTCATGAATTACGTACTACTGGTAATTATTAGAAAATTAAAAAGCAAAGAGTGAAATAAGAAATAGCTAGAGGTGCAAATTATTGGATTGGACTAGCTAGCAAGGGATGAGTAAGAAGAAGGAAGCTGCTTATAGGAAATAGGAAATTAATTAGATGAACGCAATGACTAGTTAATTATATTGTTGCAGTGGAAGTGGAAGTGGAAGAGGGCGTGGGGAGGGAGCGGTTATAGAAAGAGGGATTCTGAACTTGAAGAATCTGTGGCCGCGTTTGGGAAGTACCATTTGTGTAATTTCTTCGATAGATAGATAGATAATTAACTCACTCACGGTACGGTACTGCCAATTGGAATAGCAGCAGCAGAGGATAGTTAGGTTGTTGGTGGCGACGATGGATCGATAGCAGTAGCAGTAGCAGTAGCAGTGCGGCGGTAATTAATGAAGACGAGAGCACAAGAGAAAGAAGGCAGGGCAAGTGGAGTGGAGACTCTGTCTCTATGGCGATCGAATTAATTAGTTGGCTTTTGGCATTGGGGTTTCGGCTTTTCAGCTCTTGGCCGGCCGTCACACTAATAATAATAACAACAAAACAATTAGTTAAATGTTAATTCACAATATTGATCAGATTAATAATATTGGAGACAGACAACGGCTGAGATAGGTAGATCGAAGGAGATGGTGACTAGTTACTTGTTAAGTCTGTTGGAAGAAGAAGAAGAAGATGATGATGATGTTGATGATGATGATGTTGTGTTGCATATAGCGTTGACACTTTAAATTAAGTTGACATTGCTTGCTTGCTTGCTTGCTTTGATGATGATGGCGGTGATTGTCCTCACAGACTAATCGAAATAGTTATACGATGCTATATAAACAGGTGATGTTGAGGTAATGCTATAAAATACGATATTAAATTAATATTTTTTTAAAAAAAATTAATAAATAGTAAAATTTGAATAAAAACTCACAAAAAACACATTCACATCACTAGTCTAAGTTCTTAAGTGAATCAATAGCCTGTGAATTTGACTCAGATCGATTCAAGTTCGTTTGTAAACATAAATGAATCAAGTCGAACAACATAAATAGACTTATTTGTTAATGAAGTCCCAATCTTATTTGCTAATATTTGTTAAAAAATAAATATATAAATAAACTATTATATATATGAATTTTAAAAGCAAATAAATATAATACTATATATGAATTAATTAATAAATAAAATATTATATATATAATTTTAAATGTAAAATAAAAAATAAAATAATATATAATATCTATTTAAACGAATTCGAACAAATTTAATCGAACCGAACATGAGTACAAATTGAATAATAAAATTTTTAACAAGCGAGTTTAAATATTTGACAATCGAACAAGAGTTTTACTTGCTAATATTAACGAACGAATACAAACACTTAAATCTGATCCATTCAACTCGTTAACGACCCTAATTACTAGCTTAGACTATCTCCAACTCATAACTCTATTTTTGCAGGGTCTACAGTACATTTCTTCATTTTTGCATAGGGTCTAGCTTAGTAATTCATCTTCAACCATACCCTTCATTTTTGCAGGGTTTAAAAATATTCTCTTTATATTTTATTTTACATAATTTTTAAAATTACAAATAAAATTTAATATTTTATTATTTTTATACATTTAAGTTATAATAATATTTTTAATTAATATTTTAAATATTATACTGATAAATTATATTTATTAAAAGTAGCAAAAATAAAATAAAATAAAATATATAAAATATAAGCTTAAAACAAAACAAAATAAAATAAAATATAAAAATATAAACAAAATAAAAAAAATTAATACAACTTTTTATTTTGTTGATGATATCTAAAAAATAAAAATTAAATAAATATAAAAAATGAATAAATAAATAGGTAATTATATAAATAAATAGATAATTATATTAAAAAAAAATTCACCCGCTGGAATCGGCCGGTGAATTCTGCAACATTACAGGGTGGATTGGAGCGATTTTTTTCTCCCCACCCTGCAAAAATAGAGGAAATCCAGTTCGACTGGAGATGGTCTTACACCCTTTGACAGCTGCCTACTTGCCTCGTATCATGCTCGATCAACATTGATTATTTTTTATTCTACCGTTTGAATTCAAAAAATATATATATATATTTTATTATTTTCGTCTATTTCATTTCAAAGTATTATTTTTTTTATTTTTAGTAAAAATAATTATACATTAATATCAAAATATTCTTAATTTTTACTTAAATTACAATTATACAATTACATATAGAATTATTTTATACATAAATTGAAAGAATAAAATACTACTCCCTCCGTCCCAAAGAGTTGTCTTGTTTTTCCATTTTCGTCCGTCCTAAAATAATTGTCGTAATTGTGGTGCCCACTTTATAACAAAATTATTCGTGCTTTTCCAAACTATCCATAATTATTACTTTAATCTATTTTTTAGGGCATTATAGCCTTTTATATCCTACTTTACCCGTTTTTAATAAATACTGTTATTCCTTAATTTAGGTGTCAATTCCCAACAAGACTTTTCTTCTTGAGGGAGGGAGTATTATTTATGTGCTACCAAACTTCAAAAGACACATTTAACTCCAACTCCACCCTCTCCCTGCGCCGCTTAGCTGCTTAACATGAATTATATATCGCTTTGATTTGATTTGATTTGATTTCTTCAAAGCAAATTTGCACTGACATCATATATATTTGTTTATGTCTTTCATTTTTATACACACAAATGTACACAACAGTAGAGTTGAGTTAATTAGTTAATCTGCTAGTATTGTGAATCTTGAGTAATTAATTAAAACTAAGAATTCATATCTCCCGTTGGAGCGACGACATTGTCTCCATTCATTGTTGTCCATATTGTGATATATATATATCCCCTGGACATTAGAGTGCAATATAAATAATAATTGTATTTTTACAAACTTAAATTGATAACATAATCTAACAAGAAGTAAGAAGAAGAGAAAAAGAAACAGCTTGCTTGGTTGCTTTATTAATTATTCATCAACTATATGTATATATATATGGTCATCTATGCAATGCATAAAATAGTGCAGTAACTTATAATGCAGGCAAGCAGCAGCAATAGCCCAACTGCCAGGTGGTGGTGGTGGTGGCGGTGGCGGTTCCCCTTTTAATTTGATCTAATTTAATTTGATTTATCTGCCGCATTAATTAATTAATTATTTATTATATATCGGCAATGGATCACTACACCGCTCAACTAAATTCGCCTCGCTTCGCATGTACCCTCGCGTTAGCTTACGTACATTAATTGATACAGTACTATATAGTATTACCTAAAAAAAACAAACTGAAAATGACTACAGGTTTTGACTTGTCATCACCCCCACGGCCCCGCCCCACCTAACTCATAATTATTATTTAAATACTAGTAATTATGCATAGGAAATTATACTATAATATTGTTTGCGTATATAACCCCAATCCGACCCAGTCGTAAGTACAATGATCAACTCTCTCTCTCCAAACAAACCCAATAATAGAGAGGGACACGTCGGAACTAATAATTTATTCAATTCGGCCGTTAAGTCTGGAAGAGTCTAATCCTGCAGCTAGAAATTAGATCAATGCACACATACCAATTAGCGAGGCAATTATGATACAAAATACATTAGCATTCCAGTTGTTTAGATCAATGCATACATACCAACTATCTATCGATTAATGATATACTACTTTATATATTTATTTTGTTTTATAGGATTCAATATTTTTTAGTTAAGATTACTAATGTATATTATAGTCCTACTCCTACTCCTACTCAAGCCACGTTTTAGCTTAAAATTTACTTTACCAAGTAAAATTAAAACAAACCAACAAAGGCGCCCTCAACCTCAACTGAGACATGTAAAAAGCATTCCACCGTTGACCCACGAAACGAAACCTTGGATACATCCACTAGTACACCAAAGTTAAAAAGACAAAAATATCAAAAAATCTTCTACTCTTTTACTAACTACTATTATTAATATTTCTTAATCTACTATGAAATCGCAAAAGACCCTTTAATTTGGGATAGAGAGAATATATGATTTGATAGTGAGATTTTTTTATTTAGTTAATTACTTAAAATTCTTGAATTTGTCTTACAACAACATCCTTTTCATCATTTTGCAAACATGCCAAGATACAAACCCTAATTTTTACACTTATCAAACGTAGCAAACGAACGAACCAGGATGAATCAATGAAGGTAGAAGTGGACCCAGATAAGTGATGGGAGGAAATTGTGTTACCCAACTTTGTACATATAACAATCAAGTGTCTGGAGCCAAGGTGATCAAACTTGTTTATTTATATCTAATTATTTATTTGATTGCTACTTGATATTAGAAAAAAAATATGAGGAATTTTTAATTTCACAATTAAAAATATTATTTAAGCAAAGTTACTGTTACTTTATACCTCTGCAATTTGACAGGGAAACATTTATATCTAATTAATTATTACTTAATTGTTTCACTAATGGTCTATTATATTCTTGTGCTGTCTATCTGTAGTCTAAATTGAAATTTGCTAAGTACGTTGACATGGCTACAATAGCTAACTGCTACGAACTATCTATACATTCTTTGCTATCTGACGAATTTTGGAATTATAATATATGCCATAAAAATGAATGTGCTTAAAAAGCTTAAAACAAAAAATGAATGTGCTTAAAAATTTGGAATTATCATTTTTTTTTTCAAACATAATTGTTTTGAGCAAGGTTTATAGGGCCTAGGGTGTGTTTGTTTGGAAGATTGGATTTTCAATCCACTATTCATCCCATTTTTTCTCTCAAAAAATATCAAATCAAACATCTATTTTTTTTTATTTATATTATACAAAAAATGTAGAACTTAATACTCTACAAATTAAATTAAAAAAAACAAGTCACACTAATGCTGCTAGCGGACTTAATTATATATATAGAAACATATATATGTAGGTGTTTTTAATGGTGCTAACGCAACTTTTTAGGAATACGAATTGAAGATATATATATATATATATATATATAATTGCCGCTAAATATAGTAATAATTAAAGCTAGCATTTATGATACATGTAGTATGAATGAAAACCTGAGGCTGAGGAGGATGTATTATACTGTATGATAGATATAGAGATATTAGAGGAGGGTGGTTGAATAATTCATGTTCCTATTTAATGGCGGTGTCGACGGTGTGCCTTTAATGAATTGATTGGCACTGTACATACGTTCCTGATCAGCCTCCCTCACATCGTCACAGACTTGATTGCGCATAATAATAATAGTATAAGTAGGAGGAGAAGGAAGAAGGAAGAAGAAGATGATGATGATGATGAGTAAAGACTGATTCAATAATGAATGAATGAATGCAGAGGGGGAGAGGAGTGAGTAGCAGTAGCAGTAGCATTGTTTCAGCAGGTTTGGATGGATGGATGGATCGGAGGAGTGCAGTGCAGTGCAGTAGTAGGTAGTGTGGGTGGGTGGTATGACCGCATGGTGTGGGGTGGGATGGGATGGGACCAATTAAGAGAAGAAGACAACAAAACAATGCAAGCTTAGGTAATAGATAGAATAGACATCATTAATAATTTCAAAGCATTCAATTATCCAACTGTCTTGTCCTGTCCTGTCCTCGCTACATTGCCATTGCCATTGCCATTGCCATTGCCCCGGCCCTCCCTCCCATTTGATGGGCGACCATCAACAGATAACAATATGCTACCCCATTGATCAATAATACAGATATTATAATAATGTCATGTCATCCATATGCATATTTTATATTATATATAGCAAGATTAGGATGGTGCAGTTGGACGCGCAGACCGATAAGCTAAAGCAGTGCAGTGCAGTGCAGTGATACGGCTATCTGATCCGAGATCTCCGTATGGCAAGTCAGAATTATAAACCCGGTGGTGCAGTTGGCGTGGTGGTGGTGGTGGTGGTGGTGATGATGACGACGGTGATGGCGTCAGCTGCAGGTGGAGGCGGCATAGCAATGATCGACAGTGGCGTGGCGTCATGCGGGGCGGTGACGAGCACGCTGGCGCCGTGCTACGAGTTCGTGGTGGGCGGGGGGGGCCCCGGGGACAAGCCCACCGACTCCTGCTGCCAGGGGGTGAGGAAGCTCTACAGGGAGGCCGCCAGCCGCGACGATCGCCGTACAGTCTGTGAGTGCCTCAAGCGCGTCACCCGCGCCGCCTCCCCCACCACCCTCCGGAACGCCAAAACCCTCCCTCACGCCTGTGGCGTCTCCCTTCCCTTCGAGATCACCCCTCAGCTTGACTGCAACAAGCTAAGAAAGTTCAATTAATTAACTAATGAATACACTTATTCCTACCTACCTACCTACCTATCTACTTCAGTAATCCATGAATGTATATATATATTGCTACTATTATTGACTAGTTTCACTCTCTGATCGTGTGTGCGTGCAGGGTAGGGTGAATTGAATTAATTAATTAATTAAAGGTGAAGAAGCCATGCACATCATCATCTGGCCTGGCCTACTGGATCCATCCAATCAATTATCATCGACCTACGTACTCCAATTGGATCCGCCAGTACTAGCTAGAGATCTCTATTGTTACGCTATCTCGTCTGTATGTGATGTTTTTATTTAATTAATTAAGGAACGACGAATTATAAGAATTGTTAATTATTCATTGTTAAGGTGGATTCATTTGGCCCTACTGCCTACTAGCTGCTGCACTGCATCACTCCTTTTTTGTTGGTTCAAATATTGTCCTATTACTTATTAATGCCATGCATGCCAGCCAGCCAGCCAGGAACGAATGAGTAACATATAATAATGAACAGCTGGGAGCGAGAACCAATCAATTAATCTTAATTCACCACCCACTTTGAACCTAGCTAGCTAGCCTATTCAAATATTGCTGCTGCCGGGCATCAGAATTTATTATAAGGAGCCCACTGATACCAACTCACTGATATACATTGAAGCTAGTTTGTCATATGTTCATATGACATTGTAATAATATGCATCTGAAAATGAGATTATAAGGCATAGACAAAGATTTGCTGATATCCTTTGAAGCTAGTTTGTTATTTGTTGATATGTAGATTTAACTCAAGATGGATATTTGTTGATATGTTTTGAATATAGGGATATATATTATATCATAGATTTAGAAATATGATTTTGATATTATTCACGTAGTGGCTCGGCTCTTAACCTAGCCGTCTTTAATAAAATTTGTTATTTGTTTATGCCTTAGATGTAGCCAATATGTTGTTGGTTAACTACGTAAATTTGTGTTTTTTTTATATTTTTTTTGTTTGTTATTCGATCATTAATTCTAAATAGCTATGGCCCTACCTACCTTCATGAATATGTAACCAATGATAATAAAGGACTATCAATCAATAACACACTCGAACTTTATTGTTAAGAATTACAAATAGTGGGACAAAATTACTCACTGATTATCTAAAAACAATAAACAATTGTCCAAGATAATTGTTTTGAGATACATCAAGAAAATGATATATAGATCATATGGGTTAATTAATTGCTACTGTAAAGAAGTATAAATACAGTAGCTAACCAACCGGCTTCAATTTATTATAATAGTGCATAGGCGCAGACGACAGATTGGCAGCCACGCATACAACATATATATGTGTATGTAGTTATATATATATATATATTTGTGGAGTTAATGAATATATATATACATACGAAAGTTTTGAATGGCGAGCGACCGAAGGTGGAGCAGTTAATTAGCACCGGCAGGCAGGCAGGCAATGATAATAGTATTAATTAATAATACGCACCCCACCCCACCCCACCCCAGCTGATGGATGGATGGATCTAGTAGAATGAAGCAATTAATTACACACCCAACGACCACCCAACAACCTATCGGACTGCCCAATTAATGGATATGATGGTGATGGTGATGATGTGATATACATACATACATACATACATACATACGTAGAGACAAATAGACACAGAGAGACAGACACGTATGGCACATATATAATGGGTTACCATATATGCATGGGCATGGATGCTCGCTCTTTCTCTTTGTCTATATAAATAATGCATGCTATGATCACTAATTGACTACCTTCCTCTCCACATACCACCTCAAACAAACCAAACCAGCAGCTTATTATTGGTTGAATATATATATATATATATATTTTTTATATCATCGATCGCTCGTTAGAACAAACAAACAAACAAACAAATTAATGGACAAGTGGGGCGCGGTGCCGGTGGGGCTTGCAGTTGCAGTTGCAGCTGCAGCTGCTCTGATGATGATGAGCGGCGGCGGTGCCGAGGCGGCGATGCAGTGCGAGACAGTGGCGAACGACCTCTCCCCTTGCATCAGCTTCGTGATGAACGGGAATGGAGGTGGTGCCCCGCCGGCTGGGTGCTGCGAGGGGGTGCGGTCCCTCTACAGGCAGGCCAGCTCCACCGCGGACCGCCAGGCGGTGTGCTCCTGCCTCAAGAGCGTGGCCGCTTCCGCCACCCAGGCCATGATCGCCAACGCCGCCGCTCTCCCTGGGAAATGCGGCGTCTCCATTCCCTACAAGATCAGCCCCAACACTGACTGCTCCACGTATACTACCTGCCTGCCTACATCTCATCATCTCTCTCTCCTCCTTCCATACTCACTACATTACTTTTACTAAATCGATACTTTCATATGTGTGTGTGTGTGTGTGTGTGTGACACAGTACATGTAACCAATTAATTAATGTACGTACGCCTTTCTTGCATGTGCAGCGTTCATTGAGATGGATCGGATTCGGAGCTGGGCGTGGACGTGGACATGGAATCTTCCCCATATTATATATATATATATATATATGTTATGTTATATATACATATTGGCTATCTAGGGCAGCAGCTAGCTAGCTAGCTATCGATCTGTCTGTTGCTGACTGCTGAGAATGGGATCGGAGCTAGCTAGCTAGCTAGTGTGTATGATCATGGATCACCATTGGCAGTACGTACTTAGTATAAGTAATTTATTAGTAGAATACCAGGAAATTATATAAATGTGGGCAACTATATGTGTGTGTTAAGGTTGCGAGTGCGAGAGAGAGTGTGTCTCTCTGTTTGTCTGTCTGAATTTGGGGAAGAACACTATATTCCGCTCCTGAGCTTTACTACTTACTATACTTAGATTGATATATACATAAGTGTCTTCGTCTTCACTTCGTTTGCTCTCTTGCTTTGTTTTGTATCCCATATATTAATATTAATTTAATTTGTTCACGCGCTCGCTTGTGGTATTCTTTCAGAAAACCCACCCACACAAAATCAATACGCTATACGGGTACGCGGATCGGATCACATTACAGTCTTCACTTTAACAACGTAACCCACTCACACATATACACAGTTTGCTACTTTTATTTTAGAAAAGCCTATATGTTTTTTCATTTTACCCTATTATCATTGAATATATTAAAATATAATTTAAATTTTATCTTATATATTGATAACCAAATCTAATTATAATTCTAAAATTAAACTATAGTCATATTTTTGCTAAAATTAATATCATTTTTCTCTACCTTGAAAATTTTATTATTATTGGTGGCGGTGGTGATAGGGTTATTATTATTGTGTTAGTATATTTTATTTATTGAATATATTATTAATGTTGTGATATTATTACAGGATTATTCAATAGAAATATTAATTACTCCTACCGCTGACTACTATTTTATATATTGTATATAGTATATATTATATAATATAAAATATATATATATGTAGTATGTGTATGTATGTATGAGATAAGTATATAATATAATATATATAATGATAGTATATATGTATATATGAATTGCGCAAAATGAAAGAAGCAAGCACGAGAGAATTTAATGCAACAGACATGAGGAAATTAAATGCGAAGGAATGAAATTGAAACGTAATCTCTTTGAATTAGTTTCATTCAACATATATTTATAGTTACACGAAACTTTCACACGAAGGAAACCAAAAGCATCCACAGTACCACGTAGTTGCTACGTGTACATTTTGTAACACTCCCCATTGGATGTTTTTGTACAGAGAATGTGCCTCGTTAAAACCTTACTAGGAAAAAACCCTGTGGGACAAAAAATCCTAGTGAAGAAAAAATAGTACAACATTCTTGTATCGATTCGCTCCCCCTGATCTGAGCATTATTTGAGATCCTTTAACCGACGCATCCCAATTTTCTTCACCAGTTTTTCAAATGTTGTCATCGGCAATGCCTTGGTTAATATATCCGCCAAATTATTATCAGATCGAATTTGTTGCACATTAATTTCACCATTTTGTTGCAGATCACGAGTAAAAAAGAATTTTGGTGAAATATGTTTCGTTCTATCTCCTTTAATGTAGCCCCCTTCAATTGGGCTATACAAGCCGTATTATCTTCAATTGGGCTATACCCGCAATTTTTCAGAATATGTTGAGTCATTGACCTCAACCAAATACATTCTCAACTAGCTTCATGTATTGCCAATATTTCAACATGATTTGAAGAAGTAGCAGTTAAAGTTTGTTTCATTGATCTCCAAGAGATCATTGTTTCGCCACAAGTAAATATATAGCCAGTTTGTGACTTGGCTTTATGAGGATCCGATAAATATCCTGCATCGGCAAATCCAATTAATTCATGTCGAGAATCTTTCGAATAAAATAACCCGAGATCAATTGTTCCTTGGAGATAGCGAAAAATGTGTTTAATCCCATTCCAATGTCGTCGAGTAGGCGATGAGTTGAATCTTGCCAATAAATTTACAGCAAATGATATATCAGGTCGGGTGTTGTTAGCAAGATACATCAATGCGCCTATAGCACTCATATATGGCACTTCTGGGCCAAGTATTTCTTCATTTTTCTTTTTTGGTCTAAATGGATCCTTTGCTGGATCGAGTGCTCTGACGATCATTTGGGTACTTAGCGGATGTGATTTATCCATCATGAATTGTTTCAGTACCCTTTTAGTATAATTTGATTGGTGGATGAACGTTCCACTTTCCAAGTGCTCAATTTGCAGACCAAGACAAAACTTAGTTTTTCCAAAATCTTTGATCTCAAACTTTTTTTTTTTTCAGATATTCAACAGTTTTCTAAATTTCATTAGGAGTTCCAATTAAATTGAGATCATCGACATATACAGCAATGATTACAAATTCAGACCCATTTTTCTTTATAAAAACACATGGACAGATAGGGTCATTTATATAACCTTATTTGGTTAAGCTTTCGCTGAGACGATTGTACCACATTCGGCCTGATTACTTGAGTCCGTACAAAGATTTTTGTAATTTGATGGAATATGACTCTTTTGGCTTTGATTTGAATGATTCAGGTATGTTGATTCCTTCTGGGATTTTCATATAGGCGTCATTGTCTAAAGAGCCGTAAAGATAGGCAGTAACCACATCCATTAATCGCATATCAAGATTATTGTATACTGCCAGGCTCACCAGATACCTGAATGTTATTCCATCCATGACCGGCGAATATGTTTATTCAAAATCAATACCCGGTCTCTGGGAAAAATCCTGGGCTACAAGCCTTGCTTTATATTTTGTGATATCATTATTTTCATTTCTTTTTCTCACAAACACCCATCTGTAACCAACAGGTTTCACATTTTCTGGTGTTTGGACTATAGAGCCGAATACTTGCCGTTTTTTCAATGAGTCCAGTTCAGACTTAATTGCGTCTTTCCATTTTGCCCAATCATCTCTTTGCCGACATTCATCAACTGATTTTGGTTCATAATCCTCGTCATCTTTCATTATATCGAGTGCTACAGAATATGCAAATGCATTATCAATATTTGTTTTCTTTCTATTCCAATATTTTCCACTTGTGGTATAGTTAACAGAAGTTTCAATAACTTCATCATCACTTTCATCAGCATTTTTAGTATCAACCTCTTCAGGGGTTGTACTGACCTTTTCAGGTATCTGATCATTGTTGATCTCTTCACCAGTATTTACAATTTTCTTCAATCGTGGATTCTTATCTTTGGAACCCAACGGTCTACCACGTTTTACGTGGGCAGTATGTTCATTAGCACTCGGCACTTTCCCTTTTGGGATATTTATTTTGGCTGGTGCATTTGCTGCTGCAATATATGATTTCATAACTCTGGCAGCATCATTAAAAGCATCAGGCAATTGATTTGCAATTTTCTGCAAATGCACAATTCTTTGAACTTCAAGTTCACTATGTTTCGTACGAGGATCAAATTCAAATGGTGTTTTCCACGAAATTTCTTTTTTTTTTTCAGTTGATTACTGTCTCCCCCGAATGTCGGGAAATGTGATTCGTCAAAATGATAGTCTGCAAACCTCGCAATAAATAAATCACCCGTTGTTGGTTCAAGATATTTCGCAATCGAGGGTGATTTATACCCGACATACATACCCAACCTTCTTTGAGGTCCCATTTTCGTGCGTTGAGGTGGTGCAATTGGCACATAAACAGCAGACCCAAATATTCGCATGTGAGATATATTTGGTATTTTTCCAGAAACCAATTGAGTGGGGGAATAACAGTGATAACTGGTCGGCCTTATTTTCACGAGGGTTGCTGCATGCAATATAGCATGCCCCCAACATGATACATGAAGTTTAGACCTCATCAATAATGGTCTAGCAATTAATTGCAATATTTTAATAAGAGATTCAGCCAGGCCATTTTGCGTATGTACATGGGGAACAAGATGTTCCACAGTAATCCCAATTGACATGCAGTAATCATCAAATGTATTGGATGAATACTCTCCAGCATTATCTAGACGTATTTTCTTTATCGGGTGATCTGAAAATTGTGCTCGCAATTTAATTATTTGTGTAAGTAGTCTAGCAAAAGAAAGATTGCGAGTAGATAACAGACATACGTGTGACCATCGCGTTAACGCGTCAATTAGTACCATAAAATATTTGAAGGGTCCACATTGTGGATCTATTGGTCCACAAATATCACCCTGAATTCTTTCCAGAAATGCTGGGGATTCAAATCCAACCTTTGTTGGAGATGGCCTGATTATTAACTTCCCTTGGGAACAGGCAGCACAAGCAAATTCATTCGGACTCAAAATATTTTTCTTTTTCAATGAGTGGCCATTAGAATTATCAACAATTCGCCTTAGCATTACATTGCCAGGATGCCCAAGTCGATCGTACCAAGTTTTAAATTCGCTAGTAGCCATTTGGTCTACTAGGTGATATGTTTCAATGACACTGATTTTTTAGTAATATAAGCCGGAAGAAAATGATGACAATTTTTCTTTCACAATTCTTTTGTCATTCACAACTTGAGTTATCAGAAGATATTCATTTTCTGCTCCATTCAATGTTTCAATGTGATACCCATTTTTCCGAATATCACTGAAGCTCAGTAAATTCCTTCGAACTTTGCTCGAGAACAAGACATTTTCAATTGCCATTTTTGTCCCTTTTGGGAGATATACAATAGCTTTTCCTGAGCCTTCACTTATTTTCGATGCACCATTGATAGTAAAAATTGTGGTCTTTCCCATATTAAGATTGGAGAAATAACTTTTGTTTTTCAAAATGCTGTGAGTCGTAGCACTGTCAATAAAACAGATGTTGTCATCGGCTCCAAAATATTTGGCATCCATATCTTTGCAAGAAGGTAAAAATAATAAAAGATATGTATTAGTAACATAATCAAAATAGACTTATATTATAGGGGGTAATACAAAAAGTGGGGCAGAAAACATCAAAATAACAAAAGAGATACAACCTCATTTTATTATTTAACATCATCAGCTATATCAAGTAGATCATCGGCATCCAGGTGCATGATATTTTCATTCATCACATCGTCAAATGTGTCATCGTGGGCAGCGTGATTTGTTTCGGGGGCAATTCTTCCATGTCTTTCTTTTGAGGCCCGATACAGTTCAGCCAAGTGACTGGCCGTACGACAAACATGGGCCCAATGACCTTTGATTCCACACCGGGTGCATTCCTCGTCATTACTTCTGTTTCTCCTGGTGTTGATCCTCTGTTGAGGTCTGTACGGTCTTCTGTTATTATAACGCCGATTTGGCACATATCGGGGCATGTTTTGATAATTATTATGACTGTATGCATTTACCCGGCCCCATCCGCGATTCTGATTTCGATCGCGATCAATTCGCTGATTTCTGACTTGCCCACGACCACGCAGGATTTGCCGGCTGTATTGCATTTGCCTCTGGAAAGCTTCTTTCGCGATACTGCTGCTGCAAAACCATGTTAGAGACATGAAAAGTGGATAAAGTTTTCTCCATCATATCAGATTCAGATACATTTTCGCCACAGTGGCGCAGCTGTGATGTTATTTTAAACATAGCAAAATTATATTCTTGGACTGTTTTAAAGTCCTGAAGCCGTAGGCTTTGCCATTAGCTTCGTGCCCTTGGCAACAATGTCAGCCTCAAATAATCATATCTTTCTTTCAATCTCTCCCACAATTCGAGTGGGGATTCCAGCGTGACATACTGCATTTTCAGTGCCTCATCGATGTGATGGCACAAAAAGATCATGGCCTTTGCACGATCTTGGCTCGGGGAGTTTTTATCCCGGGCAATGGTATTTTCCAAGCCCATTGATGCCAGATGCATTTTAACATCGCGAGCCCATGCTATATAATTTTGGCCAGAAACGAGGAGAGGGAGAAATTCATGTTTTGCAAAGTTAGTCATAATAAACAGATAAAATATGAAATATTACCTTGCGAAAATTAAAATATATAATCGTACTGATAACGTGTTGTGATATTATTATAGGATTAGCCAATAAAAATATTAATTACTTCTACCGCTAACCACTATTTTATATATTGTATATAATATATATTATATAATATAAAGTATATATATGTAGTATGTGTATATATGTATGATATAAGTATATAATATAATATATAATGATAGAACGTAAGAGCACCAACAACTTCTATCGCAGGAGCTACTACTTCTTTTCGCTGGAATCCCTAGAATGTGAGCTTAGACTAGAAAAGGGCGGAAGGAGCTACAAATTCGTTCGCTGCGTAGCTTGGGAAGGGAATTTTAAGGTTGAGTTCCAGTCCCACCAGCTTGATAATATAATATATAATGATAGTATATATGTATATATAAATTGCGCTGAAAGAAGCAAGCATGAAAGAATTTAATGCAGCAGACAAGAGGAAGTTAAATGCGAATGAATGAAATTGAAACGTAGTCTCTTTCAATTCGTTTTATTCAACATATATTTATAGTTACACGAAACCTCCACACGAAGGAAACCAAAAGCATCCACAGTACCACGTAGTTGCTACATGTACATTTCGTAACAATTAATATGATTTTTACTTTTGTATAGTTTATTATTATATTTGTTGTTTATAATATTTTTTTTAAAAAAATAATTATTTGTTTATAAAATCTACGATTTAATTGTTGCTCGAGGCTCTGAAAAATTCGGAGTCGGTCCTGCACAAATGCACCCCCACGGATCATCTTAAGCTATAAATTTAACGGCACACCATTTAACAATAAATAATACATAATTAATACCAGATAATATACTATTTATATTAATATAATAAAAAATATTAATAGAAATATAGTTTACATGATAGTTGTCCAAACAATATATACTATCAATAATTTCAACATATAATATATATGTCCATTGATCACACATTACAAATAGAATTATCAATACATTATTTCACCTAATACAACATTGATATATTATGTTAATTGAAACTATAAATAGAATTATTAAAAAAATAATCGTACATTAATATTAAAATATTTTTTAACTTTTACGTAAATTACAAATATACTATTACACGTACAATTAATTTATATATAAAATATAAAAAACAAAAATATCCAAATCATCTTAAACATTTCTATTAACAAAATATATATATTTTTTTAATTTACATCAAAACTCATATGAGATGTGTTTAGGGTAAGATACTCCCATGTTGATAATTAGCGTTGTTAAATACATCGAGTAGCTCGATCAACTCGATTTGTTAACAATTAGGTTTGCCTTATATATATAAATAAATGAGCCAAACATGATTTTAAAATGTATTGTTTTTATAAACGAGCAGCTCAATTCGCATGTTGACATGCTTTACTCACACGCTGTAAAATTAAATAAAATAAATCTATTTTCATAATAAAAATAACTTAGTAGTATAGATGATGAAGTAAGATTGTCTCTTCAAGAAATAAAAAATATTTTATTTTTGCTTGTTTAATATATAAATGTAATAAAACGGGGGGTTTTGGAAAATGGAAATAAAAATAAAAAAGACAAACTAAACATCTACTACTAAAAGATAAATTCAATAAAAATAAGTTTTCAGTCTACGAATAAAATTGATAACTTAGATAGTAGATTTGATCATCGATAAATATTTAATCTCATTGGTTTCTAAATAAATTAGTTATAGTTTTGACATGCGCCTAATAACCGACTCTTCCTTAATTTCTCGACAGTTTAGATACGTTTGTCAATTGTTTTCCTAATTAGACTAGAACTTTAGTGACGCCACAAAGAATATATTAGTCTAACCGTTTTTCGAACTAGAAGAGTCTAATTCAATTTACAATTACCCATGCATAACGGTTTAAAATTGATTTTGCGATTTTCTAGTGGTGTTTGCCCATGCTCAATTTAGTTTAACAATAATGTGTAACAATGGGCTTTTGAGCATTTTAATTAATTGTTTGGTCACTTTCGTTCTCTTTTTCTTCAAATTCATTATTCTTTTCATGAAAATCATAAATAAATAATATATACATATAAAATTCAATCAAAATCAACAAAGTATCGCAAATAGTATGAATAACATGTAGTTCGATTAAGTTCAGTACTATGTTTTATTTAATTAATATAATATATATAATTTTTTCTATCAAAATTAATATTTATTAATAAAATTTGAATATTTTATTATTATAATAAATTATAGATAAAATTAAGCACATTGAATTTATATATTAAAAAATATGTGATATATATATAATTCAATTGGAATTTGAACTCAAGCACAAGATTGAATTCTACAAACTGAATTCGAATTTGAGCATAACGGATCCAAGTTGAACCACACATATTCAACTTTGTTTGGCTTGTTTAACATGCAAATGGTAGCAATGTGACCATGTACAGGCGGGATCCTCGGTCCCGAGCTTTAACCCGGTACCGTGAGTGCCACACACGCATCAAATTACCTGTCTGAAATGTCTTTCTATCGTCAATGTCTATCAGATCGATACATAGCAATGTCTTTTTATTTAGTTTTAACAAAATTCTTCATTTTGCATTTTAATCCTTCATTTTTTTTTTTCCTCTGCACGTTTCCATTATTACACAAGTTGGTTCTCTTTCTTGTTTCTTTTCTTTTTTCTTTTTTTTCTCTCTATGTGATATTTTGCTTCACATTATCAAATTTATTTCTAATGCAACATTATCATCGATTTTGCCAACGATTTGCATCCGATGGTTATTGTCTTCATATTTACTTTTTTCGACGCTCCCAAATTACACAGTCGTCCTAGCCTGATGTGTGAGTGGTTTTTTCTTTTTCTTTTTTTTTCTTTTTCAGTTTTCAAATACTCAACAATGTTTGTACATATGTCCCTACAAATTTATTTATTTATTTTCTACTGCTTCAGGCTCTATTATTATTATTTTACTGTTGATGTTTTTTATTATAGTTGAAAGCAGGTCTATAATTACCAAAGAAAAAAAATATATGAAAGGTTTGTTGATGTAGAAACATAGTATGTATAATTTTTATATTTTATAAAATACAAAGAAGTTCTTGTTACATAAATTATTTTGAGCTTTATGTCAATTGAGAATCAGCATTAAAGCCACAACATCAAAGTGCGTTAATGTGATATTTTAAATGGCAAAGTTGTTGTCTTATTAATTTTTATTTTCAACTTATCCTATTTCAAATCATAAAATGAACCAAAAATATGTTGTGTTAAAAAAAAAATTGTAAAAAAGAACGAGAGGGGCAAAATTCATATATTAACTTTAAAAATTTTACATTTTACATTAAAATGTATGGGTCAAGTGTTTCTCCAAACACCTTATTAGTTTCTATAGGAGTATAATATAAAAATCAAAAAATAATGATTTGATTTATATTTAAAGAAAAAATGAATAGTAGAAACTTACAATAAAATTCACAAAAGAAAACTTTTTAATCACGAATTCACCTCACCCTCTCGTAGGAATGAGTTATTCATGCATGGAATAAGTGGGGATGTAATTGTAGGCACGATGGCGTTGGTTGGGGCAGACATAGGACAGAACAGGACCGACTTATTTATTTATTTATTTATCAAGCTCTCCTAGACTATGCTTAGAGTTCGAGCTATTGTTAACGTTATTTAATAAGTGGGCGCGCCCAGAATGCAGGAAGCTGCTGCTGCTGCTGCTATTTAAAGTGTCTGTTGTTATTAGTGGTGGAAGTAGATAATAATAATCTATCATCATCATAAATCTGAACTAGCTAATTGAGTTGCTGCTGCATGCAATGGCAATGGGTGATGGTGGAGGAAACATGAGTAATACTAACAACAGTAATAATTTTAAGTGGTTGATGGGTGCAGCAGTGACGGTGACAGTGATGATAATGGCGGTGGGGATTACGCCATCTTATTCTTCTTCGTCTTCGTCAGGGTCAGGGGGGCTCGACTGCGGGTCGGTGGTGTCGTATCTGAAACCGTGCGTCCCGTATTTGGGCGGGGGCGGGGGATCCGTCGGGGGCAAGTGCTGCGCGGGGGCCAAGGCCCTGTACGCGGCGGCGAAGACCACCAAGGACCGCCAAACAGTGTGCAGGTGCGTGGTGTCAGCGGCGGGGCCTGCCAACATCGCCCGCGCCGCAGCCATCCCCAGCCAATGCGGCATCCACATTCCTTACAAGATCACCTCCTCCACCGACTGCTCCAAGTACGTATATACATATACATATATATATATATATGCAATACTAGTATTACGTACGAACTAATATATTTACACATTTTGATTTTATACATGTGTACTCGCGACAGGGTGAAATAATCTATCTTTCCCCCGTCTCTGGGATATATGGGAGTACCTACCTACCTGCCCTACCTGGCTTGGACATTGGAGCTGCTACAGTGCACTGCACTGCTAGTTATGATGATATATCTAGATATATATTATATATATATGTATGTATGTATGTATGTGCATCACTGCATACCCCTACCCCTCTCCCATCTTAAAACTAAATTAATTTGGAGCAAGGGATATGATTGATGTAATAATTTAAGATGGACTAATAAACCATATACATGATAATAATACTTGGGACACATGCATCCATGTATATGCTTCTTCAATTTGTTAGATATTTAATTGTGGAAAAACCTAAAGACAATTCATGATCTAACCGTCGTAGAATTATCTTTATACTACCAAACCGTCGTCACTTACACATTTTTAAAAGGCCGAGGAGGCGGGCATTCGCTGATGCTGCTTCACTGACTTTATATGGTGCACGCAGGCTAATAATAATAATACTAATAATAATAGGCAGGGACAAACAATAAGGCCACGACCCAACACAACACAGTGATCGACAGCAGGCAGGTGGCCCTCTTTCTTTCTGGCCTGGCCTGGGCTGGTAACCTTAACTTAACGTAACTTAATTAATTAATTACTTAGGTTATGAATCATATCAAGGGCGAGGGTGAGGGAGGAGGCACAGGGAGCATCTGGCTCGACGTTCGGGGCAGGGGCAGGGGCAGGGGCAGGCGCAGTCCCCGTTTGATTGCCAGCCCATAAACAGCAGAAGCCTCCAACGACCTTCCCCGCTGGTTCAGCTGCCGGATCAAGCGGTGAAAAGGTGTGCGGTTGGGGTTTCTCCAGCGGTGCATCAGCATCAGAAGAGCCACCGCCTTGTCAGCCTCCCCAGCACCGCACAGCGCTCCAATGGCCACGTTGAAGGTGAAGGTCTTGGGAGAATGCCCCCTGCCCACCATCTCCAGCACCACCTCGTAGGCGGCCACCGCCTTGCCTTTCTGCCGTTCTCCTGTGGAGGCGGCGCAAAGGGCGTCCACCACCAGATCATACCCACCCGGCGGCCGGATTGCGCACCCCCTCCCCCGCATTTCTTCATACAACCTCTCAACCTCCTCCACCAAGTCGCTCTCCTCCCTCGATCGCCTGCACAAGGCCCTCAGCAGTGTGTTCGTCATCCTCTCGTCCGCACCTTCCATTTCCTTATAAATCTGCAGGGCCGCTCTGGTCTTTCCCCACTTGAGCAGCCCGTGCAAGAACGTGCTGTAGCAAATGTAATCAGGCCTGCATTTCCTCTCCCTCATTCGCCTCAACATCCCAAAACCACGCAGCGGCTTCCCCTCCTTGATGTAGCTATTAAACAGGGTGTTGTAGGTAACCACATTCGGGGTTAGCTCCATCTCCAGGGCCTCGTCCAGTAACTCCAATGCCTCGGTTGATCGCCCCACCTTGCAAAACCCATCCATCATTGTGGTGTAAGTGTAGATATCTGGTTTCATGGTCGGCGACTTTGACTTTCTTATGCGCTCCATCAGCGCATAGGCCTCCTCCACCCTCCCAAGATAGCACAACCCCTTCAGCAAGCAATTGTACGTGTTGATTGTGGGCTCGCAACCTATGCTGGACATTATGTCGAACGCCTCGTAGGCATCTCGCAGTCTTCCAATTTTGCTGAACGAATGGATCAATGTAGTGAAAGTGGCAACGTTGGGCTGAAAACCCTTTTCCAGCATTTGGTCCAGGACCCTTTTAGCCTCCGCCGGCTCATTTTTCTTGCAGTAACAGTCCACTAAAATTGAATATGTCCTGCTGTCTGGACATAATCCAGAAAATGATGACAAGCTGGACTTGAGCTTCAATGCCAATTCAAATTCATCCGCCGACACTAGAGACATGAGGAGAGTGTTAAACCCGGATATGGTTCTCATTCCGCCAATGCTTTCGAATTTTTTCAATTCTCGAACTAGCTCAGGATGTAAGGAAAGATTGTGATTTTTCTTGATGAGCGTGGCAAATACAGGTCGAGATATTGGGTTGCTGGGAAAGAAGAGGCAATCAGGAGAAGTAGGTTGTGCAGAAGTCCGAGGAGATAGAGACGGAGACGGAGGCGGAGACGATAGGAAAGAAAGGGTCAGCATGCCCAAGGAATAAATGATTTGATTTGGGGAAGGGATAAACGAGAAAGAAAGGAGGTTAGACTAATAGACATAGTATATTAGTATTTAGTATACAATTTGATTTTAATTTTGTATGCTAGTCATTTAAGTTGTGATGATTTAAAATAGTAGCAGGCAGGCAGATGATTTTTATATTATTGTGTGATAGCATCCTAAAATTTCCTTGTATTTAACAATGCCTATTTTGTAAGTATCGATTAATTAAGAAATATCAATATCAATATTTGATATGATAGATACTATGTAAGAACGAATCTAGTGAATATAATCTAATAGAATAGATCAAATGTAAAACAAAATGATGGTATATTGGTGTTTTTAAATGAAATGTAAAAGAATTTTATTTTTGTCTTGTAGGTTTATTAAATAAAGATCTATTGATTGCAGAACCCAAAATGGCATAATCGACACTTAATTGTCAGTAGAGTTAGTACTGATTGGTATATATACTGTATATGATTACTGCTATTATTAATATTATATTGTCATATCGGAAATGATAATTTCATTAAAAATCTTATCCTATACAGTATATTAATTTGTTTATTGATTGATTCTTGTCTTTCAAAATTCATTCAGCGTTCGCAAACTGAAACGTAAACCCAAATCAGCGGACAATTGACGTATGAGTTCCCGGGGTTGCAAAGCTACATACATAAGCTATTAATTTCAACTATAAACCAACCCACCTCAATATATATACATATATATATATATATGAATGATGATCCTCAAGGCAAGGCAAGGCAAGGGGCAGGGCTCCAAGTGAAAAATGAAGATAAAACTTCTTCCGAGCCAGAATCCATCCATGCAGCGAGTAGGTATATCATGTACTGGTCTGTACGGACACACCCACAGTCTCTCTCATGCAGCTAATTACTCATTCATCCATTCGGGGAACTGCTGCTGCTGCTGCTGCTGCTTCTTCTCGACCCTGTCTCTGCCTCTCAGCTGGAGCAGGAGGACATCGAATAAGCTCCAGAATCCTCACCACCTCTTCCATGTCAGGGCGGCTTGACGGCACCTGCGAGGCGCATACCAGTCCCAGCTTCACCATCGGCACTGCCTCCTCCATCGGACACATCCCCTTCAGCTCCTCGTCAACGCACCCCTCGAGCCTGCCTTCCTCCAAGGCCTCCCTCACCGTGTCGCACACCACCACCACATCATCCTCCATGTACTCCACGGGCCTTTTCCCCGTCACCACTTCCAGGATCAACACCCCGAACCCGTACACGTCGCATTTCTCCGTGATCTTCACCGTCTGGCACGCCAACTCGGGGGCCATGTACCCAAGCGCACTCTGAACCTTGCTGCTCAGGATGCACCGGTCTCCGTCTAATCCCAGTCCCCGCGCCAGCCCGAAATCCCCCAGCTTCGGCTCCCCACTTCTCTCGTCTATCAGGACGTTGCTCGACTTGATGTTGTAGTGAATGACACTCTGCCCGTGTAGGCACGCCAGCCCCTTAGCTGTGCCAACCACAATTTTAAACCTCTCCTGCCATGTGAGGCCGCCACACTCCTTATCGTGGAGGTGCTTATACAGACTCCCCCCAGCGATGTACTCGTTGATGAGTAATTGCAACGACGGCGTCCAGTAATACCCTTCCAGCACCACCAAGTTCGGGTGCCGGATCCTCCCGAGTGCCCTCACTTCCTTCTCAAAAGCCTCCCCACACTTGACCAAGCTTGTACTGTGGAGCTTCTTGATGACAACCGACCGGCCGCCTCCCTGAACCACTGTCCGGTAAACAACCCCAAAACCCCCACGCCCCAGCTCACAATCCTTGTTGAGCAGACCCTGGGCCCCAGCCACAAATTCAGCTTCACCAGTGAACATGACGAGCTTGCCATAGTTGGCTTCCGCGTCATGGGAGCAGGAGGGACTGAAATTATCATCACCACCGCCCCCCGAGAATACTGGGAATGCAGCAGCGCGCGCAGCCGTAGAAGAGCGGGCATGCATATTAAGAATAGAGATTGCAACCACTCCAAGGGCTATGGACATGGCCGCGGCAATAGCAACAATGGAAGATATGCTGAGCACTATCCGCTTGTGACGTAGGTTTGGAGAAAGAGGGCCATGATTTGAAGCAGAGGAGTTGGGGTTGAGGACCAGAGGCTTGGGGTGGACGGCAGGGCAGGTGTGGTTGACGAGGGAGCCACAGAGGGAAGGATTGCCGATGACCGACGATGGAGGGATGGCGTTGAAGAACCCCCCAACGGGAAGTTCTCCTTGGAGATGATTGAAGGAGACATTAAACGTGGCAAGGTGGGAAAGGTTCCCCAGTTCCTTTGGCAGCCTTCCGGATAAGTTGTTGAAAGACAAATCTACATGCTCAAGGTTGGCTATGCTGGCGATTTTAACAGGGAGGGGACCCGTTAGGTTATTCCGACCCAAAAATCTACATGCACACAACACAACACAGAGAAACAGTTGTAGTTAAGTTATCATCACAACAGATAGATGTAAAAATTAAGCAGAGATTAATATGATAGAAGTAAATAAGAGAGATTCGCGTACAAGAAGGTTAAAGCCGAGCAGTTCCCGATGGCCGGTGGAATGGCCCCAGCCAGGAGATTGCTTTCCAACCTCAATTCCCTCAGTGAAAGTGCGCGTCCTATCTCAGCCGGAATGTTCCCACTCAACAGGTTGTGGCTCATATCAAGAATGCAGGTTGTGTTGAGTCCAGCAACGCCTGCGGGGATGGAGCCAACTAAAGAATTCCGAGATAGGTTCAAGGCCTGCAGCACACGGAAATTCCCAATAGCTGGTGGGATATCTCCGGTTAAGGCATTGGATGACAAATCTAAGAGCCGGAGCGTGGCATGGGATTGGACGGGTGAAGCGGGGACACTGATGCTTCCGCTGTATCTGTTGGCCGCAACTGAGAGACTCTCCAAGGATAACTTAAAAATCCACCAAGGCACATTACCGGAAAACCAGTTGTGGCCAATGTCCAGAACCTTGAGGTTCCCACAACCCCCAAATGCGTCCGGAAGGCTCCCCACAAATTGATTGTTTGATAGATTGACTTGTTTCAAGGATTGGAGATTGGCCACACTGCTTGGTATCCGGCCTGAAAGATTATTATCTGAAACATCTATCAGCTCCAGGCTCCTCATTTCTCCAATCCAATCAGGAAATGCTCCTGTCAATAGATTCCCGCTCACGTCAAGATATCTGCACGATCCGAGTTTCCTCATGGATGGAGGAAGTCCGCCAAGAAGATAATTTTCACCAAAATTAATAGACTCTAGTAGCAAGCAATTCCCAATGCCTTCCGGCAGCCACCCTGATAGACTGTTCCTACTTAAATTGATCACTCTCAGACTGGACAAACTCTCAATCTCTCGGGGAATCTCACCCGCTAGCATATTATCGGACAGATCGAGTAGCTGAAGGGAGGTCATAGGCGACCATAATCCAGAGGTCAGCCGACCTGAAAGACGGTTCGAGGAGAAGTTGAGGCTCTCCAAATTTGCGCAGGAGCTCAACGACTGTGGAATCGGGCCGGTGAGGAGGTTGTTGGCCAGTGAAATTGCCTTCAACGGAGCACATCGCTGAAAAAGCTCCGCCGGTATCAGCCCTGATAGATTGTTTTCGCTCAGATCAATCATCTGCAGGCTTGGAATCTGAAAAAGGGGAGGAGTGATAACCCCCGAGAAATTGTTTCTAGATAATTGCAGGACCCTGAGGAACTGAAGTCGGACTAAGCTCCTTCCAATGTGTCCGGATAAAGAGAAACCGTCAAGAAGGAGGTGGGATACGCGATTGGTAGCGGGGTCGCATACCACCCCCACCCAACCGCAGGCAGAGTTGTCTTCCTCGCTCCAAGAAGCGAGTCTTGAGTGCGGGTCGCTTAGGCCGGCTTTGAACACGATCAAGCCCAACACATCGTCGTTGAAAGCTGTCGTCGTCGTCTCCAAAGAGTGAACGAGAAGAAACGACGGCAACAATAATAGAAAAAGAGCAGCCAGCATTCTCTCTCGATCGCCAGGGGGTGATGGATATATCTGAACTTGAGAAAAAAAAGAAAAAACAGTTGGTTAATGAAGAATGTAAGGCGCGCACCGGCGAGATGAATTAATAAAGATAAGCAGCAGCAGCAGGAGGAGGAGGAGAATGATGATGATATTGATGATATTGTTAAAGTTAAAGGAGATGGCAGAACAATAAGTAGTAGCAGTACTCCCGGATATAGATGCTGCAATTGCAAATTTGCAATGCGATGCTGCTGCTGCTGCTAGTTAATTTGTTGGCTCGTAGTTGAATAAGCATCGGAAGGAAAGAAGGCCGGGCGGCAAGCGTGAAATAAGTTGAGTGCAGACTGCAGAGAGAGAGAGAGAGAGAGAGAGAGAGAGAGAGGAGAGAGAGGTGGAAGAATCGAATACAAAAAAGTTTACTTAATGGATTGATTTATGAGGGGAGAGATGGACAATGAAATGATGAGGGGAGATGGCAGCAGGGCCGCATTGATGATGGGGATGGGGTGCCCTTTAAAGTGTTTGCTACAACACTCATGCTCATGCTCATGGGGGCAAACTACAAACCATTTTGCTTTGCTTTAGCTTGATTAGGTTTGGGGCCCGATCGACAGCAATGATCCTAGTAAGTATAGCGAGTGTAGTGTGTTACTACATCTACATGATCTCCCACTACACTCTCCGGTCTCCAGTCTCCTATGCTTCTCCTGACCCACCCGCTCAACATCTACATACATGCATATATTTATTTATATATATTAAAAATAAAAAAATTAATATATCATTTTAAATCAATTATAAACTACAATCAAACAATTTATAAGGAGAAAAAACTTTCATGCTTTTTAAAGTATGATTTTAATATCTTATGTTTTTAGATTTATTTTTTATTTAATATACCCTATAAAAATTTATTTTTAAATCAAAATTATGTATTTATTTATATTACATCAAACACTATGAATTTATTATTTTATCATTTTAAATTAAAATTAATATTATTTATTCTATACAATTTCAATAAAAATATATTATTATTTTACAAAATATCACATCAAAATACAATTTAAATTTAATATTTTTTTTTTTTATGTAATTTTTATCTACATTGTTGACTTATAACTCAAGGGAAAATGGTGTACTGTTATCCCAATAAGTGTATGTAAAATTATATTTGTAATGCTTTATTTTAATAGTTTAATTTTTAATATTTATATAATTAACGTATATTTTTTGTTTTAAAATATTTTATAAAAAATATTAACAATAACTTAACATTAATTTAAATTTATATATTTTAATCAAAATTAAAAGTAAGTATAGATATGAATTAATTCAAATCATAAATATATATATTACAATTTCAATTTCAATTCAAACTTAATTTAAATTAAAATAATTACTTATAATTCATCTTAGATTAAAATTAAAATTAAAATTAATTTGAAAAAAAAAAATCATCTCTAGTAGTGAGAATCTTTTTATTTTTATCATTATTTTTCTCCCTTCGTGTGCAATCTAAAAAAATAAAATAAAAAATATTGAATATTAAGTGATGCAAATCATAAATCAAATATCACAATTTAAAATTAGATTAAACTAATTACTTATAATTCAATTTGAAAATTCTACATTAATTTTCTTTATGATTTAAAAATTGAATGAAATTTATTCGAAATCTCATGCAATTTTAGAAGATTCTGAATAATATTTTTAAAATATAAGAGTATTTCGTGTCATTTCTAAATCATGATAAAATATGATGTTAAATTTTCAAATCAAAAGATGTCATAAGCAATTTGGTCTAATTTACATTAAGTTGAAAAAATAGAAAAAAAATCATTTATACATGTTAGAAAAAGAAAATTATTGATATTTTTATCAATGTTGTCACATAACCTAAAACCTAATTTTGAAATAAAAATAATAAATGAATAATGAGATAGTAGTATGTAAGTGTAGAAGTGGACATCAATTGCGTAGAGGAAAAAGAAACTAAAATCAAGTTCCATCGGAGTTTATCCAATGCGCACTTTTGGGTAGTGGTTATGGGTTTCGATATCATAAAAAAAAATAATAATAAAAAAAACTAAACTAAAATTTTTTATTTCTTAATTATATTTAATTATGGTTTAGTATAAAATTATTTTTATAGTATAATTTTTTTGATCCCAAAGAAATAATCCAAGCTATTATTAGTAATATGTATATGGACCTATTTAATATGAAGTCATAAAATATTAAAAATAATAAAAATTTAAGATTGCACAGAATAATCATACACTTTTGAAATATATATATATATATTATTTTAATAACTAATGATATTATTATTTATTAGTTTTTTAGAAAATATTATTATCGTAAAAATATTAAATTAAATATTAAAAAATTGATTAATTCTAAAAAATGTCAAAATTTCTATCTAAATAGAATATAAGTTTGTTAATGATATTAATGTATGTTGAATAATCCCACTTAAACAATTCCAGTAAAGAATTAGTATTCTTATTTTTTTTTTAAAGCCGACCTAATCTAAGTAATCTATTGACACTCTGATAAGTGCTCTTTGTAGGGAGGAACATGGATTGGGTAGGGGCCAGGGGCCAGGGGGTGGCAGTACATACGACTCATATATAATTAGGGAATGCACGCCATCCATACGTAACTGTCTTTTGATTGTAAACATAAATATTATTTATTTATTTATTGGTGGTCTATGATTATTATGTTCATGCCAGCGTGTTGTAGTGCAATTAATAATGTTAACTTCAGGTTAAAGGTTTACCGAGCGAGCACATCATAATGATGAAAATGATGACGACGACGACGAAACATGGAAGACAATGCAATCCTGGGACAAGCAGCAGTAATCGCACGACCGGCTAGTTAGTGCTGTTTGGAACATCAATTGTACTAACAAGCAAGAAGGATTGTTTATTATATTTATTTATTTATTTATAAAAAAACGAATATGAAGTACGCACATATGGTAGGGTATGAATAGATAAAGTAAATAAATAGATAGATTAATAAGAGTGAATGAAAAGGGGTTCAAGTTTATGATGCTTCTAAATCAATCATGTATGGCATATGTAGTTCGTCCTGTATAAGTATAATTTATTTTGCAGAGATTAGTCCGAGATGAATTCCTACATTAAAAAAATAAATAAATAATAGGAAAAAAGAGACTGGGTCGTCGGTCAACACTAGAGCAGCATCCACACTCGGTCGGCAGAGTCCTCAGGGATTTTAATCTGGGAGACTCTGTGTGCATGCCATGCGATTCTCCCTCTCTCTCTCTCTCTCTCTCTCTCTCTCTCTCTCTCTCTCTCACACACACACACACGCTTTCATAACATAATAATTTATCTATTTGTTTGTTTGTTTATTATCCCAACGGAAGAGGAGGAAATTCGTGTTGATTGGTAACTTGGTTGGATGCCTAAGACTGAAAGTGTGAGTAATTTCAAACTTGGGCTGGGCTGGGCTGGGCCGGGCCCATTACTCGACATCCCTTCCCAAGCACTATAATGTGTTGGAGAAGGGAGATGCCTTTCTTGAATTGAATGAAATTGATGCGTTGCTTGCCTTGCCCTCCTCCCCTTCCCTTCCCTTCTTCCCTTCCTTAATCACTAGGCAAGCGGACAGTCAGTCACAGCAGCCCCACTCTTCAGATTCTGCCGCCGGCTCCTCATCCTCCGCCGTCGCCGCTCGTCGCCGCTCCCTCCCTGCCACTCAACTCTCACCCTCCCATCATTCCCATCCGCCAACCTCTACTATTCCCTTCCCCAAAATGACAATCTCTTTAAACTCGATTGCCTTTGCAAACCCTACCCTCGCCGCCGCCTCCTCTTCTTCTCCTTCCATGACCTTGTCTCGCGTGCTCCCGACTTCGCTAGGGTTTCACCGACTCTCCACACCTACAATGCACCGCCCACCCCTTGCCTTCAATCTGCGTTTGAAATATACGCGCAATCGCCCTGTCTTACTGTTTGCTGCCTCTCACGACGAATCGGTCAGCGTCCGTCCCTTGCGTTTCTACTGAATCCAATTTATATATTTCCTGCGTATCTCAGTTCATATCTGCAAGGTTAACTTGATCCGCTCTGCAACGTAAAGGAGTTTGCTAGGTTCTAACTAAGTGGGAATTTATATTTATTTTGTTTAATTTTGGCTATGCGTTTACTTTTTTAAAATCTCGTTTAGTTTCCACGTGCTTGGTAAGATAAGAAAAGAAAAGAATGCTGATACCTAGAACTAACAGCAATGTGATTCGTGTACATAAGTGGATAACCTGACCGATGATGTTTCGTCAGGCGAAAAAGAGAGACTTCGGTGTTTCAAAGTACATAGATCCGGTTTGCATTCTCTAGACTCATCTACTCTCAGAGCTGAACTCTTCTAAATGGAGAGACTCCTATAACTTCTCTATTAACATCAAAACTCTTAAAATGTTTTAAATTTTCTTCTTGGAAGCGTAGCTGAATGATGTGTCCATAGGAGCAATGATTTAGTTAGTTTGCATCTGTTAATTAGATTGACATTCAATCCTTAATGATTGCATAACAACTTGCTGCCATCTTCTTTGTACTTTGCACCTCTGCAAAATGTTTATTATTTTTGCTGAACTGCATTTTCTAATAGAATGATCCTAATTCTCTTTTGTTTAGGTCCTTGGAAATGCATTTTTTCATGTTTTGTTGCAGTATATTAGCGCCAATTCATATTGTTAAGTAGGCTACTAGGCTTGTCTAAAATTTCTTTATTTTGTTTCATTGGAATGCTCAAGAATGATCTAATGCTGTGAGTTGGTTTTCAGAAGGCCTCAGATATTGATATAGACAAGGAAAAGAAGGCTCAAGAATCGCAGGAAGCATGGCAACAGACACTTGCTTCTTTCAAAGAACAAGCCTTAAAAATGCAGAGCATATCTAAGGAAGCCTATGAACAATATTCTAAAAAAGCAATTATCATTCTGAATGAGACATCTGAAAAATTGAAAATTCAAGCCGAAAAGGCAAGACAAGATGTGAGTGAAATTGCCAAAGAAATTGCGGAGGAGAGTAAAGAATACTTGGCCACAGCTGCAGAAAATTCCCCTGAGGCAATGAAAGATATTGTTGAAACATTTGCAGATTCCAGTGATGAGCTCAGTGACATGTCTAAAGTGCGAGACTTTTATGTTGGAATACCTTATGGTAAGCTCATCAGTGTATAATCAAGCTCCGTGTGAGTTATAAAGTAATGCATTTGGTTTTGTGCAGGTGCTTTTCTTTCGGCTGGAGGCTTCCTTTCGTTTATGCTCACTGGAAGCATTCCTGCAATCCGATTTGGTGTTATACTTGGTGGTACTCTTTTGGCCTTGGGTATATCAAGTTTGAGATCATGGAAAAGGGGGGAACCATCACCCTTGGCCTTGAAGGGGCAGGCAGGTTAGTCTTCTGCTGTAATTAAGGAATACTGTACCCTATTTGTCTAAAAGAATGAAATATGATACATGTGTAGTAGACTGTTGGATTTTAAATTGCTGACTCAAATGTTGCTGCTGAAAATGTTAATTTAAACTTAAATAATATCAATATTTTCTTCTTACAGCTCTCAGTGACTGACTAAGGTTGTAGCTTAATAAACTTTTACCTATGAATAGTGGTGAAATTAGCCGATTTGTGTTTTACAGCTGGGATAAAACTTTTTACAATCTGATTAAGTAATTTGAATACATGGTTATCTTTGCATCATGTTGAGAAGTTATCATTGAATATGTGGGATAGCATGTGTGGTTGCTTATCTGTTTAAATGTTGTTCAAAGGTATACTAATCTTTAGAATGCATTTTATTCTCACTTGTGTTAACACACAAGCTATTGCATTCGCATAATTATTTTATAGTGAGTCATTGCAAGCTCATCAGATGAATTGGATTGTTTGACTTTCTTTACAGATTATATTTTTAATGTTTGAAAATTGGTTAGGCATGCATTATAGTTTTGTATTTTCCTATCTTTGCAGTGATTGCCAGTGTCTTATTTATTAGGGAAATGCGCATGCTGTCTATGGTAAGATCTGTTCTACCACAATCCCAGAAACAGATTATGGTTTTTTACCTTAACATTGTGCCTGTATTATCTGCAGCGAACCTTTATTGCCAATTTCATTTCCACCACAATAAGGTACACCTTATCTTGCATCTCTACTTTTGTTGATTTTCTCTGTGATATATCAGTCTTTTATAATATATATTTTTTAACCCACTGCTGTATGAAGTATCAATTTGAGTACGCCCTCAGTGCGGTGCATTAGCACTTGCAACTGAATTCAGTTTGGCATTGTGCTTAGAAGGTTATGTTGCATACAATAAATGTGAAAAATGAAGGGATGCATTTTGTGAATCTTAAGACAGGGAAGAAGAGCTGATTAGAGGAATGTTTGTGGCAGTACCTGAGGTGTTGAGAGTTGTTGAGGCAGGCTGGGGAAAAATAAACAGCTATTCTCAATTATATCATGGATCCTGCGTGTTGAGAAATGTTTAATTCCGGCTTAGTTTATGACGTTTTAAGCTTTTACATTTGTCCGTCGGTCCCTGAGCCCGGTGAAAGTGACTTGGTATATTTGGTGATGTGCAGTGGTGGAGTAGTTGCATTCTATCTCTACAGGATTGTTACAGATAAAGGGCGCTCTGGGGGGGTTCATTTTGAAGGGGAACCAGGAAATTGATCTTGAGCTTGGCACTGGAAATGGATGGGTAAGTTTTCATTGGAATTGGAAACAACACCTGAATTTATTTGAGTGATGTACACAGTTAAAGAAGTAGTCATGGCACATCCATTTTTCAGGCATATTCATGTGAACCTGACGACAAGATTTGGCCTCGCCAAGACTTGGTGGCGGTGCTCCAGTGAATGAAAGGGATTGGGTTGAACTGAATCTTGAATGTGGTGGTGTGGGTTGGGGGTATTTGTTTGCTTTTTTGCTTGCTTACTGTTGGAGCTTGGTAGATAGATAGATAGATAGGGATATCTATTCAGTCCAATAAATTAACGAAACCTCTCTCTCTCTCTCTCTCTCTCTCTCTCTCACTCACTTGACCGTCCCCCATAGATGTTGGATCCCACGGGTCTCCTACAGAAATAAGCTGCATGCATGCTTTCCCTTGATTAGCTTAACTAGTTTAGCTCGCATGGCTAGTTTCATTGGTTTTGGATAGCGTTTTATTTTATTATAATAATAATAATAATAACATAATATGCATATGAATTATAATTATATATACATTGTATATACTTTTGTTTGTATAAAATCTATAGGTACATGATATTATTTCATTTCACGTCAATGATATTCCAATTTTAGATCGAATCCATCATGGCAAGCCAATTTATTTCCATCCGAGACTGCGGAATTGTATCTATAACCAGCCGGATTCCAACAGTTACAATTAGGCGTCCGTCTGTGCTCCCTTCTTAACTGCTGATGGTACATGGACCATGTATGTTTCTTTCTTCCATTTTGCAATCAATTTCAATGGTTGTTCCCATCCATCTTGATTGCAACCACCACCCCACCCCACCCCACCCCGCACAAACGCATGTCTATCATGAGTAAATTTTTGGATTCGGGCTAGTGAGATTGATTAATGAATCTTATTGATTCACAGATGCGCTCTGAATAATTTGATTGATTAAAACATCTGGCGTGTGCCTGTAGGCTGTAGTAGTAGCAGCAGTATATTAGTTAGAATGTGTGCCTGTAGGCTGTGGTAGTAGCAGCAGTATATTAGTTAGAATGTATGATCGTAGGCGACATCTGCCGCTGCAGCTTCTTTGCTTCTTCTTTCTCTCTCAAGGATGGCAGTGGAGATACCCTCTGCAAGAAGGCAAGACATACACATATATAAATATATGCTCCATCAAAAATATATTTTGTGTGTGTAAAAAGTTTTTCTGGAATGAATTGAGACGTAAAGCGCAGATCACTCACTAGTCACTATATATGTGGTGTATAGCAGGAGCTGTGTGAATGAATGCTAACAGTAATATTTATACATACATAATGTAAAGATGGATTTGGATTGGTTACCGCGGATGCTAGTCGGATCTGGTGGAGGCGATAGAGGCGGTCCAGCTCCATCTCGAGCTGCTTCTGCACCTCCCATCGGCTGAGAATCTCCTTCATCCGCAAATCGAGTGAGAGGGCCCTCTCCCTCAACAACTTGTCAGTCCTGTCCTTGTCGATTCGCACTCTCTGGAGTCTTTCCCGGAGAGCACCGAGCTCATCGGCCAGCGATGCGTCCATTTGCGGAACAGGAAAGGAGAAAGGCTCTGTCTCTGGCTCATCAGTGGTAGTAGTCGTAATTACAACAGAGCAGAGAGGAGGAGGAAGAGGGAAATGCTGATGATTCTCCTTGTTGTGTTCATGTGCAGGTTGGGGATGGGGATGGGGATGGGGCTTTGAAGAAGTGGGATGGGCAGGAGCAAGAGCAACAGCAGGTGGGGGAGCATCGGTAGTGGGATGATGATTCTTGGGGCGGAGAGGCACCCGAGGTTGAAGAGTAGCAGCAGCATCAGCAGGAGCTTGGCATCGAGGTTGAGGAGGAGGAGCGGCCACCACCATGCCTGAATCTGATCTGATACCTGAAACCTACCTGATGTATGGATGGATGGATGGTGGAGGAGAAGAAGAGGAGAAGAAGCAAGAATGAAGATTGCCCACTAGTATTATATACTACTTACTATATGTCCCTATATTCTTTCTACTGTTGTTCTTCACTTGCTTTTGGGTGGGCCCGAGTGCGTGGATTTCAAATTTGGGTTTGAATTTGAAAGCAGCCGAGCGGACAACGGCTACTGCTTCGCTCTTACGTTAAAGTTAATAAATTATTTGTTATCCAAATAAAATATTTAATTGTTTAACTTGCGTCTTACTGGATAAGACAGTATTGGGCTGGGATGGGCCATAGCGTTCCCAAACTCCTTCCAAGTCAAATGCGTAGGCCCATCCTTTTGTTTGGAATTATGGTGATACTCTACAATTTCCTTGTTTTAATACTTGAGAGAGAGAGAGAGAGAGAGAGAGCAGCACGCACAAATACAGAGATGGATAGATGAGATGAGGTAGAAATCAGGTGGGTGTGGGTAGCTGCCGTTTTGCTTTAGCGAATGACAATAGGAGAGAACTAACGGAAGAAAGAATTAAAATCCAAGACAAAGTGGAATGATCAGCACTGCTGCAGTGCAGTAGTAGTTCCGAAGGCGAGGGAGGAGAAGAGGGTCGCCCTTTGTCTGCCTGCCTGTCTGTCTGTCACCCACACACGCACCTGTCTCATCCTCCTCCTCTTCTTCTTCTTCTTCACTTCCTCTATCTATCCATTCAAGTGAGGAAGAAGACGATCGACGAGCCCTCAGTCCGAGTCTGACAGATATGGTGGCTTCCCTCGTCTTCCCCCGTCCTCCAACATTTCTTCAAGATTCTTCTTCTTCTTCTTCTTCTACCGCCTCCCGATTCACCCATTCGACGACGGATCATTCCAGCTCCAGCTCCAGGCATCATCATCCCCATCCTCTCACAAGGTTAAGGAACCATATTCCCCTCTCCTGCGGCGCATTCTTCTCCGATACCCTATCCAACGATATTATTAATAATTCCCTTCATCTGGAGGCTGCGCCGCTGTATACCACTGGCACTGCCCTCCTCCGCCAACTCCAGGAACTCCCCGCCCAACTTCCAGAGGCTCAGAGATGGGGTTGGTTTGCTTTTGCTGGAGTTACCTGGATTTACTTGACCGCCACTCCCGGCGTGCTCGTTGGCGCCATTGATGCCTACCTCCTGGCTCCCGCGCAACTGCTTTTCGACACTTTGACCGGGAGGAGGGGTTTGAACAGTAACAATTTCTTGGTCGGTAATAGGCTGGGCGAAGGATCCTTCGGCGTCGTTTATTCTGGAATGGTTTTTCCCAGGAATGTAAGTGTGGACGCGACGTTACGGGGTACTGCAAATGCAAGCAGCAGAAGCAGAGCAAGTTTGAAGGTGGATGGGAGGTCTACAGAGAGAGTTATCCTGAAGAAGGTTAGCTAGCGGTTGAGTTGAGTCGAGTCCTGGTGTACTACTGACTACTGAGAGAGAATCGAAGTGTGGAGTTAGTAGTTGAAGAATCAAAGAGCTAATTTGCTAGAGCTATTGCTATTGCTAATTTGCCATTGCTATTGCTATTGCCGAGTGCTACTGCTAACCCCGATACTAACAACTAATATTGCATTTTTACATTTACAATTAGCAGGTAAAAGTTGGGGTGAGAGGAGCTTCGGAGTTTGGGGACCTTGAAGAGTGGTTCAATTATAGGCTATCGAGAGCAGCCCCTGAGACGTGTGCAGAATTTCTGGGAAGTTTTGTAGCTGATCGAACGAGTACCCAATTCGCAAAGGGTGAGAAATGGCTTGTCTGGAAATACGAGGTTGGTTGGCGCACCTACTACTACTACTACTACTTGTTCTTCTTCTTCTGCTTCGTCTGTCTTTTTGCCTCATCAGATGGATCATTCAACTGACGATCGATCAGAAACAATCTTCGTCTGTCTTTTTGCCTGCAGGGGGATTTGGACCTCGGGGACTACATGAAAGATCGGAGCTTTCCTAGGAATTTGGAGTCGGTCATGTTCGGACAAGTCCTGCAAGGCCTCGAGTCCAGGGAGCGCAGCGCGTTGATCATAAAACAGATAATGCGACAGCTTATCAGCTCCCTCAGGAAAATCCACAGCACGGGCATAGTTCACAGAGACGTGAAGCCATCCAATCTGGTAGTCACCCGAAAGGGGCAGGTCAAACTTATTGACTTCGGGGCTGCAACAGACCTCCGCATAGGCAAAAACTACACCCCCAATCGTACCTTGATGGACCCTGACTATTGCCCCCCTGAGCTTTATGTAATGCCTGAGGAAACTCCCAATCCTCCGCCAGAACCCATAGCTGCCCTTCTTTCTCCAATCCTGTGGCTGGTAGTAGATGCTAGATAGATAGATAGATATACATCATATATATATATATATATCATATATGTCAATTCAATGCCCATGCCATCGTCCCCTTTCCTACTACTTGTTCCGTTAATCTTTCTTGGTTGCTCTTGCAGCTCAACAGTCCTGATCTGTTTGACATGTATTCTGCTGGAATAGTACTCCTGCAAATGGCAGTGCCAAACCTAAGGACCAGCGCAGGGCTGAAGAACTTTAACCTGGAGCTGAAGGGTGTGGGCTATGATCTGAATAGATGGAGGGACAAAACTCGATCAAGGCCAGACTTGAGCATTCTGGTTGAGCTTGATTCTGGCAGAGGCTGGGATTTGGCCACAAAACTAGTGGCAGAGAGAAGGGGACGCCTTTCTGCCGCCGCTGCCTTGAGGCATCCTTACTTTCTGTTGGGCGGTGATCAAGCTGCTGCCGTCCTCTCTAAATTCACTTCGCTCGGCCAGCAGCAGCAGCAGCAATGATTTGCTGCCATTTTCGTCATCCACACTACCTACCTTCTGAATTGAAGGTGAAGGTGAAGCTATCAACAAATTCCTTATTATGCACTGCCTTCTCGTGAGGCTGAGATGGGCCCTGTACTATTCTCTCCTGTATTAGTTTTTTCTCAACTATCTGAGTGTCGTCTGCTGCGATGAGGTGGGGACACAATCATTGGCTCCATCAATCATATTCGTTTGCACATACATACAAACAATCGATATTATATTATGCAGCCAGTATATATCTGACCGAGTGGATCCGGTGTATTGTGTTGGGTATATATATACATATCAATAGAGTGATTGAGCAATCAAAGTTCATAGTGCAGGGAAGGGGCGTGGGCGTGGGCATGGGGATGCTTTCGCTTGCAGCCCCATCGGCACCTCCAAGAGCACATGGAGTTGAACATCTTCATCCGCTTGGAGTGGAGGGAGATGATATTGGCGGTTGAGAGGGACCTGGACAGCACAACTGCATACCCATCATCCATGTAGTCTGTGCCCTCGGGGAAGAGCTGCCAGAGGAGGCTGCCCCCGCCCCCACCCCCCCTCTTGGTGGAGTCCAGGAGCGTCTCGTACACGCTGCTGATCAGGGTGTCGCGGTAGCTTGCATTGTAGCCGGGGTCCTTTGCCGACACCCCGAACTCGCAAAACACCACCGGCATCCCCAGGAATTGTTCTGCATCTTCGATGTGGGCTTGCATCCACCTCCTCGTGAACTCAACCATATGTGCCTCCGAAATGGGTTGATCAGCAGCAATCCTACCACAAATGAATGAATGGATTAGATAGATGCATGGCTGTCTGGCTTGGCGTTTACTAGTCTACGTAACCTAGTAGTAGTAGTAGCAGCAGCAGTACCAGGAATCCGGGTAGATGTGGACAGAGGCGAAATCCACCCCAAGAACCTGATGGTTGCGGATGAAGTCAGTCCCAACTCGCTGGGCATAAGCATTGGGGTTGTACCCAACTTTGTTGGGAGTTGAAGGCCCGTAGAAACCTTCAACCCCAATCTCCACCAGATGCTTTGGATCAATGCTTTTCACATACACGGCCATTTCTTCTATCCAACCCTGACGAGGAGGAGGATCCATTATATCATCCATGCACACATACATATATATATATAATACATATACATAAATGAGGAAACCAAACCTGTAACTTGTCGCCTGAGGGATCTGATTCACAGCGCGGCTCGTTCATAAGTTCCCAAGCAAAAATTGTTGGGTCATCCTTGTACGTTATGTTTGTTACTGTATTAACTCGGTTCAGCACTTTCTGCAGTTTTTTGGAAGAAGAAAACAAAACAAAAAAAAGGAGAGTGGGATGAATGATGATGAGGCCGACAATTACTATACATATATATATATATGTGTGTGTGAGAGAGAGAGAGAGAGCAGCGGCAAAGCACTAGAGCAGCGGAGATTGAGAAGAAGCAACTGAACTGACATTGAGATGAGCCTTGTAATAGATCTTGATATTGGGATGAGAAAAGAAGTCATCATCAGAAGTCAAATTGAGGCCTGCAGCGTTACCCCATTTCACATACTGCGATTTCCCACCATAGGCTTCCCAATTGTTTACCAGCGATAGTATGAGCCTTATCTTGTACCTGCGTGCTTCGCTGATGACAAAATCCAACCCCTGCACGCACGCAAACAAAACAATTATGGATCGGAGTTGAAGCTAAGGAAGGATAGATATGGGTCACTTATACCATTATATATATATATATATGGATATGCAGAATCGAGAGAGAAAGATAGAGAGAGGGAGAAAGAAACCTTGAAGACTTGCTCATCGTAAACAGAAGGGGATGTTTGGAGAGCTCGCCACTGGCCATCGTTGAAAGCCCAGGTCCTGCAAACCGATAGACCCGCAGCTGATGCTTGTTCAAACACCTCACTCACCTTTCCCCTGGTTGACTCATCCACCGCCAACACCATTAGCCAGTAAGTGTTGAATCCATTCACGTAAAACGGTCTGCCATTCACGCTGAATTGGTTCCCATTCTTCTTCACCATGCTCCATTCATCCTCCTCCTCCTCAAATCTGCAGTCAGACACACACACACACAGCTGACCAGTGACAAATTACATACATGGCATGCACATTTATTTAATATGGACTGTAAGAATATATATCGGTCCATTCATAGATCTTCATTAATTAATTAATGGAGTAATATATGTTTATAACGTCGTCGTCGTCATCTACGATACATAATAATACATCAGTGGCCGTCGACCACCTGTTGTTGCTCCTCCCAGCCCCACAATAATATCCCGCGCCACTTTCCTCCTCCAACTCAAAACTCTCATATCTAGTAGCAGTATCAACATCAACAATGGACGATGACGATGATGATGCATGGTGAAGAAGCAATGCGTGTGTGAGCACTAAACAAATGGCTGCAACAAGTAGCCCATACTTGGAATCCATGTTTGCAGGCAGGTGCAGCTAGCGGAGCAGCAGGAGCCCCATTGAATTAATTATCTACCTATTTATATAAGGTCGGGTCGGGTCGGGTCTTGGTAATTATTTTTTGGGATGCTTGCAAGTAGGTGAAATCCAGGAGCTGCTGCTGCTGCATATGCCTTTCTGCCTCCCTTCAAAGCAAAGATGCACTTTCTTCTCTTTCAAATTAACCAATACTATAGTACTCTATATATATTATATGTATAATTGCTGGAGCAGCAATTAATGCTTATAAGTTTCCTCTAGCTAGCTCCATGCCTTGCCACCACCATCACCATCATCACCCCAGTCTATTCTATTCTCTATCTCTTTTCGATCTCGTTCGGGTTCCTATTACTACTACTACTATTCTTACAAAAAAAAAAACAAAAAAAACCCAAATAAACAAACTTAGAATGAGCTTGCTGGCTAAATTTATTATTATACATGATGAGCCCCCACTTGATCATATATACCGGATACATAATGCGTATGGATTAACAATTTAAGTAGGAATGGGACAAGTGTAATTCCCAGCTACCCCCGACCCATATACATAATACATATAATCTCCTTATAATTAAATTGCATGCATGGGAAAAATACATAAGGTGAATAATGGAGTATTATTTAATATGGTAGGTTCCCTTCACTTTTATTGGCATACATATATATGGCCAATATAATTAATTATAAATATCATTTCTGATTAGCCCCGATGATCGAATACATACGAGCTAGCTAGCACCACGATCAATCAAGTGGATAACATACAGATGGATATGAATATTGGCTCGATGTAATTAATTCGAAATATATAAAATCGTTATGTATAGATATATACCTCACGGTGGAGGATGGATGCATTAATAGTTTCTTCCACCATGAAGTGCTGCCCGGCGCTGTGCATCTTGGCAAGTACTCCCGCAATTGCAGTTTGAAGTGACGACGGTGGTGATCCCCGGAGGCGGAGGGACAGCAAACCCTACTGCCGCTGCTCAGCTGCACCTGCATCTCCATCTCCATGAATATCTATCTATGACTGCGTGCGTGTGATGAAGAAGAAGCTAGACAGAGAAAGCCTCGATCGATGCTTTTCTTGTTTAATTGATAAAATATTAATGAAAAATCAATACAATTATATATACATATATAGTCAGTCATACATCATACATACATATATATTAATGCGGCTGGGGGAAAGATGCATACTAGGATTTATTGATTACGAAAGAATGAAATGCTGACGACGACTGCGGCGCAACATACAACAAACGGCGACCATCCATCATACATGCATATATCTATATATATATATATATATAAACACACACATTAATGCGACCGACCCACCGACGGCCCGTATCCGTATCTCCAATCCAAATATTGTTGCGAAATTTGGGAAAATCAATAAACTAAAAACACAAAGAAAGACACACGATTTATTGACATCAGAATAATTAATCTACATTTTGGCGGTCAAATATTTTGACAAGTATTATTATTATTATTATTATTGATATTATTTTGTGAAAAAGTGAAATCGAATGATTGGGGATGTGTAAGTACCCCTAGCTCCTCCAAGCTCCGCTCACAACACAACAAACTAAACATATATATATATATATATATTACACAGAGAGAGAGAGATTGAGAGAGAGAGAGAGAGAGAATTGACAAGCAGAGATGGATCGATCAGCCAGCAACGATGCCTGCTAACTTCTGACCTTACATGGAGTCGAGAGCCGTAGTCGACTTTGCTCCTGCGAACTGATCGATGCAAACCAAAGAGGAGTATTTGATTTGAATTTGTGCATCAATTAATAGCCTCTGTAATTTTATTTCTATTTTTCAAATTAATTGATTTCGCCTTTAATGTATTTTCTTTAACCAAAGCTTTAGGAATTTGTTAGCTCTAATTACATGAGTTGGTACTCTCTCTCTCTCTCTCTCTCTCTCTCTCTCTCTCTCTCTCTCTCTCTCTCTCTATATATATATATATATATAGATTATGTTATTGTTAGTTTTCAGCCAGTTTATTGCTATAGATCGAATTTGCTCTTTTGATAATTTTCTTTCTAAATTTATTCTGTTCAACTTTCATGATTATATTACATTATAAAAAATCAAAATTAAAATCCAAAAATTTAAATAAATAACCGTTGTATGAACTTTCATGAATACAAATCTTCCAACTTAAACTAATTAGCAATAGAACACTTAAGTCCCCATTCATATTCATCCTGTTGTATTATCATTTCATGTTAAATTTATACATTAATTACATTGTATTTAAACACACAAAACACATTATAAATCATACTAAGAATATACTAAAATTCTATAACAAACACACCCATACTTTCTGTAAATTTTTATTTTCAATTCAGCATATTTAAATATGGTTTATGCACTCAATAACACAAATTTTATTTCTTTCTAAAAATGTAGAATTTTTATATACATATATTTTCTCCGCTCCGCCACAAATGATTTATTGATCTTAAATATATTAAACAAATATCTATGTTGCAGTACATACTTTGAACCCTTTATTTTTATCTTTATACTTAATAAACAAATATTTTTTTATCTTATTTAAAACTTTTTATTTTTTTAAAAATTAATTTTAAGTTAATTATAAATAAATAAATATATACTCTTTCGTCTTATTAGAGCTGGTTCATTTTGATTGTGACATGATATTTTAAAAAAAAAATGTAGTTTAATTAGTTAATAATATTGAATTAAATTTTTTTTTTTACTTTTTTATGTGAGTAATATTATTTTAATTCTAAAATAAAAATTAATGTATATAATTAAAATAAATTTAAAATATATATTTAAATATTTTAATAAAAATATATGCAATATAAATATAATTTTGTGGATAATAAAATTATTATATATTACAAACAAATAAAATATATATATTTATTTATTTATAATTAAGATAAATTAAATATCACAAAAAAAAGAAAGGTTTTTAATGTAAATATTTATATTTGTTTGTTGGGAAGAAATAAAAAGAAAAGAATTTTGAGTTGGTCCATTGAATGTCACGAATGAAGTATTTTTTATTTATTTGTATTATATAAAATTTTATTATCTAAATAATATTCATATTATATATATTTTTTATTTAGATATAATGGTAAACATATTTAAAATACCTACAATACTATTCATATAAAAAATAATAAAATAATATCATAATTTATAATTTACTAATCTATACTATTTAAATAATCGTGTCAAAAATAAAAAATCACCAATTCTAAAACAGAGAAAGTATTTCTATTTGTTATTTTTATAACCCAAAAATACAAAATAATATGATTTTCTATTTTTTAAAAAAAAAATGAAGAAGAACAAGAAAAAGTATATACGGTGACATCTCTAAAGGAAAGTATTAGTTATAAATTTGGTATTTGGATGACATTTATATACTACTTCTGTCTGATTTCAAATGTTTCATTTATTTTTTTGTTATTAATTATTATACGAAAACATAGTACAAATTAATAAAAAAAAATATTTATATTAATGTCTTATAATACTATTATAATGACATTTGTGTAAAAAATTATACAAATATAATAATATTTTTAATGTAAAGTATAATGATGTAAAATGTAAATGAAACTTTTAGAATAGACGGAGAGAGTATAAAGTAATTTTATGTGTAATGATAAATTTATACTTTAAATAATAGTTAAAAGCATTTTAATATTAGTAAAAAACATACTTTGAAATAAAATATACAAAAATGATATAAAAAAAAAGAAAAAAAAGAGAGAGACAATTTAAATTGGGACGATGAGAATCATATATATTTGGACAAGATTATGCTATTGAGCCACCCAAAGTTACCCATGCCCTTAAATGGGCTGGCCTTGGCTTGAATACTCTATAAGAAAGTCCTGTATGTGTGTATATGTCTGCTCACATCATCGAATTAGTTTTATACTTATTTTTACGATGGATGTTGAAAAAGAAAAATTGCAAAATAAGTAGTGTGTTGTTATGTTTGTAAATGATTTTTAAAGGAATGGGAAGAGCAGAGCAAATGGGCTTCCGTTTTGGCAACAAATAATAATAATAATAATAATAATAATAAAAATAAATAAATAAATTAAATTGACAAAAAGAGTGAGAGTGGGCCGGCCAGTCCACTTGTGCATATGAAGGCGGTGGAATTGATTGGGTGCTGGCGGCACTGGCACTGGCACTGGCACTGGCACTGGCAGCCACCCAGCCAGCCTTGCAGCAGTTGAGAGTATTATTAATTATTATTACCATGTATATTTATTTATTATAAAGTGTGTGGGAATTGCGACTGGAATTGGAATTGGGATTAGAATTGAAATGCAGAAAGAGATAAGGGTTGTGTCATGTATGTATGTGGGAACCGCACCTAACGTGAGGGCCTGTTCTGCTCTCTATCTATACAATAATAATAATAAGGGTAGAAGTTAACAGTACTAAGTAATTAAGTATGTATGTGTCGTGATTATTAATTATGTATGAAAGAAAGGAAAGAGGGGAGGCATGCTGAGCATCTTCTTCTCTTGCAGCTGTAAGGTAGGCCCCACTTGGCCGGGGCCTGGGCTGGGGACAGCTGTAGGATCTTTTCTACCGAGACATACGGGGAGTCTATGTGATGGTGAAGGCCAGGCCAGGCCAGGCCAGGACAGGGTGTGTGGGTGTGTCCGTACGTGTTAGGCACCAGTCCACCGCCCGAGCTGCCTCGCCTCGTTTCTTGTCTTTATTTTTTCTATATAATAATGCCATCATCATAATCATATATGCGAAACCGCGTACGCCTACCCTGTACTTTACTCTTATTATTAAAATTATTATTTTTACTTTATTATTATACTATTGTTCAATCAATTTTACTTGTATTCTTTATTATTATTATTATATTATTATAGTACTAGTATATTTTATCATCAATCGACTTATTAACTTAACAACCCACACCGCTAGGCCAGCCCAGCCCAGCCCAGCTGTTCTGCTCTGGTTGTGCATACCGCACTACACTGCCCTACACTGTACACAACAACATACTGATCGATCGGTGTGTAGCGGAACGACTCCCCTTCCCTCCACTCACTCACACACACGTAACCATACCATCACCATCATTATTGTATGTTTAAAAAAAATCTCCCGGGAGATGTATGTATATGTATGTATATGGTTCTTGGCTGCTTCTGCTGCTTCTCATCTCACATTTATTTATTATTTTCGTTTGCTCCTCTCTCACTCTCTCTCCTCCTCTAACTCTATAACCTCTCTCATCTGACCCACTCGCCCCTTTTGCCTCTCCCTTCTCCTCCTCTCGTCAATGAATGACTTGAAGATCGCAATTTTTTTGTGCTAGCAGGCGGATCTTTCAGGTAACTCTCTTATTCTCCGCCTCCTCCTTCGTGTTTTAACTGTGACGGATGCTAATGATGGTGGTGCTGATTGATGATACATATTCCATCCTCGTTTTTTAGCTTCCCGGTCTAGGGTTTATGTGGATCTGTAACCTTGTATTTCCTCTGGCCTCGATCCCACCCCACCCCCTTCTTAGTTTCTTCAATTTTTTTTTGAATGGTGGTTGCGCTTTATTTTCTTCAACTTCCAAGATTCATGTGCAGTTCCAAGCTTTTTCTTTTATGTTCGTGTCCTTGTCGTTAGCGCGTCTCCTGCCCTGTATGTGGTGGATCTCGGCTCTTTTCACACACCACAGCTCCTTATATGCTTAGATCTGCTGCGGCGCGGCGTGTTGTAGTTAGTGTAGAGGTCAGATAATTTAATCGTTTCTCTTATTTCTGGTTGGTCAGAACTTTGGCGGCGTAGCTATTGATCGCACATCCATGAGAAACAGCAATACCTGGTGGCTCCTCTGGGCTCCTAGCTTTCTCCTGCTGTTGGTTTCGGTTGAGGTAATATCAGCCGCTGATTACGTACCATCAGATAAGATCTTCTTGAACTGTGGAGGTCCCCCTGAGTCTACGGATGCTGATGGTCTTAAATGGACGTCGGACATCGGGTCTACCTTTGCCACGTCACCCACCAGCAAGTCGTCTTCAACTGCTTCGGCGTCCATACAAAAGCCATCGGTGCCTGAAATTCCTTACATGACAGCGCGCATCTTTCATTCCGAATTCACCTATAGCTTCCCAGTGGCAACAGGCCGCAAGTTCCTGCGTTTGTATTTCTACCCCGCATCCTACAATGGGCTTAATGCTTCGAGTGCAATCTTCTCAGTTACTTCCGGGGAATATACACTGCTGAGGAACTTCAGTGCTGCTCAAACAACTGAGGCTCTAAACTACGATTATATGATGAAAGAGTTCTCTGTTAATGTGCCCTCCGGCTCCAAGGTATTGAATGTCACCTTCTCTCCTTCCCCAAATGCGTCCGACTCGTATGCATTTGTGAATGGGATTGCTGTTGTGTCGCATCCCGACATCTATAGCACCGACGGGACTGTACCTGTGGTTGGCCAGTCCACTGGCTTCCCCCTCGACAACAGTACCTCGCTCGAGAATGTGTATCGTCTGAATGTGGGCGGAAATGACATCTCACCCTCTGGCGATACTGGGCTATATAGGTCGTGGCGTGATGATGCCTCATATATATATGGTGCAGCGTATGGGGTTACTGAGGTTCGTGATCCAAACGTGACTGTCCAATCGCCGGGTTTCAATGCCCCGCTTGACGTGTACAATACACTCAGATCAATGGGGCCAAATTCATCCGTCAACCAGAATTACAATCTAACATGGTTCTTCGATATTGATTCTGGATTCTCGTACCTCGTTAGGCTTCACTTCTGCGAGATATCGGATATCATTACAAAAGCCAACCAAAGAGTCTTCACTATCTTCCTGAACAATCAGACGGCGGAGGAAGAGGCCGATGTTATTGGGTGGGCAGGAAGTAACGGCGTGCCTGTTCACAGGGATTATATAGTCTTTGTTCCCACTGGGCCTCCTCGCCAGGAGCTTTGGCTTGAATTGCATCCTTACACGCAGGGAACTCCCCAATACTATGACGCCATCTTGAACGGAGTGGAAATATTCAAAATAAATGATACCACCGGAAATCTTGCTGGCTCAAATCCAGATCCTCTTCCAGAAGCCCCAGTCGACCCCTCGGCCGACCAGTCCTCTGGATCTGGTAAAAGTCACAAAGCTGTTATTGGAGGAGGGGTTGGAGGTGGAATTGCCGCCCTTCTTCTGGTTGGTTTATTTATTTGCATCCTTTCGCGAAGGCATAAGCAGAAAAAGGATTCTAGCACTAGCGATGGGTGGCTTCCTTTGTCATTATATGGAAACTCTCACTCGTCTGGTTCTGCCAAGACGAACACCACGGGAAGCTATGCTTCCTCCCTCCCGTCTAACCTTTGCCGCCATTTTTCAATTTCCGACATCAAGGCTGCAACAAATGACTTTGACGAGGCTCTTCTCCTTGGAGTTGGGGGTTTTGGCAAAGTGTATCGTGGTGAGATTGACAGTGGCACCAAAGTGGCAATCAAGCGAGGGAACCCACTGTCTGAGCAGGGAGTGCATGAATTCCAAACGGAGATTGAAATGCTCTCAAAACTTCGCCATCGTCACCTTGTTTCTCTCATAGGATATTGCGAGGAGAACTGTGAAATGATCCTTGTATATGATTACATGGCTTATGGAACACTCCGCGAACATCTCTACAAGACCCAAAAGCCACCACTGCCATGGAAGCAGAGACTTGAGATTTGCATAGGTGCAGCGCGTGGATTGCATTATTTGCACACTGGAGCAAAGCATACTATAATACACCGTGATGTCAAGACTACTAACATACTCTTAGACGAGAAGTGGGTGGCGAAGGTCTCTGATTTTGGCCTGTCAAAAACTGGTCCGGCGCTGGATCACACCCATGTCAGCACGGTGGTAAAGGGTAGCTTCGGATACCTGGATCCTGAGTACTTCAGAAGGCAACAACTGACGGAAAAATCTGATGTCTACTCGTATGGTGTTGTGCTCTTTGAGATCCTATGTGCCAGGCCTGCTCTGAACCCTACGCTGGCAAAGGAGCAGGTTAGCTTGGCGGAGTGGGCTCAGCACTGTTATAAGAAGGGCATCCTGGACCAGATACTGGATCCCTATCTCAAAGGGAAGATTGCGCCCGAGTGCTTTAAGAAATTTGCAGAGACTGCAGTGAAGTGTGTGTCGGATGTAGGGACAGACCGGCCGTCCATGGGCGATGTGCTGTGGAACCTGGAGTTTGCACTGCAGCTTCAGGAGAGTGCGGAGGAGAGTGGGAAGGGCGGCGGCCTGGGACTTGGAGGGGGAATGGACATGGAGTATGATGATGATGCATCTTGCAAGGTGAAGAAAGATCCCGATTCATCCGCGGGGGGTTTCGACGGGAACATCACGGATTCAAAGAGCAGTGGAATGTCGATGAGCATTGGAGGCCGCAGCCTTGCCAGTGAGGACTCGGATGGATTGACCCCAAGTGCGGTGTTCTCGCAGATAATGAATCCCAAAGGGAGGTGAGTGTGGTGTATTGTATTGTATATGAATATATGCATGCACGCATGCCATTTGCCATTCGCCATGGATAGAGAGAGTTGCTGGGGTTGGAAAGGGGAGAGAGGTTGTTCTCTCTCTCTCTCTCTTTTTTTTTTCTTTCTTCTTTTGTCTTGTCTTGTGTATTATTTGTTTCTATCATTATTTTGTTTCTTTCTCCCGTTTGGTTCAGAACTATACTACCGCCAAGCCAAGATGTATGTACCATTCTGATGATCCAAGTAAGTAAATGTCTGTGAGAGAGAGATGGGATCGTTCTCATTTCATATTTCTTCCTGTTTTGGGCGCTGCCTGCTGTAAGAGTAGTGCCATTTAACTCCCTGACTGCAGAATTTTTGGTATTTGCCAATACTGAGGAGCGAGCGTGCCACTGTTTTTAAATTTACTATGTCCCCAACCCAAACATATACGTTTATGCTAATAATAATGCTAGGGAGGGAGCGGAAGCAGAAAGTGTCCGCCAGCTTGAAAGCCGCCAGCCAAGCCAATATGATGAGTCGATGAGAATTCATTTGATCTCCAGATAAAAACACGATCGCAGGGCAACCAATTGAATCATCACACCTGACTTAGTAGTTATGCCATTGCATGTTTACAACCGATTCGACCATGACACCTGATTTCTTACGTCATTACATGTTTTACAACCGATTCAACCATCCATCACACCTGATTTATTGTAATAAAAATCAATCTGTCTGGCTAGCCTCATTAGTCACAGCATCCAACTCAAGATATCCAATCCCATCCCATCCCATCCCGCATCCTCCATACACTTAACACACACAAAAAAAAAAAAAAAAAGACCTAATTAATCTACAAGTGTACATTTACAATCAGGTACATGGATGGAAGCATCTACTAAGAGTCTAAGAACAAGCTCCAAACTATGTTTGGCGTGGCACTTCCAAATCTAGAATTGCAACCATCTTCTTCTGTAGCTCCGGTTTGTTGGCCCCAACAAGTTTGTCAATCTGTTGTCCATGTTTTAGGAAGAAGAAGGTTGGCGTTGCTTTAATATCCCATGACGTACTGAACTCCTGAGACAAACAGGATCAAATCCCTTGGTACTGGAGTTTAGCTAACAGTACACACACACACACACAGAATTCAGAAATTACAACACAGTGATTATAATCATTTCAGCTCGCTGAGCTGCAGGACTTACGATGAGTTCATCGACATCAACTGTCAGAAACATCATCCTCGTATGTTTCTCAGATAGCTGAATGTAGAAGGGAGCAATCATTTTACAAGGGCCACACCAGGTAGCACTAAAGTTGGCAATCACCTGGCACATATTTGATCCACGTTAGGATGAAAAATATCATTAAGGCAAGTAAGTGCATGTGATAGTACACAAACATGTTCCATCATATCATGTCCAATAACAACAGCAACTAGAGTTCTTTTAGCAGCTTAAATCTGCAATTTATAATGTTGGCAGTATCACCAACCTCCCCTAGATCTGCAACTCCAACCCTCAATGATGTGAACGGAAAAAAAGAAGAACAAAAACTCCTGTTGCATCTAGGGTGTCGTAGCAATAGCAAAAGAAGTTTCTTCCAGCACTGATGACAAGTGTAACATTTTAGCCATAATGATCAAATGTATCACATAAATTTTGTATACTTTCTAAGAAGGTATTAAGACTAACAACGTCAGTGCAAACTACTTCACTAATCATAATATAGAGACCAACAACATCAGTGCAAACTTTACCCATCATAAAATAGACCAAACTATCTTGTATATATCTCACATGTGTTGATTATTGATGTTGGACCTTTTTTTTTTCTTTTTTTTTCTTTTTACGGTATGTATGAAGTAATATAAAAGTAATGGAGGGAAAAAGAGACACACATCCATAATACAGTTTTATCAGTTGCTCTTAATATGGAGGACTTTTAGGAAGACTAAAACCCTACGTGGAAGACTTGTTCTATCAAGTTCCCTCTTCACCACATCGTTTTCCTGTCCCATAAGGCTGCTCAACTCTGATCTGGCTACCCAAGAGCTATAAGTATCATTAAGACTTACATTCATCAAAAGAATAGACTGCATTTCTAATACCAGTTACATGCCAGATACTTTCAATCCTTATCATGACATGTTGTCATACATTTTGAAAATTAAATGAGAGATGACAAGTTTTCAATGTTTCAGATAGCAGATTGGATTATACAAACAAGTTAACTTTTATGATTTTTTGTTACAATCCGAAGCCTAGGAGACAACAAGAATGAAAGATTCTTTCAAGAAGATTTTGAATTCTTCCCCCGACGAATCGATCAAGTCTAAGGCAATGTCTTTCTTTATTCTTTTTGTTTATATTTCTATGACTATTGAGTAGTTCTCTTTTCTAATTTAAGAGTGAAATTGACTTGGTATGAATTTGTGATATTTGACTTGTTTTGATTCTATGATATTCCGTTGGTTGATAAGCATTTTTGTGTTTTCAATTTTAAATATTTAATTATTTTTAATTCAGTTGGGCATTGGATGTCCGTAATTGCATTTTAATTTGATTAGGTAACAACGAAGAGATAGTCAATACTAAGGAATTATGAAATCAATTTTAAACATCTCCACATAGATAATTGTTGAATTAAATTAGTATTTTCTAGTTCGAAATGTGGTCAGAATAGTAAATACTTTATGGTGTCACCAGATTCTAATTCAATTAACCGGCGTACCTTGACTAAAAAATAAATAAGGAAAAACTGGTTATTACGTGTGTCGATAACTATAACTAATTTATTTAGAAGCCAACGGAAATAAATATTTATCAATGATCAAGTTTTTCTTTTCATAGAAAATCTAGAAGTCTTTTATTATTTCGGAAGTCAGACTTTCGTAAGATTTTTTCTATTTTAAACATTCGGAGATCAAATCTTTCTGATTCCCAGAGGAAACGATTCTATTCTTGCTATATTATGTTTGTTTTTATTGTGAAAGTGGGCTATTGATATTTAATTTTGAAGCGTGCGACTAATGTTGTCAATTTGTTCAAAGACTATAGAGACAAATGAATTAATTGAAGCATACATTAGTTGTGATTATGTAAATAGGAGAGCGTAAGCCTTGTAATTTCACCCTTCATGCGTGCTTACACAAAACTTTTAGTGTCATAATGTAATACACATTGCTTAAGTAAAGATTCTAGTTATTTTGTTGGGGTTGCCTACACATTCCTTCTTTTGTTATGAATCGTCTATCTTCCAAGCTGCTAGTGTAGTGCTACTGTGACTTCTTATATAGATTTTTCACCAAAAGGTATCATAGAAGCTTTCGAAGGAAAATTCATTATTAAAGTTCTCCTAACAAATTGTATCAGAATAAAAATTTTAAAACTTAGTGGCATTGAAAATTTTACAAAATGTATATGAAGACTCCAAAAAGAAATGATGGGGGATAAAATAATGGAGTGAACAAAGACAAAAGAACTTCAAATTTTCACCAAGTATTTGAAATCAACTTTAGTTTATTTAGAGTTACTTCACCTCCATGCTATTAGAACACTTTTTTGGAACCAACTTGAACTATAGTAGTATGTGGGCTGAGTCATATAAGGGCGGAGAGATGGATAAATCAGTTTAGAAGATCATCAGTGGTAACAGCTAACAATGTAAACATAAGTAATATTGAAGCATTATATTGTAATGTAGGAAGGGACTATGTATAATTAATTCTTGGTGTCCAAAGCTGCAATTCTATCTCTTTTAACAATATAGATTCTGTCAAAGAGGGATCTCCTAAGATTATTGGGTAGAATATAAATACTGTGTTGATCTTGTTATTCCCATAGTAAAATTTCACCCGCCGTAAGTTTCATCAAAAAGTAATAACATAAGAGTATTAGTGGGATTTTTATAGTTGGAATTTTCTTTAACAAGAATGTAGGACAAGAACAACATATGAGGCACCACCTTTGTACTAGAAAATGAATAGCATAGCGTCATTGGCAAGTAAAGTGGAACTTGTTAGCACGCTCAATTAAGTCATGTTCTTTTGTAGGTTTTAACACATATTTCCTTTAAAAAAATCACATCAAACAATTATTCTTTTTTTTTATATTATACTACAACTTTATTTTATATTCAAAACATCACATTTAACATCTATTTATATAGCATCTAACCAACTATTCAAATTCAATTTTTTATTGTTAAAATATCCAAACCAAAAAACCCAAACCCACAAACAAAAACACCCTCAGTAGCTGCTAACATGTGACTGCAGAAATAGTGAAAATTATGGGGGCATGTTTGGATTTGGGGGGTTGTAAAAAATAAACTCACTATTTTTCCATCTCTTTCTGCTTCAGACATCTTCTGCTCCCAACTTTCCTTTGATGTTATGAGGTGCACATTTCCGCCAGAGAATTCAACGTCATGGTCAGCGTCATCTATGTCATCCTTAGGCTGCAATTGCATCGTCACAAAAATCAAATTTCTACAGTTGATTTGAAGAAGAAAAACTCTTAGCGGCAAAGAAGCCGTTTTGGGGGAGGAAACTTAACCAATATCCGAAATTTGACGCAAGGAAAGCATACCAAAATCCATCAAAAAGAAAACACATGGCTCAATCACGAGAAATCCGCGTACCTTAGCCAAGCAGTGACCCATTAGGACGGTTTACAGAAGCTCGGCTTAGACGCGTAGAGAAGCAACCACAAACTGTTCGCATGGATAAAAAGGAAATGATGAAAAGTCAATTTAAATAAAGGTAAAAAAAATAGAATTGGAAAGATCAAGGCGACAGGAATGGGTTCTGATACTAACACAACCGATTGTGTTTATGGCTATCTCAGAGGAGGGAAAAACTTGCGAGCAGAGATTCGGTGGTGAGGAAAGCAGGGGGAGCAAGAGGAGCCTGGCAAAGGAGAGGATGGAATTGAGAGGTTTTGGGGAAGGGGGACGGAAGGATTATGGGTAGAGGGAAGATTCCAAATTGCGAGGCGAGAGGTCTTGAATCAGAGAATCCGAGATTGATTGATCGCTCGATCGATCGATCGGTATCACAGACAGAGAGAGGGAAGGGGAGGAGAGGGACTAATCAAATGAACGAAGCGGTGCGGAACAGTGGGTGGATGGTAGGTTGGGACTTGGGAATTGGCGTGGCATGGCGTGGATCCAATTAAGTGGTGTATTCAATTTAGCCTCCCTTAGATTTTATTGCACTTTTAAAATTTAAAAAATCGTAAAAATTTTGTATAAAATAGAATATCTTGTATACATAGAAATTTTGATAATAAATTCTTAAAATTATTATTATTATCATTATTATTATTATTATCATCGGTGATGGTATTGTTATTGTTGTTCTTGCTATAAATACTATTAAATTATTTATTAATATTATTATAATTTTTAATAAAAATAATAATTTAAAATTAAAATATATTAATAAATTATTATTTTTATATTATATATATTTTTTTTAAATAATATTATTATCATGTTAAATATGTATTATTATTATTTTTTTTTTCAATTATCGAATATAATATATTGTCATTTCATTTTAGTTATACGTATTTATTTTTTATGTAAAAAAATTATATAAATAATAAAAAATATAAAACTAATTTAATATATTGAATATAAATTTATATAATTAATATATATTATCAAAAATATTATTTTACAATCTTACAAAATTTATATAAATTCGTAAAAAATTCAATAAAGTCCTAGAAATTTATTTAAATCAATATTGAATACAAAACTTGTGTGAGTGGGGAAAAATCAAGGAAGAAAAAGAAGAACAAGGATAAGAAAGCGCGTAAAACGCAATGACCACGGTACCGATGAATTAACTACCTCTAACTGCAGCCTGCATAGCATTGATCACTTTTTCTTTTCTTTTTTTTTCATTTAATATACAGATAATTCGCAGCTATACCGAAAATATATTTGTTTAGATAGAAATTTTTAGAAATTTAAAAGTTTAACAAAAGTAAATATTTAATATTTAATTTGATGTTTTGCAATAAAAAATAAAAAATTAATTGATGTGAATTTTTTGAAAAATAAATAATACTTCTTCCGTCTGTTTACAAAAATGACATTTACTTGTTGCAAGGTTATGACAAATTTAATGTAAAAAGACCAAAAACACCCCTATGGTACTTTTACTTTTTTGCTTTGTAATTAAGTGGTAATTTGGGGTAATACAATTAATGCACTTTACAAAAAATTAATTAAAGCTAGAGTGTACAAAAAATTAGCAAATTTATAGAATAATTAAAATTACTGGGATAATTACATAATTACTAGAAAAATCACAAAATGCAGAAAATAACTAATGTAATTAGAATTAAAACTACACAATTAAATTTACCGATTTAAAATTAAAATTAGACAATTAAATTTACAATTCACATAATTAAAAAGTGTGCATAATTAGAAAAAAGATTAGTAGACAAATGTATAACATCATACATTGAGAAGAAAAAATCAGTAGACAATGCAATATATCAGTAGAAATGGCAATAAAACATCATGGCATCACACAATAAAAATCACAGTGAATATAGATAAAAACTAGTGCACAAAATAGCCTCCAAAACAAATTCATTTCTCTCCCAAAGAGGGATAATCATATCATACTCACATCATGTTAACCCTTCTCATCAAGGAAAAAAATTCCCACCATTAGTCCCACCGTTACCAAATGCAGTTCACAAATCATTTGAGCAGCTCTCACATACAGCTCTAAACTCAGTATTTCTAAATTTGCAAGCATGTCTTGGCAAGATAATGGCTAATTTTGGATAAACAATTATAAGATCCTTCACCTAGAAAAAGAGTTTTCGAGAAGGTCATGGAATCTCCCGGAAGACATTCAAGTTGACCATGAGATGATCAAAGCATGTATTGATCATTTGATGGACTTAAATGAAGTGGAAGGTCCGGAGGACTTTATAACTTATATAGAGGAGTTTTAGCAATATATAAATGCGTATGTGTAGTAAAACATGCTTTTAATGATGGGATAAGTTATGATTATTGCTATAAAACATCTCTATTTAGAGAGGTTGTTTAAACAATAACTAATAATCTCTTTTGTAGGATAATTAAATCGATTTGTACGCTCAACAAATCTTTGGATGGGATAATATGCATATGCGGAACATTTTGTATGTCTCTTTTCATAATTTATCATCATACAGTGTCATCAACTCACTCTCAAATTAATTGACATTTATTGGGTGCTATTAGATACTAATCATCATCAAGTAAGGGTTGAGGTGTACAAATTTCAATGCATATGTGGCTGCATTACTTTAAAAGTAAGTCTCCAAATACAAAATGCATCATATGGTCATCAAAGAGCACAATCAGTAACTCATAAGATAATTTTCATCAAGTGGGGCGGAATGCCTACGAATTCAAATGCACAGTGGTTGCATTACTTTAAAAGTAAGCCTCCAAATACAATATAGGACTATCAAAGAACATATTCAATATACTCTCAGACGTTAGCCTTCATCGAGGGGGGCAGTGACTATGAATTCAAATGCACAGTGGTTGCATTACTTATAAAGTAAGCATCCGATACAACTATGCACGATTGAGACACTCTCGGAAGAAAATCGTCATCGAGTGGAAGCTAGTTATGCAAAAAGTCTTGCACATATATTGTAACACCCCCAGTTGGCTCATACTGGAAATGCTACCGCCACACTGCATCATGAGGTCGTCACCTTCTACTTCGGGCCCCACAACACAGTGTTAAGGCTAAAATTAATTATATAAGCATTTTATTATTCCCAAAAAAATAGTTTATAAATATTTACAAAAACATACTCCCAAAACGGGAGGTTTTTCTAGTTAGAATTTACATATAATACATCAGATGCAGTTCACTCATTCAGCCCGTCTTTCTATCTCCCGAGACGTCCCCTGTCCCGGAGGTGCCATGCGTACCTGAATCAAATATTTTTCTTAAAAGCAGTCTAGAATTAAATCCATTTTAAGAACTAACATAAAATATGCCATGTCATGCTCGAAAATAGAGTTTAATTTCCGTCATTTGCAAAATAAATGCCATGCCATGCCCATACTGAAATAATGTAACAATAATGTCAAAATCGACAACTCATGCACATATACCCATATACATATGTCAAAGTGAGCAGCCGGAATAACCTCGGCTCCATAATAACAGCTCACTAGACTATCATCAATAAATAGCCGGAAAATCCTCGGCTCAAGGAAGGACCTGGTAAACCCATAATAATATAACGGTCACCCGGTCACTCCCATATACCCACCATACGACTCCCGCAATCAATACATAGATAGTCGAGCGTTGTCGCCATTAACCACAAGACACCCCATAGTCTGTGATAGCGAAGATAGGACCCTCCTGTCTAGCCCTACCCCGTGTAACGTAGTAGAATCCGTGCAACCTGGAATCACCCGAAGGAAACCCGGAAACTCTACTCCTCCTCGCACGCCCTAACGGGATCGCGTTTGGAGTTTGGCATCTGATCCTAAACTACCGGTAGACCTCACTAGTAGCTACTCCAATGAGTGGACCAACACCGAACACGCATGATTAGACCAAATACGTCTCAACTGCAATGGGTCTAATCCTTGAATGACCGTGCGACTAAGTCACCCAGTTGTCCGACTACTATCGTCCACTATCGCCAAAGTGTTACGGTACATCGGGGTCGAATATCCTAACCCCAGATGATGCCCTCGCCTAGCACTACCGCACACGGCGACTAAACGATAGATCCATAAAACATATCCGATAAATCGTGCGATGTGTGCAGCATGTCAATAAGTGAATTTAATGAAAAGGGCTGGTGAGACGGCCCACCTATCCTCCTTTTCATAAATTCACCAACACGATCAAATACGTATATCAAATATCGTAAAACGAAGTTTCACACATGCAGATACACACACATATATACATATATAGATGCACTGACCAAATGATTCCACATAATATCATATCAATATCAGAATCAGAATCACATGCAACATAAATACCTAATTTCTTAAAATTAGATTTAATTCCCTACTGCTTACCTCCTACCGATACTTTCTGGATTTTTATAACTTCACCCAAATCTCCTCCAACGTACACCTGTTCCATTATTTACTCAAATCAGATGAGCTTTATGCTTATTCTCAGGAGCTACCTGCTTATTCAAAAGCTAATTTCTATAATTAACTCGTCGGGCTCCAAACTTTTATATTTAGTAGAATATGATATTCTAGCTATAAAATCCTTCTACCTCATAATATTTATATTGCCCGATTATTAAATAAAAATACGCAAAGGTATGAACAAGCAGGCAGGTGCGATATACTGCCGTTTTCAATTTGGCTCGGATCAATACGAAATTCTCAGAATATAATACTAGGACTACGAATAGGCTATTAGCTAAAGAAATTCGTCGATCAAATAGCCAAATAGCCGGTTATGAATTTTTTAAAGAATTTCTAATTTAATATTCCCAATATTGAAATTCATATTAAAATCCATAATTAAATTCTACGTATAACAAGGAATACAATACCGAAATCGAAATCAAAATCGAACGGCTAAATCTTTTTCTTTCTTCTTTTCTTTTCTCCTTTCTTCTCCTTCGCGTTTCTTCCTTTGCCTTCCTTCGCTTCGCAGGTAAGTTTGTTATATATATATATAATTATATTATTATTATATATATTATATTATATTATATTATTATTATTAACGTTATTATTATAAATATTATCTTCATCATCATTACCTTTATTATTATTATATTATATATTATATATTATATTTATATTTATATTTATTTTTAATTTTATCGATATTTATCCATTTAACAGTCTATTTAATTATAACTAATATACAAAATTGGAATATAATTTATCCCAAAATATTAGTTTCTTGATTCCATTACTATTGTCAAATATTTATTTGCTATAATAATATTACTTTATACATTCCGAAATCGGGGCATTACATATATGGTACATTACTTATAGAGTAAGTCATCCATGAAAAATATGCACTACACACAACCAGCAACCTATATTGCACATAATTAACACGAAAATCATCATTTCAGCCACTAAAATTTAAATTCCTAACTCCAAGTACTCATAAAATAAAAACCATATAAGGTATACCTCAGAGAACTCATGCAAGGTGGTCGCAAAAGGATAGTAAATCCTCAGGAACTGAAGGAACACTTCACTGCGGCTACGAGCATCGATTCCAGCTAAGGGTTTTTTTTGGCCATGTCGTTTTGAACGACAACAGGCGACGGACACACAATGGCATCCTTGGAGTCTGGCACAACCCAGCCGGAGTATAGGTGGGGCGATTCTGGCACCTCGGAGGCCAAATATTCCGAGCCTATACAAGAGTAAGGCATTTCAACAGACAGCCGACGGCCCCCCGTCTCGAAGGTCTCAAGCCCACTGTCGAAGATCCCGTACGTCTCCAGCACCATGGATCTGTAAAGATCAGAGTCAAAGAGTGAAAGATCGGAATATGGCTTCTCAGGCGACTGCCGAACAAGGTCGACGGGTGAAGCCGGATGAGGATCCATTGATAAATCCTCCGATCGATCGCGATTTGGGCGATTTTGCACGGGTGGTCGATGGCGACGGTGGAACCAAGATCCCGATAGAATGATGAAGACGAAGATTGCGAGAGAACCCTAGGAGAGCGAGAGAGGACCGACAAGAATGAAGATTCAGATAATTATTGTAATTTTAAAAATTAATTTTTGTTTTTAAATATTGTGTTTTATTTTAGAAAACGTGTTTTAGTTTTAATTGTTGGCTTTTATTTTTAATAATTGTGTTTTAGTTTTAAGTATTGTGTTTAAATGTTAATAATTGTATTTATTTAAAAAAAAAAGTTGTATAAATAAATATAATGGTATTTGTGTAAATAAATTTAAAAGTAAGGGTACGAGTAATATGGATGGGGTCTATACTTACTAAAAAAAATGTAAACTTTATAATTGGATAACCCAAAATGAAAAAAAATTGTAAACTTTGTAAGTGGATGAAAGGAATATTAAATAAGTAAAAATATGTACTAACTGCGCCTCCTACTTAAATTTAAAATATAATAGATAAAATGTAATTAATTAATAAATCTTAAATATATTTATAAATAGTTTATTTTAATTTATAATTTAAAATTTTAAAATTATTGTGATAGTATTTAATATATATATATATATTTTTTTTAATGAAAAGTAATAAATTTTGATAACTTTAGATTATTTCTAAGGAGTTCTTGATTTCTCTCTCACGGAGTGAGTATTTGTGTAGACGCGGGCGTGGGAGTTCTGCTACGCTTTCCTAATTTCGTTATTTTCTCTCCGGCATGAATCAAATTCTTCGAAGGGAAGGCTGACCCACCTATCTCCCAAAGCTGCTTCTTCATTTCAATGTATGTATTCTTGTGCGCCATCTCTTGTTTTGCTTTGATTTGCTTTTGGATGCGCAGTGCCCGTTTCTCATCTAGGTTTTGAATTCATTATCCGTTCAGGCTAAAATGCGGAATTCAATTTTTACTTTTTTTTTATTTTTATTCCCTAATTCGGGGGTATTGTGCCAGCAGTAAAGGCGTGCACTTAATCTTTGATATCGTTCGACCTGTATGTAGTGATGTAGATGTCCAACACGGAATGTTGCATTAGATGTATGAAAGGTGTTATTTTTGTTTAGCTGGAGCTTTGAGGGATCTCATCTGATGAGACTAGTTCTAAGTTTTAAAACGATGTGTATGTGTGTGTAAGTCCATCTCATTGTTTTAAGTTCCTTCCATCAATTTGTGCTATTTTGTTCGTTTATTTTTGAGCTTGCACAAATTAATGTGCTTACTATTTTGTAGAAAGTCACGCTTGTCACTATTTCGGTGAATATTATAAGAAAATAAGTCTATTATATAATGCCTGTTGCTGAGACATGTTCTTTCAGCATACAGCAGGTAGAGCGTGGTGCACAATTGTTGTGATACCCTGAGTGTTCGATCTTAGACCTTATGGAAGTAGACAAGAACAAGAAGAACAAGAGAAACAAGAAAAAAAGGAGTAAACAAGCTGCTAAACAAATAGAAAGTGCAACTCATGATACCAGGGAGTCAGCTTCTAACAGTCAAAGCAATGTTCTTGAGAGGGGAGAAGATAATAATTATCATCAGATTGCACAGGCTACAGATGATCAGGATGATGTTGGAGAACACTTGGATGCGGACAAGGAAGGAGCCCTTCCTTTTTGCTTTGAAGGAGTAGGTCAATTTTGTTTTCTGTATCTTTTAGTGAAACACCTTGAGGTTTCTTACCGGTTCAGAAAGTACCAATTACATCCTTTTGTACCTCTACTTTTATATGTTGCATGATATTGTATTTTGTGCACAGAGAAATTTAGCTGAAATGGGAGAAAACTTCAGGCTGGACAGAGAGGTAATCCCACATGTATCATGTGTTGCAGCGTGTACTTAATCATTACTGATTTAACAAACTTGTGAAAAACTGTTGACCACCGTATCTACATAGACCAGCTTCCTGGAGCAAGTTAAAGAACTGCAATCAGAAAAAGACGCACTTGCAGAGAAAGAGGTTCCTATACTTATTGTGTTTATTAATCGCTTCCCTAGCCCTCTGCATTAAAATAGTTTGTCATCTGCTTTCACTGGCTTTCCTTGAAGAGAAAATCTACCAGTTGCTGAAGCATAACGATGAAAATAATTTAGGGTGTGTGTTTTTGGGGGTTTGGATTTTGAGTTGAGATTTGAATAGTAAAAATTTTGGATTTGAGTAATTGTATGATGTGATATAAATAGGTGTTGATGTGTTGTTTTGAATGTAAAATTGATTTTTCAGTATAATATAAAAAATAAAAAATAGGTGTTTGATTTAATTTTTTGGGAGGAAAAATTTAGATGAATAGTGGAAGTTTGGGAAAGTCTCCCAAATAAACACACCCTTAAGAGAAGTGGTCATAAGTTGTTGAATTACCAGTATATTAATTACTTATTTTATTTTTTAATAATAATAATAATAATAATAATAATAATAATTAATTATTATTATTATTATTATGCCACCTGTTACCTTGAAGAGCTGATGCTATATTTGGTTTTAATAGGCTAGTCAAAATGTCAAGATTCAACAATTACAGAATGAAAAGTATGGCTCCATGATGAATGAGGTAGTGAATTATGAGAAATTGATGTTTGCCTATGTTAAAGCTGTTTTTGGATTAATTGAGTTTCTTAATTATATGCTTCTACAAACAAGTCTGAAGAGAAACCGCATGTGACAAATGTGTTCTTTACAGACTATCCTGAAAGAGAAACTCATGCAGTTGGAAAAGGAGAATAATGCATTGATTGAGAAAGTGGTTAGTTTTGAATTTGTATATCAGACCATGTATCATAGATATCTTGAGCATTACTGTCCGTACTTACATGCTATCCTAGACTTTCTCTTAGTTTCTGTACATTTTGAAAGTCATGAATAGTTTTTACTCAATTCAAGGTTTACACTAGACTAGAAAGGGGGACCGCATAATTATATTAAGTTTGAAGTAGAAGATTATTTCATTGGTTAAACCCTTTAAGTTTGCTTTTTTTTCTTTGGCCGGAGTTATTCTTCATTGGTTCTCTTTGGGTCTTGCAAGGGCTTTGTTGTATTTTAGCCAGTCTAGATTCTAGTGACAAAAATTTTACATCCGGAGGCTTTGAAGCATTTATGGATACAGAAAGATGTGACACTCATCAATTTGTGAAATTTACTAAATTCCTTTATCTTTTCAAATCTGCACACTGTTTGTTTTATGTCATCATCAGTTTTTGGTAGAGCTGTAAAACAAACGAACAATTTACGAGTTTGGCTTGATTCAGTTCGTTTGAGCTCGCTAAGAGCTCGTCTATTAAACTACGAGCCGAATACGAACATAAAGTTTGGCTCGTTATGTTCACGAACGAGCTCGAGCTTATTTGCGAACGTTCACCGGTATTTATTAGAAAAATTAAATTAATAATATTATATTTAATAAGCATATATATCTTTATAAATATTATGTTTCATTCTATTTTCTATTTAAATTTAATAATAAAAAAATTATTTAAAAAATTAAATAAATAAAATAAAATTTCTCTTAACGAGCCGAGCTGAACCGAACAGGAACCAAAAAAAAAATTAAACGAGCCGAGTTTAAATAAAAATATCAACACGTATCTTTTAACGAACTAATACGAGCCGAGCTCGAGTCCTTAGAGCTCAAACATGACAAGTTCGACTCTGTTCGATTCGTTTACAGCTCTAGTTTTGGCACCACCAGCAATGCTTTTATGTCTGAGTTTGCGCTTTTCTGTTAGTATTTGTGCTAGTTCAATTCTCTTAAACATGTTTATGCCATAATTCTTGAGGCTTGTAATTTTTATCTTGCAGGTACGTTTTGAAGAGAAAATAAAAAGTATGAAGGAAGAAACTGCAGCTTTAAGTTTACAAGAGGTGAAATCGAGTCAATGTTCGACTAAAATAATGATAAATATTGATTGGATCTCTATTTTAAACTCCTGACGCTTAGGTCTACATAACAAAGACAAAATAAGCTGTTGAATATGTTAACCTGTTGCTAAAATACAGGGTAATTTACAAGAAAAGATCAGACAGATGGAAAGAGAAAGAGATTCCTGGATCCAGAATGAGGTCAAATCTGGAAACTGCTTTTTTATCAGTCTTCCATTTTTAACTCCAGTGTCTCAAAGAACTCACAATTAAGTGATGAAATAACACGATCAGTGTTCTAAGCGAACTCAAATTAAGATATATGGGCATCTTATGGACAAAAACATGATCACTTTTCTTATAACTTTTAAGCGAGTAAGTTAGAGGCGTTCTTCATAGATTGAATTATTATTTTGGTTATTCAATAGCAAAAAAACACAATGGGTATGTTTACTTGTGAGGTTTTGATTTTGAATAGTAAAATTTTGAATTGAAATAGTTGTTTGATGTAATATAAATATGTATTGATGTAATGTTTTGAATATAAAATTTGATTTTAGTATAATAAAATAAATAAAAATTGGGTGTTTGATTTGATTTTTTTTTAGGAAAAAAAAAGTTGGAATAGTAAACCTAGGAGTAAAATTTTACAAGTAAACACACCCAATGCTAGTTTCTGGCATAAATTTATACGAGCATTTTAAAGTACAGTTAATAGTCAATTATAATATAACTCGTCAGGTAAGCAGTTGGTTTTGTAATGCCATTGGTAGCATTTATCCTCATACTAATATCACCAAATTGAACATATTTGCATATTTGACTAATAATTTCTACAGTTGCTCAGACACCAAGTCCTCCTAAAGCACTGTAGTGTGAGATAAAGCATGTAGGTTGATCATAGAACCCACAATTTTTTATGGATTCAAAATATTCAAATTGGTTTAATGTGTGTGTGCGCGCACACACACACACACATATATAATGAAGAATTAAGACAACCTTCACTTCATCATCTTGACTCAATTGATGCTTTATTTAATACTAATCTTATGTAGGGGTTTGAACATTTTTGACAGAACACAGCAAAAGAATCAATTGCCAACCTGATTGACGAGAAGGCACAACTAAAAGCTCAGGTAAAAGCTATAGAAGCATAAATTAATATTTAGAAAGCTAAATCTACTCACATACTTAATTTTCTCCAGTGCTCTCCTTTATTCAGATTCATTTCCTCAGGTCTGGGAAATGTGAAAAATGCAACTATGTTTGTAGTACTGTATTTCTAGGAATCTCTATTTATTTTTATACTGGAAATTAAATCTAAAGTTTCATAGGTGATAGAATTGGAGCAAACAAGGAGGATTGTCACCGAAGAAAAACAACAGTTGCAAGAAGTTATTTCCAAGCTAAGGTCACAGATTACAAATCTTGATAGCTCTGCTTGTATTTCGAATTCCTCTATGAACTACAAAGTGGTAAGAGGACTTCCTGTGTTCTCTGGCTTCTTTTCACTTGTTTGTTGTTTTTGGTATGTTGTCTTTTGAAGAATGAATTCTGCTCATTTGAGTTGGTAGTATACTTTGCGTGTTACATTACTAACGTTGTGGTATATGCATTTTTGTCATTCAGGGTTCGGAAGAGGAGATGAAGTATACAATAGAAGCTGCACTAACACTAATTGAGAAATTGGTTGCGGAAAAGTCAGAGCTTGTTGAAAAGGTATGATGCTGATATATGTGACAGAATTTGACTTCTAATAAAGGTTTCATTGTTTACACTAGAAGGAAGACAGGAGGTTAAGGAGTTGAGCTGAATTCTATCTACAGTTTTATCTTTATCTATCATGGGCTTAGCCCATGAATTGCTCTAGGATTGTTAGTTTTCTCTTCCCTATGATGTTGGCGGGATATCCCCATTGCATTTTAGTTTTTCCTTCTCTCTCTCGTGGTTGGTCTTCCCTCTCAAAGGGTATTTTTGCTGATCAATAAATTCTAGTCCCATCAATTTGGTCCAACCTGTTAGATTTGGAGGGATGCTAAACACTACCAAAATTACTGACCTAGAATTGAAAGTGGTAAGAGTTGGAGAAAACTGTAAGTTCACTGTTAAAAGATATGTGAGTGGGTTCTAACATTTGATCAGAAATTGGGTTAGAAATTTGCCGAGATTAAGGCACCGCAGCTCTGATGGGCACTCACAAGCTGCATAGATCATGGGCAGAGCACTGACACCACTTTCGGACACCATCCCACATACCACTATTACCCTACCCTTCTTTAACGACTAAGATCTATGGAGATGGTTACCTTAGGCTTATCATTTTTTTAGGTTAATGGGGTTGAAAACGATCCAAAAAAAAAATAGTTGCTACAATAGAAGCTGCACTAACGCTAATTTAGATATTGGTTGCGTAGAATTCAGAGCTTGCTTGTTGAAATGGTATGATGTTGATATATGAGCCAGAGTTTGAAGTCTAATAAAGGTTTAACTGCCTACACTAGAAGGAAGAAAGGAGGTGAAGTAGCTGGGCCGTATTCTATCTAGGGTTTTATCTTTATCTATCACGGGCTTAGTCTATGGATTGCTGTTTATATTACTTGGTTAAGGATTATTAGTTTTTTTTCATGGTTTGGGGGTATATTTTGAGCTCTTGGAAATTGGTTTGCTATCCACATTTCTTCTTGTTTTTCCTTATTTTTATAATCTCTCCTCCCCACAAAGAGTTAATTCTGTGGAACTGGCTGTCGCAGCTTTTCGTAGGGATATGATTCAATTGGTTGTTGGATTATGCCTTTGATACTAATAGAATAAAAATATTTTTCATGCTAAGCTATGATAATAACTTACTAATTTTCATTCAGGTGAATGAGTTGCATGCCAAGCACGACCAAGGAGAGGTGAGAAGAATGGAGCATTTTTCATCTGTTGGCTCCCTTCATGGAGCTATTCCTGGTGATGGCTCCACTTTCACTCCAGCATTGGTTGTCGGAGATTGTGATGGGAACAGAACCGCCCCGGTTACCAGTTCAGAGTCCAAAGCTAGCGAGGTGGTGCAAATCTTGGGCAGCAACCAATCCCTGGAAGATGGCATAGTTGAGGATAAGAGGAATGGAGAACATATGAATTTAAGTGATGGTTATGGTGTTGGAGTAACAACCTCAGAAATGGAGGGGGATGAAATTGTTCAAATTCCATTACATGAAAATGAAGATGTAGAGGAAACTAATATGTTGCTGGGAGAAAACGATGAGAGTGCTGATGTCCCACTTATGGATGCCCCGTTGATTGGTGCACCATTCCGACTAATAACCTTTGTTGCTAGATATGTTAGCGGAGCAGATTTAGTGAACAAGGATGCTGGAAGATTAGGCTAGCGGATGCTGCTTCTGTAGGAAAGAGAACTAGAAATTTTTGCAGGGGTGTGTTCACAGGCTCTGCGCATTGTATTATTATTTTTTTCTTTTAATTATTTTCCAGGCAAGGGGCATATATATCCACACAAAATGAACGCAGTCAGCACAATTGCAGTTGCTTGACTTAGTGTTTTGCAGATGCTATAAAAGAAAGGGACGACGAGCCGGGTTCTTTTAGGTTGGTTTTGAGTGTTTATCATTTAGGCAGCAATGTCATTTTCTCGAAGTTGATACAGTGATTAGATTGGGGCGTGCAGTGGAAAGAAAGAAGTGAACCTGGATGTCCAATTGTTAGAAGATATTCATTTTATTTCTTTCCTTTTTCGATTTATGGTATGATCTTCTTTTATTTTATATGTTCATGGTGGATATTACGTCCTTTTTATGTGTTGATAGCGATCTCAGAGATGTAAACATTAAGTAATAAATAGAGTATCAAATTATTTACATGATTTCAAACCAATTCTTCTTCACAAAGTATATAATAAATAAATAGAGTTTTTCTTCTCTACCTTACGGGTTCGGTGCTATAGATGTCACCGCATCATGTTTCCCAACAACAAATAAAGCCTTTTAGTATCATGCCATCTGCGAGGAGGTGACCTGACATCCTTCTTTTTCTATTGTTTAAAACTTCCTCCTTTGGATCAGAAGTACAATTTATTTTTTTTATTTTTTTTTAAATAGAATAAAAAAGTATACTCTAATATTTTAGCAGTTAATAAAAATGTTTTAAGATTGTATTTTCATTTTTGCTTTTACAAATACAAAAGAAAATTAATATTTTTTATAAAAATCAAAAGTATTTTAACATTCATGGTGAGGATTGGGTGTTGATTTTAATCAGCATGAGTGCAAAAAAATTATTATATTAACTTATTTTATAAATCATATAATTAATATAATTATGTATAATCATATTTACACTACTCAGCACCCAATCCTCTCCCCACAATTATATATAAATTACCTTTATTATAATATGTAATCGATATCTTTGAGTAGAATAAACAAAAATATTAAAATAGAAATATTAATGAATTTAGAAAAATATGATGAATTTACTTATTTAGATACATATATGATGTGTTTCAAGAAGTTGTTTTTTTTTTTTTTTTTTTTTTTTGTGAATATAAAGATTATCACTGTGTAAATTGATTGAGGATGCATATATTTTACTAATTTCAAATAGAGATATATTAGTTTATTAATAAAAATCGCATTGACAAACCAACAAGTATACATTTTGGAATTTTAGAACTATGAAAAATTCAAAAAATCACGTTGGAATTTTATGCTATTTTATTCTTATTTTATGTTAATATTAAAATATTATTATTTTTTCTTGGGTGTGTTTATTTTGTAAGATAACTTAAAGTATCTTTTTTGCTTTATTCTTTCTATTATTTTTTTTTTAATTTTTTTTTAAAATTAATACACTATACTCCTTCATTATTTTTATATTTCTTTGTCACTCATGATCGAAGTCTTATCCTTTATTTATTTTCCTGTGTATTTATATTCTGGTATTTAAATATTTGGATTTATCGTATATCAACATACGGTAAGAAAATATTGTTGGACATGGAAAATGCTTGTAAGACAAATAGCATATCACAAACTCCCGGCAGTGTGTTTTTAGTTGATTACTTTTTTTTAAAAAGAAAAAGAGAAAGTAGGCCTCTGGCCCAGCCCGTAGTTGGATAGAGAGCCGGGGGTCAGTGTGTGGCAGTGGTAGGTTTACGTTCCAATTCCAAATATGGTACGGAATGGTACGGGTGTTACTTGAACTCGGAACGACTAACCAGCGATATAACCGGGGAGGGGGTGCGTTTCATATCTCATTCTCTGGACTACAGTGCGCCCTTTAATTTCTAAAAAGAAAAAGACGAAAGCTCCCTCGAAAAATCTTCATTATCTGGACTAATTACGCCGCCCCCCTCCTCGCCGCCGCCGAAACAGAAACATGTCCGCTCTTCTGTTATCCTCTGCTCTCAATCTGTGAGTCTATCCCTCTTCATCTCCAAGTGCCTCTTGTCTCGTAAATAATTCTTTTTCTGTGTTATTCACTAGTTGCAGTGGCCCTCCACTCGTTTCTCTTGATTTCCCCTCCACTCCCGCGCTGGCTCTTCCCAGAGGTTCGTATGCCGACCTCCCCTGCTCCCCCTCCTGTAACGTAACTAACACCTTTAAAATATCTTTACTTTTAATTGAGATCCCGGTGACTGACGACCGGTCACTAGGGTTCCAGCACACTTCGTCGCTTTCCTTATCATTCAAGTTTTGACTATTCTAGAGGAAAAGGAATAATAATGTGATATGTCCTAGCATCCTCGATTTAAACATTTTGTCCCGTCACTGAGTGACGCCCGATTTTGATAACGTGGGAGCTGAAATGGTACGGAGAAGCAGCGGACGAACAAGCTGCATGTTATGCTTTGAAAAATAGTTGGATCCTCCGAGCTCAATCGACTGTGAATTTGATTTTTCTGCTGTTTTTCTGGATTCTTGTATCGTTCCATATACTCTCCTGTGCTTTCCTTTCCTTTTATTTTTCTTGCAGGCAGCAGGAACCAAAAGATTCGTAAATTGAAGGCTGGATTTTGGGAATCCATTAGATCTGGGTAAATTGGAAGTATCTATTGTAAATGTCAACCTACTTTCGGTGGAATAATTCTAATCCTACTACACCTTCTATTATGTCAGGATTAAAAAATAAATAAAAAAATAAAAAATAGTACATTAGCTCATTAATTCAGGGACTCTAACTTAGATATACTGTATTTTGAAGTCATCAAGTGGATGATCAGCAACTTGACACTTTTCTGCTGCAGGATTTTAAAAAACAATACAGCACAAGTAATAGAACCAGCTTCCACTGCTGAGGAGGAGGTGCCCTTTCCCGAGGAATTTGTTCTTGTTGAGAGAACAAGACCTGATGGCACAGTCGAACAGATTATATTTTCATCTGGTGGGAATGTTGATGTATATGATCTCCAAGCTTTATGTGATAAGGTAATTAAAGCTCACTACTTTTTCTGTCCATCTCTTTGAATTCATAGAGAGTATAGGTGACGAAAGTTTTTGAATTCCATGAGGTGCACTTTAATTTTTTTTTTATAAATTTCCATAATTCCAAATTTCTAGGCTATATGATCCTCCTACAGTGTCACTCTTTGTGAGATGTCTTGCAGTAGATAAACCTACACAGATATAGCATATGATGTGCACTCAGTCCCCTATTCTGGCTTAGGTAGGTATGTTGTCGATTCTGGAAATGATTTCCATCCTTGCTAGAAATAGAATAGATACCGGAAAAACACTATATTTCTTTCTGGATGCAGACCTCGGTCTTGCAGTAGGAAGAATGAATATTAGTATAAAGTTTAGTTGTTTTAGACTTTTAGTGGACTTGGGGCATGTTGGACTTTCAGCATTATTGCAATATTGCTTGTGTGCTGAACCAGAAATTATTAGTATCAATGTGTTCCTTGAATAGTTAGTGTCCTTAGGTACACATTCCAGATATTTTTAGTTTCTTTTGGGTGCTAGGTTTCATAAAATTTAGTTGTATTTATTTTTAAATAAAGTTAACGCAATAATTTATGCAATAGGTTGGTTGGCCTCGGAGGCCACTGTCAAAGCTAGCAGCAGCTCTGAGAAATAGCTACTTAGTTGCAACTTTGCACTCCATAAGCAAGTCTGCGGGGGAAGGTGGTTAGTGACAGTACTTTTCCTGGTTAAAAATGTAATTTTAACCCTACACTAAATATTTACACTCGTCATTTATCTTGAAACTACTAAACTAATCTATGCAATAGCTAGTGATATATTTATTAGTAAACTAAGTGACGGACATCTTAGTGTACTTCAAGTTACTTGGCAGAGGGAAATGGCCAAAAGAAGCTGATTGGAATGGCTCGAGCTACATCAGATCATGCTTTCAATGCTACAATTTGGGATGTACTTGTTGATCCTTCATACCAGGTACTTTTGAGTACTATTGAAAGTCATCAGCTGAAACTATATAATAGCAAAATTTTACCTGGTTGTATAGTAATTTGAGTTAGTAACAGTAATATAGTATTTTGTCTCCATGTTGGTTGGACTGATCCAAATGACAGGAAATTAGAAGTTCAATACCTGTTCTAACCATTCCTATAGGCATCAGCATCATGTAGTTCAATTTGATGAATGTGATGGTGATTTAGGGTCAAGGACTTGGTAAGGCCCTAATTGAGAAGCTTATAAGGGCTCTTTTGCAGCGGGATATTGGTAACATCTCACTCTTTGCAGACAGCCAAGGTAAGATCAACTATGAGATGCGTATCCATATATGAGCGGTCGTGCAATTTTTGCTTGGCATAGAAAATATGAGCATTTTACTTAAAGACCCTTTGAGTTCACTGTGTTTATTGCCCTTGCATGCAGTTGTGGAGTTTTATCGGAATCTCGGTTTTGAACCTGATCCTGAGGGCATTAAAGGTATGTTCTGGTACCCGAAATACTAAACCATCTCAGATGAGGGTAGACAAGGCAAGGCAAGGCAAGGCAATTGTGTCATAATTTTCTGTGTGAAGGGAGAGTAATTTTCTGTGTCTCTGCTCACAGAAGTGTCACAATTGTATTCCATATGAAATAATACCTGGATGTGTGTGTGCGTTGGTGTCTGTATTCAGAAACTGATACCTGTCTTTGTTCGGGGTGCAAAACACTTTCAGTCAAGTCAAATTGTTGATTTCAAAACTGTGAATTAGATTGGATTCAATAAGATTTTATCTCTGGGGGATTTGCTGCTACTGTTTCTGTTGCTCCTTTATGCTGCCCTGTGATGTTCATCTCCCCTTCCGTTTCCAGAGTCAGTCATCAAAGCAAGCAGCACCTGTATTTGCTGCGAAACAAAGGGCAGCCAGGGCCAAACATAATACAAAGCAACACTTATTTGATAATTAAACCTTGAGGTGTGTTCTGTGTGCTCTATCCACAGCCTGACGTTCTGTTGTCGGGCTTCATGAAAGGACCAATTGGAAGCTCCATTTTCCCCAGCTTTTAGGGGCATCAACAGTTCTCCGTTCAACGAGTAGGAAGAAGCAAATTATCATTGAAGAGACATCAGCAGCGGCAACTAAAGAACTATTCACACTTGTTTGAATATGTCCCATTGCAAGGAGGTCAACAAGTAAATTGCCTTATTATCAACTTGGTCAATTTTAGAAAATACTGTAAAATGCAGACCTCGGATGACTACTAAGTGTGGAGAGAGAGAGAGAGAGAGAGAGAGAGAGAGAGAGAGAGAGAGAGAGATGAAGTTCCAACACTCTTGAGTCTGAGATGCAGGGAAGAAGAGGAACCAAGGAAATTGGTTTTTGAGCGTGTTTGGTTTGGTTAGGCAATTGGTCAGAGGGAGGGTAACCAGGGAGAGCGTAGCATTACCATTTCTTACCCTTGTATGCGCTTCTCATCTACTGGGAGGGGATGGGAGGGGAGGGCCACTCACACAGGACAGGGGGCACATCAATTTACGAGCGGGCTTCAACTTCCAACTCCAGAGTTACGAGGAGGATACCGCGTAAAATACCCACTTTACTCTCATAAAATAGGGGCGCGCTGCTGTAGCCACAAATTCCAATTTTATGCTAATCTAAGTAAAAAACTACCTTCTACCAAACAACAACATTACCGACACAAGAATCAATGCAACGAGGGCCTTCTCAAGTGCTCGCACCACCAATGCCTAGCTTAAATTGGAGTATGTATGCTGTGACCAATGCCTGCCCTCTAAATTGCTCTCTCTCTCTCTCTCTCTCTCTCTCTCTCTCTCTCTCTCTCTCCAAAAAATAAAACTCAATAACAACACACAAGCCCATTCCCCAGTCCAGTCCTGTCCGTAAACTTTTTCACTAGATCAGGAAACAGATGCTCAGCCACAAAGATGCTTTTACCTATTTCTTATCAACAAGGCAAGGTTATCATGTGCTTTGAACGGATAGACACGTATGACTCTCCAATCGCATAAGTGAATATCTTCAGATATTATACTGACATAATATCTCAACGTCCTGTTTTTGCACGTTTCATTCCAGTAGTATTGAATGGAGAGACGCTCCCACTCGGTCCAGGGCTCTCTTCCCTAAAGTTGGAATTTAACATGGCTAGTTCACGCAGCTGCTGTCTCTTAATATAATCCTGAGACTCATCCTGTAGAAATGCGAAAATGTCAATCAGTAACTCATACCACTCAGGATTTTGGATGCTTCAACTTTTAGTTCAGGTACAGTATCGATAGCAGCATCCACATGTTTGGATAACTCCCCAAGAAGGTATCGATGATATGAGAAAAACACCATTACTTATACCCACTTTGATCCAATGAAAGAACATAGCTGGGCAAAGTTTATTCTTTAATTTCAACCAAAATAGCATCACATTAGGAATTGGTGAGTTATATCTACTTTGAAATTTTATCTTTGCAGAATTGACAGTCTGAGTCAATGGATTGCTCAATTTCTCTTCAAAAGAAAGCAAGAAAATTACTGAGTCACTGAGGTGCATACCACAGGCTTTAGCAATTCTTCAATGATCTCCTGTGCATGCTTAAGTTTGATGTCAACAATGTTTGCTGGTAAATCAGCCTCAATTAGTATATGAAGTGGCTCGTTAAGGTGCTCATAGCCAGGTCGTCCTCGTAGACTCTCCTCCTGACATTGACAGATGTGCAAAATATTGATATGTACTCATCAATACAATCATGGTAAACTCCATTAGCATAATTTGAAGCTGACTTGCAAGTGGTTCATTTATTTTCTTTGTATTAATCCTAAAAAGACATAAGAAAACTAAAAGATCAGAATACCTTATCTGGATCCTTTATTGAACCTCTTCCTCTGATATATACACGGCATCCAGTAGTGGCTTCAACCCTTTTCAACGAATTCCCTCTAGGCCCCAAAAGGCGCCCAACAAAATTGAACTATGACACCAGAAAATACTCATTCAGGGGAGCTAAAGAAAAAGAGAGACACCTGAAAGCTGATTATAATCTATCAACAAAAGTCAGTAGACAGCAAGCTTATAAATAATCGTACATTTGGATATACATCCACAGGAATTTCTAACCGCAAAATCCTTTTGACTGTGAATGAACTGGGGCTTGCTGGTGCTCCTTGCCAGTCCATTGTCATCCCAGGAGGCCCACTAAGTCTCTGCCATTGATAAAGAAGATCAACAAGTTTCTACGAAATTAAATATAAAACCAGGAGAAACAATGATTGCATTATTATTCAAACAGCATCTTATAGCCTACCTATGCAAAAATAAGACTTTTATGTGACCACCTACTTTTTTGGCTTCCAAAATTATAAAGAGAGAATAGCCCAAGCAAATGTAGTAGCACACCCCAAACTGAGTTCAAGCACAATATCATAGACCACAGCAGGTAAAATGCACACAAGAAGCAAATCAGCAGCGGTACCAGTAGGAGACCAAGTTTACACAATCAGATGGATCCAAGGGTGTCACAAATCATCATGCAAGCACCCAATTTCCTCAATTTATTCTCTGTAGAAAATATGAGGAAATGAGTTGTGCTCAGATCCAGTCTTGAGGTTAACCACAGAACTAGATTTAATACAGGTTCTAAGCAGAGCCAGTTTGAAGGATACCATTGCCAAATTACACATGATTATAGCTTGCAAGCAGCATAGAAATACTAGCTAGTAGCTGTCAAGGTGCATTGCTACCTCACATCCACCGCATGCTTAGTAAATATATCTAAAGAAAATCACGAGATAAAGAACAATGAAGTATGTTACAAATGATACCAAAGAGCTAAGCAGACAGGTAAAATAGCTACCTCATGAGGAAGTCCGTTCCAGCCAGGTAATCCTGTCCCAGCAACACTAGGTAAAAAATTTGATGAAGCCATTGGACTGGGACTTCTATGCCTTAGTCGCTCAAGTTCACCGAAGCCTTGATTCGGTACCATTCCAGTGACCCGTAAGATCTCTAAGAAAGACAAAGTGCGCAATGCAATTATAATTGAAGATGTAATAATTGCCTAACACAGAAAATCATCAAAAGACAAACCAAAGTACCAAACCACACAAATATTAGCATAAAGTAAAATTCTACATTGGAATTAGAAATAGGTAACATCAATATGTAATGCACCAAGGAAGAAATGGCTTAGCCGTCCATCCTACCATTAATGGTAAAGAACCGCTTCTTCCCCACGAAGGTTCCTATTGAACCAATACAAGAAATGTGCATGTTTTGGATCTTATATACTCCCTATTTATGAAAATAAATCTTGAACCAGATGGTGCAATGCTAATGTAAATGCCGAGCAAGTACATGATAGGCCAAACATTGGTACCACACCAATTGACGCACTGCGATGGAGGCAGGGAGCACAGCATTGAAAAGACAACCTGCACAGCCGTAGCTCACTCATCTCATTCGCAATCACTGGGGAATAACTTGAGTATGTTCTAAATTTCGAAGCCATGAGTTCACATCGCTGAATGAATTGTAGCATATAATATAAGAGGAGGGAAGCAACTACTAGCTTTTGCACGGAATAAAAGAAATGGATCCAACAAAACCATCTAATAGATGACGAGCAGCATCCATTACCCGAATGATTAACCCCTAGTTAAGAAGCAAGAAACCAACATAAAGCCTAGATCTAAAGTAGAGACTGGAAGCTGAATATAACGGGGAAATATTGAACCTTGATTCAGGAGCCTGGTAGAGATCGGAAGCACTTGCATAAAAGGGCCCAGCTTTTGATACTCAGCCAGCAGCTCTGACAAATACTGGTTGCTAAAATTTGTTTAAAAGATGGAAAGGGAAGAGAGAGAGGGGGGTAGAGATCGATCAGAAGTACTTTACAAGAGGAAGCACAGGAATACGAAAAGAAAGAAGAAAAGAGAGAGAGAGAGAGAGAGCATCGGGAAGAATAGAAATGGGGAGGAATCGCACCTGTCAACATCTGGGGCGCTTCTAATCTGGGGAGAAGCAGCCCTCGCAGGGGAGAAGTTGGGATTGTAAAGCCCAGACATACCGTCTCAACCAAATACTTTGCAAGGGTTTAGCCACCGGCGGAGGAAGAGGGAGAGAGAAGAAAGGGGGAGGAGAAGGTTTTGTGTGCAAAGTGCAAAGTAGCGAAGGTACAGAAACCGTAGAGGATGAGAGGCCTAACCAAATGTTAGCAGAGAGAGAGAGAGACGACTCCGAGACAGTGGTTTGTTTGTTATTTTCAGAATTTTTATTACTTTGAGATATTTTTAAAGAGCTAAAAAAACACGCACTCTCTATTGTGATACATCGTTTTCTTTTTTTCTTTTTCTTTTTTTTTTTTTTTTTACTGAATTTGAAGTTTTTATATTATTTTTTTTAGTTGAATTTAATATTATGTAAACTAGATTTAGGTGATCTGAAGGGTAAGAGATGAAAAATAATAAATGAATGAAGGGTAAAAATATAAAATTTGTATTTAAAAAAAAAAAATAAGACAATAGTTGTTGGATGTCCCAAATAAAAAAGTATAATATTTGAATACTAACGCAATACTCTTTAAACTTTAACTAGTGGTAAGCCCGTGCTACGCACGATAACATTAACGAATAACAAAATTGTAATACTATTTTCGTCCCATAAAAGAATATCATTTGTGTTTAATATTAAAAGTATATTCATATTTGTGTAATTTACTCCACAAGTGTTATTGTATTTGTATTATAAGAGACTAATAGAAATTATTTTATATTTTTTTTAAATTTATACTACATATTAATATAATTATTAATATTCAAATATTAACATAAAAAAAACTCAGGTTACTGTTCTTATGAGACAGAGGCAATATTAATTTTGTATATAAATTTATATTTAAATTTTAAATTAATACTTCACTATACTAAATCACTTTAAATTAATCAAAAATATATATTAAATTAAATAAACAAAAATTAAATTATATATCTTATATCTTATCTTATATCTTATATATATTATTATAATAGCTCATTGTGTGATATACTTATGCAAAAGCTTGAATTTCTAGCAATTTTATATTATTTTTAAAAAATAATTTGATTGGTCATCACTTTTGATTGGTTGGTATAAAATATGAGTCATATATTATAATTGTTGTATATATTTTTTTAAAAATATTAAAAATTATATGTAATGTAATCGTATTTAATGTTTATTTTTATATACTTGTTTGGGGGTTTGGATTTTGGATTGGGATTTGAATAGTTAAAATTTTGAATTTGAATAGTTGTATGATGTGATATAAATAGGTGTTGATGTGATGTTTTGAATGTAAAATTGTTTTTTTAGTATAATATAAAAAATGAAAAATAGGTGTTTGATTTGATGTTTTTGGAGAGAAAAAATTAGATAAATAGTAGAAATCCTCCAAAATCCTTCAAACAAACACACCCTAATATATTAATAGAATGGCAATAATTTTAATAATATTTTTTCTAATATGAAAATATATAAATAATATTATAAATGTAGAGATGAATTTTAATTGTATATGTGTAAGTTGTAAATTATAATTTTATATATATATATATATATCTACTATATACATATAAAGATACTACATATATATATATATTATTTTTTTTAATGTAGCACATATTTAAAAATAACTATTAATTATAACTACATTTCTTTCAATACAAAAACTAATTAGAAATAGTAAAATTACAATTACATCACATCACATATGATTTTTTGTATATTATGAAATAAATAATTTAATATAGTATATATATATATATGAAAACAACAATTAAAAATATATATATATATATAAATAATCATTGGGTATGTCTCACATATTATTTAAATAAAATAAAAATTTACTATTTGCAATAGCCAATCCAATTGTATAATAATGAAAAAGGAAGAAAAAAAATTCAAAATAGCTAAAACTTCATGTTTTTTTCAAGGATGGCATCCACGTTGAATTCAAATATATATATATACATATATATGCTAGTGGGAAGGCCCGTGCCAAACACAATGCATTTAACTTAAAAAAAAAAATTGCAATATTAATAATCTATATGAATTTTTGCCATTTATTTTAAAGGAAAAATTTCAAAAAATATTTTGTATTTAGAATTAGGCTCAATTATTAGTTTCAAACAATTTTTTTTTCCCATGACATTATGTATATTTCGGATATTAATTTTTACTCTCCATCTCCGAAAAAACGCACATGACTGTCACATGCACCTTCATGGTATGACCGGTGCATATCATGGATGTCGCCGTTGCTATGTTATCGCTCGCGTGGTTGTTGGACAGGTGATGTGAAATTATCTTTTTTCTCATTTTTGTAATGTAAGACATTATATGTACTCCTGACATTATATTTGCCCTCCAGATGGAAAAATAATTTGTTTTAGCCTTTTTTTTTAATTTTTTTTTTCAATTTGGTCCAATTGGACCAAAATCCAAATATGTTATTTGCAATTTGATCTAATCGAGCAAAGTTGAAATTGTAAATAAATTATTATTTTTTTAAATTATAATTTTACGTTACTTGTCTGAAGACCACGTGGGCGACAATATCCACGTATATGTTGGTCATACAATAAAGACGTCAGTGCGTTTTTTGGCACCGAATGACAAAAATTATATTCGAAGTACACATAATCTTCTAAATTGCAAAAATAAATAAATAATGTTTGAAAATAATAATTGGACCTACATACGAAAGTTTTTTTTTTTTTTTTCCAATTTTCTCTATTTCAAAATACACTAACACTATTCAAGTTTTTTTTATTTATTTTTTATTATTATACAAATATTTTAATAGTTTCATAAATTTAAGAATAAAATATTTTATAAAAAATAATAATTAAATAAATAAGACTGACTAAAATTTAAAAAATAAAAAGACAAATAAAATAATCTATTCAAATTTTAAAAAACATATATCAAATTGAAAAATCTTTAACAAATTATATTATTCTTTTACTTATAATAATATTTTATGAAATATATTATCAATATCAACTTTCTAACTACATCTCATAAACAAAAACAAACTTCAATTCTATATTTACAATATTTTTTCTATTTACATTTAACACTTTTAAATTCAAGAAAATAAGCTAACACAATTATTTGTATAGCTTTGATTTAAGTAGGAAATAATAATAATAATAATAATTACAATTTTAAATTTACAAAACACTAAAGATATATAATTATTTCTCTAATTGTATGCTATGAGAATTAAATTGTTTATATTGCTAAAATAATATTTTAAAAAAGGTCAGTAAATTTATTTTTGTTTTTAAAATTTTTGATTTCTTAATTGAAATTATGTTAACATTTTTTAGAAGATTTGTTTCATAACATAATTTGACGGTAATAAAATAGAATAAATAATTATGATATAATAATTAAAAAATTATTTTAAAATATTTGTTTATATAATTTTTTCACACATTGTATATAACAATAACACAATAAAATATATTATAAAATTTAAATTTGAAATACACTAATAAAAAAAATAATAGCTCAAAATCCTAGTTAATTAACATACCGACAACAATCTTTCATCTCCGCCTTCATCTCCACTTTCAACTTGTTTTTTAGTCCATTCCTCAACTCATTCTCTCTATTTCTATTTCCTTCTTTCCGCTTAGCCCTGGTCATTCTCTTCTTTATCTTTTTCTATTTCTCTACTTCCCACCTTCTTTTTACTTCTTCCCAAATAATCTTTTTATATAATCTTCTCTCCTCACCTATAGGAAAATGTAATTCCTACGGCCGTATATGTCATTTAGGGTGAAGACAACAGGAGATTAAAGAATCAATACGCATAAATTGAGTCATAATCCTAACAAATCAAACCACTATAAGACTACAATTAATTAAACAATACAAAAAACCGCAAAATATAAATCATCAAATCCATCGTCTATTACTATAGTGCAACTACAGAAGCAACAAATCTGAAAACGACCATGCCGTTAGAAGCAGTGCGGAGATCATACTACAAAATACTTTCTATTTGTTCATCTTCTTGATTTAATCAAGGTAGAAGACTCCTCTCAGCGATGATATGATCATCAATTGATTCCAACAACAGCAGCAGGTATCACCGGCGGCAGCGCTCGAAAGATGCTCTCGTCCGGATACACGTGGTACTCCTCCACCGAACAACACCGACGTGCAAGAACATGATCGGCACGGAATCCTCGCCGGCGGACAGCAACGGCTTGGCCATTCAACCGGAGAATTCCATATCGACGTCTAAGATCCAAGCGGAGAAAAAGAAGATTCAGCGGACAGTGGCGTGACACGTTCAAAAGAAATAGGGCTATAGGTTATCTTATATATACACACACGCGAAAAATACTTGCATAATTAAAATAAGAAACGCTTCAAATTTCTGTTAGTTATTTCCAAAAAAACACCCTTCGGTTTCCCCAAAGAAAAAGCTCCCATTTTCATCATTACATACATGCTTGCACGCATGCCAATTAAATATGCATATAATTATGATATATGATATAATTAAAATTATATATATAAATAAATTTATTACAATACCTATGCAAAATAAAATTAATGTTATAATAAACTACATCTATCTCACATGTAAATATATATTTAAAAAAAATAATTACAAAAATATCTATACAAATAATTATTATATATGATGCACATTATTTTAAAACATATATATTAAATATATACTCTATATATTAAATATTATAATCAATGAAAATTAAATAAAAAATGTAAAAATACTAAGAATTCAAATTTTATATAAGTTGGAATCTACATATATTAATATGATAAGATAAGATAAATTTATATATAATTAAATTTATAAGCATACAAAAATATCCGATGTAAAATTATAATTTACAACTTATACATATACAATTAAAATCTATCTCTACATTTATAATATTATTTATATATTAACATATTAGAAAATATATTATTAAATTATTACAATTCTATTAATGTATTAAGTATATAAAAATAACCATTAAATACAATTGCATTACATATAAGTGAACTCTACGATGAACTCTTATAATAATATATATACATTTAAAAATAATCATTAAAATAAATATATATAACAATTATTATATATAATTTATATTTTTATAACCACCAATCAAAAATAAAGACCAATCAAATTATTTTAAAAAAAATACAAAATTGCTAGAAATTCAAGCTTTTTGTATGAATGGACCCCACAATGAGCTCCAATAATATTATATATATATATATATGATATGATAATTCATATTTTATGACGTTATTATATCTTAGAAACTTTAACTTGAGTTTTGTTTAATTTTTAATCATAACTTTTCACTTCCTAAAAAGTTGAAATGCTTCATAAAGTAAATCCATATGATTCTTGTTGCATTACCAATGAATGTCATGCAATAGTATGCTCCACCAAGAAATGTCACTACAATTGTCCATGCATTAGTTTCAACTTTTGCTTATTTCGATTTCTCTCTCAAGTTGATCATCCTTTTCTATTTCCTCAATATGCAATATTCACAGTTGAAAATTGATTTATGAAAATAAAATTTTTTTAAGTTTTTGGATCTCATAAAAGACACTCACAAGGACCGATTCTTGCAATTCTACCGACAATATGTTTCTAATCTTGCAGTCTTTCAATGATATCAATTTTTAAAAAAATAACACAATACAAAAACAAAAAAGGAATATAAAACACATAATTTAGTAATTCAATTTAATCAAACTGATCTACATATGAAACACTGTCATTATGAACATTGTGATATTTTCAAAAGGTGAGAATACTCTATATTATAGAGAGAGACTCTAGGCTCACACTGTTTCATGTCAATAATATGTTAACTGAATCCTTAAGTTTCTCTACAAAGTTCTTATTATTGATAGATTTTTATTTAACTTTAATTTATAAAATAAATAATTTTAATCTAAATATGAATATATATGAATTTTTTATTGAAATAGAAAAAAATAATGTGATGCGGAGAAAAAGAAGGCGATACGGAGGGTCGGAGAAACTTTAGGTGAGGTTCATATGTGCGGACGGCCGTGCACCTAGCCTGCAATGATTGCTGTAGCTTGCTGTTGAGCGGGCCCGCTTTCTCTACTCGGTCGAACCTCTACCTCGCCGCCTCCTACGATACTTAATTTGTCGGATGAAGGCCCCTTCTTTAGTCGCTCACCACCTGCTCCAACAACAAGCCCGTTCATCTGATCCAACCTTGCCTTTAAGAAAGAAAGGTTGAATGTGAACTGGGAGGTGGTTAATGTCGCTGAGGGGTCTGCTGCAGGTGCAGGCCTCATTGCTAACGCTGCCTCCTCTTTTAATTGCAATTGCCCCACTGAATCCCCCTGGCTCTGGCTCTGGCTCAGGCTCGGGGTGGGGGTCGGGCTGACGTTCCACGGGAGCGTTGTGCTGCTTTTCCTGTTCTTCGATCTATTCTCAGCAGCTCCACCCTTTGAATGACTACTTTCCAAAGCTAATATAACTGGCCTGACACTATTAGCATCATGATCTGACTTGCCTGCGTATTTGAAACCCCTTCTAATTTTGTTGCGAGTTGTCGTCAATGCAGTAGCATCAATTTTTTGTTCTTGTTTTTCTGGGAGGTCACCTTCTCCTTTTGCTTTTTCTTTTGCTTTTGCTTCTTCTCCTCCTCCTCCTCCGGTCGAATCAGCTTTGTTGCCCTCCGTGAAGAATTGGCGCTTGCCGGGATACAATTCATACATAGCCCTATGCGTAGTTGCTTCCGAACAAAGGGATTCCTCGCTCTGTCTTTGATGACATTTCGCAGACTGCTTTCCGGCAAATGATGCGCGTTCACTCACCAGCTTCCGCCATGCAATCATTTGTGCAGTGGGTCCTAAACCCTTGACAAATGACATCAAGCTACTCCTGTAGCTAATTATGTCTACTTGATTAATCTGTGCGTGCGTGCGTGCGTGACAAGTACATTTAGTGCAACAGTCAGTCTGGATACGATCACCGAGATAGTGATGAATGCAATACAAATTTTAAGTAAATTAAATAGAAAATATATGAAGGGCGCATGCATGCATACCGATACTAGCTGATTGCAAGTGTGTGGGAAAGATGCGGTTGAGTCGACCGCGTGCTTAAACAAGGATGACCTCCGCTGACCCATTCTGTATGTGGAACGCCTATCGTCCGCTCCTTGGGAGCTCGACACTCGGCCATCTCTGCGCCCTGCTTATATGTGATGGCCAGGATTTTGCTTAGGAAACCAAGTAATTTAGTTAACCCGAAAGACTTTTTAGATCTTTGGAGCTAGCTAGCACTAGCCTGAATTACCCGTGGCGGTGGCGAACAATAAGTTGCTGTCGGAGCAATTAGCATGGTGATGATGGGCCAGGGCAGTGGGTGATGTCTCGGCTGAGCACCCAGCGGTCCTTCTGATGCCGCTGCTTCTTCGGAATGTGGGGGTCTCCTTGGGAAAAGCGTCCCTTGCTTCATCCATTGCCGCTGCTGGCGGTCTTGAATCCTTGGACTCGCCTAACGCCTTTCTCATAGATCTTCTCCGAGCCCCCGAAAATTCCATTACAAAATTTTCAGGATCCACTCTAAGGGCTTCAAAGACCTTCTTAGCTAATTCATGCATGGCACGAGCCTGTTTGACGTCCATGTGAACCACCGCCATTATGATCAACTAGAGAATATATATATGTGTGCCGGGAAACTGGTCCACTTATATAAGTATATATATATATATATATATTGCCTGCTAGTCCAAAGTAGACAGAAGCACACACCTGTCGAAAATAAGTGGTGCCTGAGGAGTTGAAATGCATTGCATTTTCTGGTATCAGAAACACATCTCGCTGCAGTGTAGCCAAACGTTAGGCTATTGGTTCTAATTTCTATGTTGGTGTAGTTAATAGGAACTCTGTAAAATGTTGTGTAGATCTATCTATATTGAATAGGCCGAAGCAAACCAACCTCAAATTGCTCGAGATTCTCATACATCCCTTCGTGAAGTTTTGCCCTCATTGTCCCAAAGTCCATGGGCTCTTTAATTATTTTATAGTAATCCTCAACCTACAGCACATATATAGATATATATATATATATATACAATATTAGTAGAGGACGATACCAGAGTTAATAGTTGAGCTAGAAAATGCCAAAGTACGTGGGTGATGGAGATGCAGCAAATTAAAGATGAGCGGAAGCAAACCTCATCCGGATTTACTGGTTCAGCAAATATTTCGTATGTATCTCTCCTGAAATGCATTTCAAGAACAATGCGATTATCCATCCCATTAAGCCTAAAACAAATTTGTGTATATATTTAATTGCAGAAGCTGTGTTGAAAGTTATTCACCTGTACACTGACCTAGCCTACCAGAGTATTACGGAATAGGATATTCAATGCTGCTGAAAGTTATTCACCTTTGTAGCGTGTCAAGAACAAGCTCTAGAGTATGCTTCTCCGGCAAGATCAATGCTTTGCCTGTGAATACCAATTAAAAGGAGAAAGAGACAGAATCATTAATGTGGAAGGAATAATTAGATGCAGTAAATGAGTAGTTTTATCATTTGAAAAATCTGGAATAAAAGTAGGAGAAACTAATTATATTGTAATTTCAACATCACCAGTACCACCATCCTGCTTATGGTGTTCACCATGGCTAGATTTCCAGATCAGTACTGCCAAGGCCAGCAAACAGAAATGCGTAGTAGTGGTAGTTAATGATGGACCCATCATGAAAATTAAGGCTACAGGCTGGGTGAGATGTTGGACGGCTAAGTTTACTCACCGCATGAATCCGTGGAGCGACGTCCATATCTTGGGCTGTTTCTGCCCTGCACCGTATTCAGTTCATGCAAAGCAACATTATTATTATTATTATTATTATTATTATGAGTGATGAGAGCGTGCGGGCAGCATAATAAGCATGTATATGGATGTAAGAAACTAAGAATGTCCAGTGATGGTCGGTAGTCGGTACTCATGCTCATGTGTGCATACCTTCCAAACTTGTTTGGCTAATTTTGAGACGGGTGTTGCCGCCGCCGCCGCCGCAGCATCATCAAATTTCCGCTTGATAGTCCTTGTCGTCCTAGTGCTTGTACTTGGGGGGGCATCAAGGGCTTTGATTTGGGGGTTCTTCCTCCTCCGTCTCTTGCTCCCATCTCTCCCCATTTTACTTGCTGCCGACGACTTGTGCTGCGTGTAATCGTTACAGAGCCTTTGTTGCTAAGCAAGGCTTTCGTTCAATGAAATTAGCGGGCATATAAGCTTACTGTTCTGTTATGGACACAAGAAATATGGAGTAATTAATAATTCACAAAGCAAACAACATTAATCGATCCGTTATGTGTGTTACTTCTTCCCCTTAAAAGGCATTGTAATTAATTGACAAATATCGCATGTATTCACGTCTCGAGCTTGATCTAGCAGGTTTCTTGTATTTCTGTATCGTATGATATGACAGACCGTACATTTCCTCATTAATTCACCTGCCTCAATATACCATATCATTTATATTTGTTGGCAAACCTGACTATCGAGATCTCGGTCTCAATGCGCCAGGCGGATACCATGATCTTTCTTATTTTGATAGCTAAAATCATACTAAATTGTTCATAGCAATAAAGTTTAAGCAATGAATAGAAATAATTTAATTCGGTCCTATAAATCTACTATATATGAATATGTGTATATATGGAAGAGCAATTGTTAGTATCAACTAATAATTTTTATAATAGATAGATTTGTGACCGTGAGAGTATGGGTTCAAATTTCGATGTTTTTAGGTCTTGTTTGTCCCACGGTTTGTGACTTGTCTTTTGCTTGTCACACATAATTTGTATAATGTAATATTTCAAGTCTAATTTGCATACTATTAGGTTCGATGAAGATTTACCTGGAGCACCTCGTAACTAAGATTTTGATGGTATATGTATATAGCCACAGAGAATTTTCACTCGAAGATTGAGATGTAGTGAATTATAAAAAGCGATCAGATATAGTAAAATTTGTGGTTGTAGACCCTGAATTGTTATCATAATTATTTATACTCTTTGACTTGTGAATTTTTAGGTCGAACACAAGGATTTTAAATCGTAAATTTAAATCGAGTATAGACCTCATGAAACCCTACTGTCACTAGGAGTTTCTGTAACCCAATAGACCACCGTCTATGCCCCATTAATTATCTCAAATTCTGCCTCATTAGTGGCTTTACTTTTTTGTTACCTCTTTTTAATCAAAATTGAATTTAAACTAGTAGTTAAGTAGGTTGACAAGGCTCCCTAGTACTTAACTACGTTGAACTACCTTGAATATGTTTGTGACAATTAGGGTTTATATAAATGTGAAAATGGGTGGAAGAAGTGATAATGAAAAATTGAATGATATTTCATTACTTACTAGCAAAGCTGGAAATTTTAATTCTACAAAACTGTAATTAAAACGATAAACTAAACTAAGTAAGCAGTGAAGCGATGGCCAAGGGAGAAGAGGAGTTTCAACTCCCTTGGCCATTTATGTAGAGAACTCCCTTATAGGGTTGGAGCTCTCGGGAAACAGAACAACAACTAGAGTGCACGAAAGTAATTACTAATATACTCCTCTCGAAGTATATTTTACATATAGATATCTGGCTCTATTTATAGCAGATAGAAGTAGCGGTTGCAAACAGTTACAAAGTGGTTTCTACCGCTAAGCAGTTAGGCAGTTGATGACGATTATTCTGTTGAAGCAGTTGCTAGCCATAACTCCCAGGTGCTCGCTTTGCTTGCGGAGACTTGTAAGGGCGCAGATCTTCCTCGCTTGCCGGATGGCTGGAGGGCATCAGCGGGCTTGCTTGTGCTGGCTGGTAGTGGAGTGGCTGTACGGCTGCAGTTGGAACACTTCGGCAATATTTGAGTTAAGTGTTGTCGCTTCCCTGCGGTGGGTGTCTGGTCGCTGGCCTGAATGCTGGAGTGTTGCTCGCGAGCGGTGGAAGCTACCGCTTGCCTCTCTTACCTTAGTTTTTCTTAGTGATGGGATCATCGCTTGTGAGCGGAAATGACTTATCGTTAGTTTCATCTGTCTTAGCTTTTTGGATCCAAAACACTGCTTAAAATGACAAAAATTGTTAATAATCTCAACAACCCAACTTTGGATCATGCCAAGCTAGATAGATCAATAAAGTATGTCATAAATTGTAATAGTTTTTATACAGAAATTCAAGTAATACGTAGTTTTATCAAGCGAGAAATATGTTCATATTTGGAGTTATCACAACCGATAGGTAGGTTATTAAGTTCGACCGGGATTTATCCAGAACGCACCTGAAAAATAACTGCGGATTCTCGTATTATCAATAATAATACTCCCTCCGTCCGGCTAGAAAGTATACATGATTCTATTTTGGGACGTCCAATTACAAAGTAAACATTTCATTAAATACCTTAATTTTTTCCACAAATACCCCTACTTTACATCACATCATTACTTTTACACCAAAAAGCAAGGGCAAAAATGTCATTACACTACTTTTAACTACCCACTATAATTAAAATACTATTATTTTTTAAACACCGCGCCAAAAGTAATTGTATACTTTTTTTGTGGACGAAGGGAGTATTTTTTAGAATAAAGTAAATTAAGTTAGTTTACCATGGAGTTTAAAAAATTAACGTTTTTATTGAAAAATTGTAAAGGTTCAATAATTTGGTTTTAAATTAAAAATAGATAAATCTTTAGATTTTAAATTTTAATTTAAATAAATAATTTTAATACTATTATATTTTGTAAAAAAGTACTAGGAATAATTTTTTTAATCAAATTTAAATTTAAAATTATCATCATTCAAATAAAAATGTACTATGTTTCACTTTTTTCGCTCATTTTACAATAGACACCAGAATCAAAGTAAGAAATAAAAATATATATATTAATAAAAAAATAATTATAAATTAAAATTATAACTAAATAGTTTAATTAAAATTAATAAAATTATAAATGATGAAATTTAAAATATGAATTATAACAAATAAGGTGGGAGTGACAAAATAAAAGTTTGACATAAAAAAGTGGGCGAATGAAAGTAATATATTCAATACATTGTGCTTGTATATACAGTTTCTTCTTTTATTATTTCAAACTAAAATTAATACTAATCAATACCTCAATTTAAATTAATTTCAAACTACAATCAAATATAATAATGGTTAGTTACATTGGCTTTGTTTCTTTTCTTTTTTTTTTTTTTTTTTTTCTTTTTAACTCTTACATATTTTCTCAAAAAAAAAAAATCAATACACTATACATCTTCATTATTTTTATATTTTCTACGCAATTCTATCTCTGTATCTCACGTTAAAAAAAATTCATTTTCAACAATTTTACAAAACAAAAAACAAACACACTCATTTTGTTTATTGTTTAAGATTGTTCAATCTATATATATATACATACATATATATATATAGTTTATGAGCCTTAATCAATTATCAATTTATTTTCGCTCAAATCTCTATTTAATGATTAAATTAAATTAAATATGATATATATTGGAAAAAAATATTTTTTTTATGAAAATTAAATGTGAATTGATGCGTCGAAGTTATATCGAGAATTTAAATAAAAAAGTAAATCCCTGGACTCTCTTTACAATGTTTGTCGTGCACTTCTTTATCGAAAGTCATTGACTTGAATCGGTTAAAGGAGCCTCCAAAGTTCATCCTAGAACTTCAAGGCGTTCGTTGTGTTTTTCACCGAATCATCAAATCCAGTCATGTTGGATCCAAAAGTCAAATGACACATTGTCAAAAAGGTTATGGAACAACAAATTTTCCTCCTCAAAGATCAAACCCCCAAATCTAAAAAAAAAAAAAAAAAAAAAAATTCAAATGCAAAATTGACGATAATTTGTCCTTACAAAGACCAAAGCTCTCTGAAGTCCATCAAATCAAACCGAAGCCAAATTCCTTTGGACCGTCAAGTACGACATCAAATCCAAAGTTGATAATCAAATTCCCCGTACAAAGGCCAAAACCCTTTAAAAGTCCGAGAAAGCCAAACCGAAAATCAAATCATTTTAGATCGTCCAAATAAGCCATCTAAATCCAAATTGAAAAACAAATCGATTCAGAAAGAGAATCAAATCACTCATTTAAAAAATATGACTTGCTCTAAATTTAATCAAATATAATTTGTACAAATTTTATATTTATTAAAAATAATACAATTTTTTTTGTATATATCATATCACATTAGGAATGGTTTTGAAGAACATATTTTTATTTTGAGTATAAAGAATTGTATAATTAATATAATAACAATAATGAGGATATATAATATATATATAAATATATTTTTTAATATTTCCAACAACTTTTCATTTTGTACAAACCTATTTACTAATATCTTAGTTCTTCCATTTTGCTTCCATTGACATGTTTGATTAGTGATAATATTTAAGATAATAAAGTTTAGTGCGTTGTGATACTATATTACTCCTATGTCCCAGATATCGTGATATGATATATAGTAGACACGGTATTTTTGGATATAGTAGATACGGTACTTTAGGAAGGGTGTAATTAGTAGATAATTAAGAATGTATTAGTGAAAATAATTATCCTATAATATAAATAATTATAAATTAAGATTAAAATAACTAATTAGTTTAATTAAAATTAAAAAAATAAAATTTAAAAATTTAAAATGAGATTAAAGTGTGTAATCATTTTCCAAAAAAGGAAAGTGACATGGTACGTAGGACGGACAGAAACGGCAACGTGGACATGGTATTTGAAACGGAGAGAGTATTATTATTTTTACGTGAATAGTGTTGTTAATAGTTTTAGTAAAAATAATTTTATGATTATAAAGTTAATTTATATATTTAAATATTTTAAAACTTATATTTTAATAAAATTTATGTATAATTATTATTTTATAAAGAATAAAATTTTATATACAAATAAATAAAAATATACATTTATTATGAATAACATCAATTTATTTATAAAAAAAATAGAAACATATAACATAATAAATATATTTATGTATTATAGAAATAAAACGATTTTGAAGAATATGTTATCGAATAAAATTGTAAAAAAAATGTCTATACCGATTATCACTTTTGATTGGGCACAGAACAACCCGTTGTGTAGAACATTGGGCATGCGAGCTGTGTGTGTATATATATATATAAGGAAATCGAGAGAGAGATGGACACGGGAAAAACAAAACGTGTCAAAATGTACACACACAGCTGCAATCCAAAACATCTCAGTTGACAGCAAAATCAAACGATTACGGAGATAGATAGTTATACATATGTGGAACTATAATTTGGTCTTGTAACGGCATTTCTGCTGAGAGAGAGCCCGATCGGCGAGCTCGATTTGCAGATCGCAAGTGGTGTAGGTAACGACATGAATTTTGAACAGCATCCGCACTCGGCCGGCGATTCTGATGTGAGTTTGAAAGGGCAAAGTACCGGAAGTGATGTCGGAGTACAGAGCAGAGTTGGAGAGCAGGCGATCCGCCATTAAAGTGAGGGTGAGGTTCAAAGGGCGGGTCTCGCGGGCCCCAATCTTGCCGTCGGGGACGGGGACCTCACCAACGTTGTTGCCTCTGTACCTGAGGAAGGCAGTGCTGCGGGAGTACCTGAAGCCCACCCTGTTGGGGTTGCCAACGGCGAGGCCGATGTCCAGCGTGACGTTCAGGTTCACTCTCAGACTCGCTAAATCCAAGGAGGCGTCCAGGTGGGAGAGGGAGACCGAGTCGACGCTAGTGGTGGGGCGCCTAGCCTTGAAAACGGTCAAACCCAGTACGAGGAACAACAGGCCCACCCCCATAACCACAGCAGCAGCAACCAACGGGCACAGGCACAGGCATCTTCCGGATCTGCCCCCCGCGCCGCTGGTGTTGTTTGCTGCCTGAGACCCCATCAGCTGCTTATCATCCTCCTCCTGCGTACTAGATCTCAAGTTGGATGGATCAGGCTCACGCTCACGCTCACGCTCACGCTTAGTCTCAGCCTGACCACTACCAGCCTCCGCATCCATTCCTTCTACCCTGATGGTAGGTAGATCCGAATCCGACCCAAAATCCGAACGGCTAGCCGGCTACGTAGCTGCGGGCAAAGGCAAAGCGGTTATTCCTTAGATTTTTAGTATTGCTTTTCCTTTTTTATCAGAAAGTGGGGATTGGGTCGATCTCTACAAACATGTATCATATCTCGACTTGAACCAATGGAAGATAAAAATAAAAATAAAATGTTTAGAGAATAGTATAAAGGCTGACGGCGGCGCGTTATCACTAGAACCAAACCTTTACCCAATTACCTAACCCGAACTAACTACAGCACTACAGCATAGTAGTAAAGGTTATAGCCATGCCAAGGAAGAGGGTGGGAGCTGCAGGCCAGAGACAAATCCAACAATAATTGATTGATGCTGATAGTGATCAAGCTGAGCTGCAGTCTGCTCTGCTCAGCTTGCGTAATCTCATATTAAAGATAAATCATAAATCGAACATGTATTTAATATATTACGTGCACGAATACAGATAAGGAAAGACACCGAAAGTGAAATATGTTTAGAGCAAAGCAATGGTTTGATTGAGAAAGTCCTCTGTTTATCATTTTTATATTTTTTATATTTTGCCAATTTATAAGGCTGTTGCTTGTGGGAATTAGTATCAAATTTTAAATTAATTTTTTTTTCTATTACTCTTATTTTTTAAATAAAATTGTAATATATGTATTGATATGAAAAAAAGTGAATAAAAATTAAAATTTATGATTAGAATATTTTTATTATTTTATCTTTATTATTCATTTTTTTAAAAATTAAAAGTCTATTTAAATTACTACGTTTTTCAATTTTTATTCCGTTGAAGTAAAAATTTTGTGAAAATATTTTCTTTTTTATTTTTCAAAAAAATTAGTTAACATTAAAACAAAAAATTAAATACAAATAAACTCCTAAAATATTATATAAAAATTAATTTTAAACATTTGGACAATAAAGGTTATTTTTTTATAATTTTGAAATTAATTGAAGTAGAGAGTTGATTTGAATTTAAATTTGTATTTAAAATAGTATTTTAATTTAGATATTGTTGATGTATTTTTTTTAACAATAAAAAGTAAAATCCGAAAATAGAAAATTATCTTCGAATTTGATATAATTAGTGTTTGAGATTAGTAATTTATAAACATTGTACATACAGAAAATAAACTAGAAAATAAAAGACTGAAAATTTAAATGATGATCCTCGAATCACAGACTTTGCTGTCGTTTGAAGATGCTTGAAGATTAAATCCAAATCCTTAAATATTTCTTCAAGAAAACGTTTCAGAACCGTCGCCAGCAACCGCCGTCAATCGCTCATAACGAAACATTTTGAAACGTCGTCTGGACGGTTACGGCAACCGTCCACAAGGTCCTCCTCTGTCGACACGTGTCTTACACCGTCTCGCCAAACGATTCTACCAATTCCAGAACTCAACTGGCCCGACCGACCATTCCAGAGACTAACTGGTCGCTAGACCAAACGACTTATTGGTCGCCCCATCAAGTGACCAACATATGATTTCTCAAGACGATTCAATGGTCGCCCCAATCAAGCGACTGAACTACTGTTCACTTAATTAGACGACTAATTAACAGACATTTGTTTGGTTCAAACTCCGTATTGGCCGACTCAACCGATGGCGGACCAACCGACTGCGAACCAACCGACTGCAAACCATCCCATCCGACTGCAAACCTTCCGACCTGCCTATCCGACTGCGGACCTTCCGACCTGCCTATCCGACCGAGGACCAAGACCTGCTTATCCGACTGCGGACCAACTGACTGGACCAACCGACCGTAGACCAACCGACCTGAGTGCATATTTTCTCCTTTTCCGCCGGACTTCGTGTCCTAACTTCCTTTAAGATCCTTCTATTATTATTATTATTATTATTATTATTATTATTATTATTATTATTATTTTTGTGTGTAACAACTTGCCTCATCTGCAAGACTCCTAAGCGTCATTTCTCATGATGTTTAGGAGTTTGCAGGCCGTCATCCGAGGCCACGTCAGCCTCAGATCCGACCTCCATCTTTCGAGGCTACGTTGTAACCGACCTCCATTTATCGCGGACTGGTGCTGGCTTGCGTGTTCGTCGATCTTGCACTATCATTTCTTCAGCACCTCCCCCATGACAGAAGTCGTGATCATTTTCTCTGAAAAATGATTCTAATCTCCCTGTCTTGGATGCTAAACTGGCCAGATCTTGAACTTCGTGGGCCGTTAAAGCCTCCCGCAGTTGTGTATGCATATTTCGGACCACCAAATTGGTCATCTCGCTCTCCTCAACGATTGTCGGGCAACGTCCATTCATTAATCGCATCCGCTCTATGAATTTGTAAGCGGTCTCCTCCGGCATTTGCCTGATCTTCAGAAGGTCTGTGAGTGAGACTGTTGGAAGAGGATTAAAGAACCTTGCATGAAAGGCCGTTTCCAAACCTTCCCAGGTTTGTATTTGTACAGGTGGTAGATCGACAAACTACGAAAAAGCTGTCCTGGTAAGAGACAGACCAAATAGTTGCAGTTTATAAAAAGGGTTATTACTGACCTCTCCTAACTGTGCTGTGAACCGACCCACATGCTCTATTGTGGAGGATCCGTCTTCTCCTGAGAAAACATGAAAGTCTGGCGGTCGATAATTCCTTGGGAGAGGATACTCATTGATGATTCTCTCTGGAAATGGCCTTTGATACGCCGGTCGGTTCACCGTTTTCGGGTTCATTCCGAAATACACCCGCAAAACTTGAGCGATATCCTTCGGATCTACCCTGGGTGGAACATAATCTTCCCTAGAGAAGGCTGGCTCGGCTGGGATGAGATTATGAATTTGATCTCCTAATCTTTCTTCTCTGGGAACAGTTGGCTCGGCTGGAATGAGATTATGAGCTTGTCCCCCCAATCTCTCTTCCCTTACGATATTCGGCTGAGTATTATCAATCTTGGTCCTAAAGGAACATTATTTGGAAAAGTTAGAGGAGTCTTTCCCCTATCTGTTCGGTTGAACGTTGTGGCGCTTGGCAATGTACTGTCAACGTATGATGGCCTAGCGAAATCTGCTTGCATTCTTGATGGTAATATTCCTGGTGGCGTGTGAGTGGGTTGAAGAGTAACCCTTGATAAAGCTTGATCTAACATGTTCTACATGAGATTCTGTTGCTCACGCAACATGAGGTTTTGCTGCTCACGCAACATGTTTTGCATGACCAAAATTTGCTGATTGTTCAATTGTTGAATATAAGATATCCAATCGGTAGGTACTTGTGGTGCTTCCCCTGCATTCGACATAGCATGTGGTGAAATTGTTTCTCCTACCGGTGTTGAAGACTCTTGAGGTTGTGAACCTGCCATATGGATTTTTCTGATGATTCGGCCAGACCTCAATCGTATAAAATTCTATGTTGACGTAGGATCATCAATTTTGCATTTCTCCCACTGTGGTTGCCAATTTGTTGATGTATTTTTTCAACAATAAAAAGTAAAACCCGAAAATAGGAAATTATCTTCGAATTTGATATAATTAGTGCTTGAGATTATGAATCTCCAAACACTGTACGGTACAGAAAATAAATTAGAAAATAAAAAACTGAAAATTTAAATGATGATCCCCGAATCACTGACTTAGCTGTCGTTTGAAGATGATTGAAGATGCCTTTCCAGAATAAATCTAAATTCTTAAATATTCCTTCAAGAAAATGTTTCAGAACCGTCACCAGCAACCGCCCACAACGAAACGTTTTGAAACGTCGTCTGGGCGGTTACGGTAACCGTCCACAAGGTCCTCCTCTGTCGACACGTGTCTTACACTGTCTCGCCAAACGCTTCTACCAATTCCAGAACTCAACTGGCCCGACCGACTATTCCAGAGACTAACTGGTCGCTAGACCAAACGACTTATTGGTCGCCCCCTCAAGCGACCAATATCTGATCTCTCAAGACGATTCAATGGTCGCCCCAACCAAGCGATTGAACTACTGTTCACTTAATTAGACGACTAATTAACAGACCTTCACTTGGTCCAAACTCCGTATTGGTCGACTCAACCGATGGCGGACCAACCGACTGCGAACCAACCGACTGCAAACCATCCTATCCGACTACAGACCTTTCGACCTGCCTATCCGACTGCGGACCTTCCGACCTGCCTATCCGACTGAGGACCAACCGACCTGCTTATCCGACTGCGGACCAACCGACCGTGGACCAACCGACCTAAGTGCATATTTTCTCATATTCCGCCGGACTTCCACTACAAGAAAATATCATTTTTGTAACGAGATTTTTTCGTCATTAAATTCACTTTTTCCGTTACTAATTATATTAGAAACGGAATTAATGATGGAATTACATTAGCTACGTGATCTTTAGTGACGAAATTCTGTTACAAATATACTATTTTTTTTGTAGTGTTCGTGTTCTAACTTATTTTAAGATCCTATTATTATTATTATTATTATTATTATTATTATTATTATTATTATTATTATTATTATTATTTTTTGTGTAAATCAGATATTTTATGAAAATAAATAGTATATTTTTATTAAAAAATTGTATAAATAATATCAATTTTGATTTGAAATTGTAAAAACACAAACAAATAATTCCTACCAGAGAAATTACCACTCTTTTTATTTTATTTTATTTTGGACATGAAAAAATCTATAGTTTTGAGAATTAGTGGTTTATTTTGTTTTGTTTTTTATTAATATTTTAAATTAATATTAATATTATTTACTAAATACAATTTTTTTATATATAAAATATATTATTTTATTTTACTAAATTTAACAAAATATTATTTAAACAAAACACTTCATTTCAAATCATGTTTAAATTACAATAAACAAAGAAAGGGTGTGTTTGTTTGAAGGATTTTGAAGGATTTCCACTATTTATCCAATTTTTTCCCCCCAAAAATATCAAATCAAACACCTATTTTTTATTTTTTATATTATACTAAAAATCAATTTTACATTCAAAACATCACATCAAACCCTATTTATATCACATCATACAACTATTCAAATTCAAAATTTTTACTATTCAAATCCCAATCCAAAATCCAAACTCCCCAAACAAACACACCCAAAGTATATTTAGACAATTAAATTGAATATTTTTGTAATAATAATTTATTTAATTAATAGAAGTGATCCATAATTAAAATTTAAAAATTATAAATATATACTACATCCACTTTTGCGTATATATTTTTAATAAAAATATCTATATATTTTTAATGAATTTTATTATATTAGTTACCGTAGATATTAATTTTTTGATACTATCAATTGTATGCAGCAGTGTAGGGGCTTCGATTCCCAATATCTGTATAGTATTTTCTCTTATTTATCACAGAAGATTTTTTTAATATATCCCACGTGATTATTTTCTATTTTTGTTAATTTGAATTCTATTAAATATAAATTAATTTAATTAAAATTTTAAATTTAATATACATAAATTCATTTAAATTTTTTATTTTGATTTTTCTATTAATAAACACATATTTTTATATATTTAAAAACTTCTTTTTTTTTTATAAAATTTAATTTATGTATAAGTAAATATATATAATATATTTTTATTTATTTATATATTATTTACATTATATTCATATTATATATTTTTTATTAAAATATAATATTTAAAATATATATATTTAATTTTTTAATATTTTCTTCTTCCCGCATTTCATATCCATTTTAATCTTCTTTTAAATTTTTTAATTTAATTTTTTTAAATTCTAATTAAACTAATTAGTTATCTTAATCTTAATTTATAATAATTTATATTATAAATTAATTATTTTTACTAATATATTCTTATATTTACTAATTATATTTATCCTAAATTTCCGTATTTACAGTGACTAAGACACCAATTGTGGGACGTAGTAATATATTAATTTTTATTTTAAAATAATAAAAAATATTACTTATATAAAATTAATAAAATAATATTATAATTATCATGTTGATTAAATTATATTATCTAAAATATTGTATTTTTTAACTAATGAGATCTTTTTAATTAGGACGAAGAGAGTATATATTTAAATCATCTCCAATGACACAGTTCTTGGGTGCACACGAGTGTTCTCATCCCTCAAACATGTATGTGGAGATATTCAGGTATGTTTCTTTAGAGCAGTTTGAGAAAATTTGGGTTTGAGTTTGATTTTTATTTGAATTTTGGGATAAGTTTGAATTTTGTTGTTTCTTTTGTTTTTGAGTTTGGTTGGGGTTTGAAGAGTTTTGATGTGTATTGATACTATGAATAATTAATAAAATAATATAAATGTGTATTAAATTTAATAGATAAAATTTATATTGTATGATTTGATTATAAATTTATATTATATCCAATATATATATTTAAATATTTATTTATTTGTATTATAAAAAAAAATTATTTTCTAAAAAATAATAATATTTTATATATTTTTTAACTTATAATAATTATAAATATTAAACAAATAAAATATTTGAATTATATTTATATTTTAAATTCAAAAACAAAAACAAAGTGCAGCACTACAGTGATTTGCAGGTCTTTTCTATTGTATTGCAGCGGTTTGCCCGGTTTGGCGCTCAAATCATTATGCACAGTAATTACACAGTGATTTTGCCCAAGTCAGGCTGGGAGAAATATACCCTTACTTCTTATCATTCAAAGTATTATTTTTATTATTTTTATTTGTCTTATATCAATTAATTTTTATTTAAATTACAAATATATCATCACATGTAATTATTTTATATAAAAAAAAGTCAAATGGTCTCAGGTATCCTGTCCCATTTACTCCCATTTACTTTAGACACAAGTTTTAGAAGAAATAATTAGTAAATAATTAAGAATATATTAGTTAAAATAATAATTATTTAATAAAAATAAATTTAAATTAACATGAAGATAATTAATCAATATAATTAGAATTAAATTAAAACATTTTAAAATAAGATTAAAGTATAATACTTTTAGAATGTGTTTGGTTGGATGATTGGATTTAAATTTAATTATTCATCCAATTTTTTCCCAAAAAATATCAAATCAAACACCTATTTTTCATTTTTTATCTTATACTAAAAATCAATTTTACATTCAAAACATCACATCAACATCTATTTATATAACATCATATAACTATTTAAATTCAAAATTTTTACTATTCAAATCCCAATTCAAAATCCAAACCCGCAAACAAACACACCCTTAAAAAAAAAAGTGACCAATGAAAATAAACGATGAATACAATAAATAAGACGGACATAATATTATTTATTAATCTACACCTAAAAAGTCCATTTCAAAACGGACGATGAGAGTAAGAGATATGTATTTATTGCTATGTGTTCCATTTCAAACATATGTATGATAAGAAGGCCTTTTCAAGCAAAGGAGTATTAAGGGTGCCTTTGTTTGAAGAATTCTCAAAATTTTTTATTATTTAATATTTTTTTTTAAAAAAATTATTAAATTAAACATTTAATTTTTTATTTTTTATTTTTTTATATTATACTTTCTTCGTCTCGTATATATTTATCCATTTATTTTTTTACAAAAAATAAAAATATTAATATTATATAAATATAATGACATTTGTTAATTCAACGATAAATTGAAAGTATATTTTTAATGTTATGTAGACAGCAGAGTTACTAAAAAAATATAAGGACGAACATACAAAATACTAAAAAAAAATCAATTTAACATTCAAAATATTACATTTACATCAAAATTTATATTAATAAAATCTCTCACTCAAAATCCAAAACCCCAAACAAACACATTCTACATAAATAAGAGAAATGAAACTTAACAACAAAGAAATAGAAATGTTTTCATTTTTCTTATTTGTTTGAATTAGATAAATGAAATTTGAAAAATGAATTATTTTTACTTCTTTATTATTATTATTATTTTTTAAATGAAGATAAATGATATTGTAATATATATATTGTTATCTTTTTTTTTATTTTTTTTACTATTTAATTTTTATAATTATTTATATTATATTATTTCAGTTTTACAAAAATTATATTTAACTTATCATTCAAATATTTAATTTTTTATTATTTTTTTTAAAAAAATTATACGAATATATTATCTTATAAAATTTCGTATATAATTTTTAATTTTTAATTTTAAAAAAATCAGAAAAATAATTTTTTCATAAATTTTCATTCGCTAAAATTCTTTTTTGTTAAATTAATCATTTATTTTTGTTCATCCATTTATTTATTTTTACACTTTTCAACTGAATTATCTATTCTACCAAATAAACAAAAAAAGAAATTTATTCTTATTCTTTATTCAATTACATTATTCTCCACATTCCATTCTCTCAACCAAAACCCCCAACCCCCATCCCCAAAAAAGTTCGCTGATACAAAAAGAGCTGTAAACTCGGAGCAACTGCGTCTGAATGCTCAGAGGAAAGGAGAATGGTTGTGGACGGGGAAAACGCTCAACTGAGCTCTCGGATCCTAGCATCATGGCTAATCGGAGGTCTCGTAATAGGGTTCTCGTTTCTGGGCTTTCGATTTGCTCTACCTAAAAACAAGAAGAAACGGCCGATTAGGGTTTACATGGATGGGTGCTTTGATATGATGCACTACGGACATTGTAATGCCCTTCGCCAAGCTCGAGCCCTCGGAGACCAATTGATCGTTGGCGTTGTAAGCGACGCGGAGATCACTGCCAACAAAGGCCCTCCTGTTACTCCTTTGAACGAGAGGTCTAGCTCCTCTTTCATCCACTGTTTCCCAGGCCCCGTGTCTATATACATATATAAATAATTATATATCATGTGTCCAATCCGATGCATGTCTCGATATTTCTGCTTGCAAAAATACGCTCGTTTTCTGATTGAATGATTTAGAACCGAAATCAAGCACCTTCATTGAAGTTAATGTGTATACAATAAGCTGTTTTAGCATCTTAGACAGAGAAGAGTTGGACTTATGTTCAGGTAAAAATAAGTTAGCGAGGAGCTTTTAAGATTAGGATTTATCCCGTTTCTTTTACCTATTTGTCTCTGACCCACAGTTATTAATTCTCTCTCCCCTATACTGCGGTTATTGGCTTACTGAAAGCAGGAATCGCCGTGACCTGGTGATCCGGGTGTTCTGTCTACAAAAATTTTATTGCTTGCTTCTTTGCGGGTTTTGGATTTCTCTGAACAGCCTGATTGCTTGATCTTACTAATAATTTAAAGAAGATGAAGGGAAACATACATGCGAGCGGAATTGTTCCAATGTCAGGCTACTATTATGAATCCATTTCTTCCCTGTTCCATGCATGATGCATGGCCTTTTTTCTCACTTCTCATTGGGTGCTATCTATATGGTGATATTTGGTTGTCACGCTGTTCAAGTTTGAGCACAATCGGCATATCCTATTATTTATATGATAATTTCACTTGAGTATTCTACAAGGATTACTGTGTCTTGCTGGATAACTAACTTAAAAGCTTAAATCTGTCACAGGATCATCATGGTAAGTGCTGTGAAATGGGTGGATGAAGTCATTCCTGATGCTCCTTATGCTATAACAGAGGATTTTATGAGAAAGTTGTTTGATGAGTACAATGTTGATTACATTATTCATGGGGATGATCCCTGCATTCTTCCTGATGGGACTGATGCTTATGCCCTCGCTAAGAAAGTTGGTCGTTATAAACAAATTAAGCGCACTGAAGGGGTATCTAGCACTGATATTGTTGGTTGGTACCTGCAACTACTTGTTTGTTTAACTGCATCTGATTGTATGTCTTTCTTACTTTATATGAGCTTGCCCTTGTGTTTGGATCTGGATGCAATTTGGTTTATTTTGTACACTATATCTTCACAACATCTCATTGCTTTTGATGCTTTGAAACTTGAACTCAAACTGAGATTCTATAACTGTATAGTATTGCTGATTCTTTATTCTTTATCCTTTAACTCATTGCTTGAAAACCCTCCCCTGGGTGCCACATTGGGTGGAAAATTACAGTGCTGTTTTTCTGCGCTTGTGTTACAGGACGAATGCTTCTCTGTGTGAGAGAAAGGCCAACTGGGGACAGCCATAATCACTCATCTTTGCAACGACAGTTCAGCCATGGTCACAGCCAAAAATCCGAAGATGGTGGCTCTGGTAGTGGAACCCGTGTATCTCATTTCTTACCTACATCTCGAAGGATTGTGCAATTTTCCAATGGAAAGGTTTGTATATTGCTTGCATAGAATATGGTAACCCTTGTTTATGAGTTTCTGTACATATAAGCAACATATCATATTGAGTATTGTTTCTATCCCCTTTATCATCTACCTGTTGATTTGTGTCTATGTGTTTATCAGTAATTAAACTTGGCACCTGTCAAGGTTAAGGATGCTCTGTTTATTCATTATCCTCTTATACACTAGTGTTCATTTCCTCTTATCATCCTGCAAGTCCATTGTCCAACCGTGTTGTTTATTGTGTGTAGGATTTGTATATTTGATTCATGTTGTAGTTTTATTTCTTATCACAGCTGTGTCTTCTTATTCACACTAGGATTATGTGTTTAAGAACAATCACGCAATACATGGATTTGTCTCCCTATAATTAGTTGTCCATATTTGACAGCCTGATATATATATGTATATATATAGGTCAAATGATCTCATTAATTAATAAGATATGTTTTTTTTGGGAGCCTCTGACCTAGCTTGGAAACCCTAAGTCACAGCCTTCATTTCAATGCGACCTTGAGCCTAGTCTCAACCTTCATTGCTGCACAATCCACTTTACCTTGATTGCATCCATTCGTGATGATTGAGGTAGATAATCAGGTTTGGAAGCAGGGACAAATCCAAAAAGCACTGCGAGAATTGCTGAATGTTCATTCTGCTTATGGATTAAACGCGAAAATTACCTCAAATGGTCTCAACTCATTAGGATCATGTTGAAAGGAAAAGGAAAGGTCAGTGATTATTGATAATGCCCTTGATGGAAAAGATGCCCAGCTCAAATCATGGGATGGAGAAGACTCCATGACCATGCTATGGCTGTGTTACCTAGAAATCAGTGATACCTGCATGTGTCTTAGATCAACAAAGGAAATCAGGGTGGCAGTAGAACTATCCTATTCTAAGGCAAGGATGCTCTACTCAAGTCTATGATGTAAAGGCCAAAATTTGTTGTTGCCAAGCAGGAATACAAATTGGTTACAAAATATGTCAATCAACTCAAGTCCCTGTGGATGGGAATGGATCACTATCAAGTTATGAAAGCCTAGTGTTCAGAAGACTAACAATCCTTAAGGAGTATATTGAACACGATAGAGTATATGATTATCTGGTAGGCCTAAGACCTGACTATGATAAGGTACCGATTCAGATCTTGCTAAAAGAGAAAGTTCCCGAGCTTTGAAGTGGTAGACATTATCCAGAGTGAAGAAAGCAGGAGAGAACTGATCCTGCAGATCCCAATTACGGGAAGTTCATTAATGATGACGGAAAAAAATGAGTGGGTTTGGTGTAACTACAGCAACAAGCCACACTATAAAATGGAACAATGCTGGAACTATTGGCAAGCTAAAATGTCAACATATGGGCTAAAACAATCCCGAAGAGCCAGGTTTGGAAATTTCACTAACGTTTTGACTGGTCTGGGGTATAAATAGAGTCAAGGGATTCACACTTTATTCATGAACATTCAGATTCAGGGGGAGTTATAATATTGCTGGTGCATGTGGATGACTTTATAGATAACCGGGGATGACAAAAGGAGCAACAAAAGTTAAGTCAATGTCTTGGCTTGGAATTCGAGATCGAGACATTGTGGAGATTTAATATACTTTTTGGGGATTGAAGTGGCCCATTCCAGGAAAGGAATCTTTTTATCTCAGTAAAAGTATATCATTGACTTGCTTTAAAAAACATGCAAGACAACTTGCAGACCAACAAATATTCCAGTTAATCCAACTATTCAGTTAGGAAGTGTGGTCCTATGAACAACAGAACAAGTAAATGTATCAAAGACTTATGGGTAGGCTAATTTATCTATCTCACATTGCACTAGGTTTTGCCTTTGTTTTAAACATAGTGAACCAGTTTATGAACCAACCAAAGGAAGCACATGTACAAGATACCTTTAGGATTGTCCAGTATTTAAATGAAACTCCAGGAAGAGGGATTTTGTTCAAATGAAATAAGAGTGCATGTCTTGAAGTATGTGCGGATGCAGATTGTGTAGAGTTGTGGATAAGAGATCAACTACTAGATATTGCACCTTTCCTGCTTTGAACCTAGTGACTTGAAAGAGCCAAAAGCAAAGTGTATTTGCTAGATGCAGTGCTTAAGAATTTTGAGCAAATTGGCTAGATGAATATGTGATCTTCTATGTGTAATTATCATATTGGAAGAGTTGAAGGTAATTCCGGCTGAACTTATGAGGCTATATTGTGACAATAAGCCTGCAATTAGTATAGCCCACAACCCAGTGCTAAATGATATAATTAAACACATCAAGGTGGACAAACATTTTATCAAGGAACAGCTGGAAAGTGGCTTATTTTGCAACCCATATGTGGCCCACACAGAGTCAACTTGCAGACATGCTCACCAAGGGGTTGAAGAATGTTGATTTGCAAAGGATGATATCCAAGCTAGGAATGAAGAACACTTTCTCACCAGCTTGAGGGGAGTGTCAAAATCATATTTATTGTGTATTTTAGGAACTTTATATATTATTCATGTTGTAGTTCTATTACTTATCATAGCTTTATCTTGTTATCAATACTAGGTTGTGCTTAAGAACAATCCCATAATCATAGGGATTTGTCTTCCTAGATTAAGTTGTCCACATTTGACAGCCTCATGTATATGTATAGGTCAATTTGACAAGATATTTTTTCCCTTCTAAATCTGAGACAAATAGATGATTAACTCTAGCCTGGATTAAGACAAAACTAAAGATAACTGGGCTTATATAATTGAAAGAAAATATATTTTGACACCTTCGCATATACAATGTAAATCAAACTCTTTATCTTATTCCTATTATCTTCTTAAGCTAATATATCTCTATAGCGTACAAGTAATTCCAATGCGATTGAAAATTGTTTGTTTTATTTTACAAACTTCACTGAAATTTATGACCCCCTCAGGGACCTGGACCTGATGCTCGGATAGTCTATATTGATGGTGCATTTGATCTCTTCCATGCTGGTCATGTTGAGGTGATTGATACTTGATCCCATATTAATTGACATGATTGCAACTTTTCAAGTTGTTTCTTTTGTTTTAGTTATAATTTTATATCTCATTCTTCTGTACTATTACTGTTCCTTTTTATTTTTTTGTTTATAAAAATCTTATCTAATGTCCTTTGATTCATCTTTTCAAATTAATCCACATTAAATAAGTTCACCAATTCCTTTTTTTTTCCCTCTGCTTGCATATTTTGGCTACTTCCATTTCCAATTTTGGTTTTTGCAGATACTCAGGCTTGCCAGAGGACTAGGAGATTTTCTTCTTGTTGGCATCCATACAGACCAAACTGTTAGGTCTGCTTCATATTTATAGCTAAATCCTGTCTCTAATCATTTTAAGCGAACTCATAATTAGACACGTGTATTGTTTACATTGCCTATTCCCTTATTTTCTCATTCTCTACTCAATAAATGTGAATTCTTTTCTTATCCATGTAGGTGTAGTTTCTCTTAGTTCCATATAACCTGAGCTAGCCACTGTAGTTATTGATTACGAGATTTCACATAAATTGATGGCTTTTCTGTTATTACTTTTAGTTGTCATTGATCATTTTCTGAAAAAGTGAACTTTTTGTTGACTTGTTCCATACAACCCTAAACATTGAATGCTGGTTTAGCTGTGATGCTAATGTTATCCAGGTGGTGCAGTTCTCTTCCTTAAAATTAAGGCAATCTTAGATTGCGTTTTCTAATTGGGTAACATACTAAATGATTCCTGAATGTATTTTACTTCATAATTAAGCTATTTCTTCTACTTACAATCAGAACAATACATTTTCCACCCCCAGATTTACATCAACATATATGCTCATATGCAGGTATTTTTCCCTACAACTAACTTTAACCTTTTGCTACAATTTTAAGTACTCTGTATCATTATACTATCTCACAGACATACATTCACATCTACTTGTGTGTTGCTTGGATGCATGCATGAATGCATATCACGTGTGACATTCTCCATTTTACTTCAAGACAACCAAATTATATTGGCTAATTTTAATCTCTGAATTGGTGATTTTTTTATTTGGACTGTAAACTTTTACAAGTTGCATAGCTCTGGCTTTCAAGCCATATGAGAACAATCTTTTGTAGGTTGTAAGTAATGTCAGCCTGGTTACATGACTGACTATATTTGAGTTGCTGGTCTTGCCAGAATTTTGGCACTGGACTGTTTGGAAGGATGTGTAGATATGTTTGAAAGTGTTTTTGACGTTTGGGCTGTTTTGAAAATATTAAATTGTTGAACATAAAATGTGTTTGATGTGATGTAAATATGTGTCAGACGTAAAGTTTGAAATAGAGAATAGGTTTTTAAATGAAACTTAGGGTTTAAATATGATATTTTTAGAGAGAAATTTTAATGAATAGTGTGAAGACAAAGATCAAAACAAAAGTAAAAACTAAACAGAACTGAGGTCATTCAGTGATGTTAAGTGGTAAAAGTTTCGGGAAGTGTTTTGGAGTTTTAGAAATAATAAAAAGTTGAATAAAAACAGGTTTTTTGATTTAATGTAAATATAGGTGTTGGATGTGATATTTTGATTAGATAATATGCTTTTTATGCAATATTTAAAATGAAATATTGGTTCCGAATATGATATTTTTATTAAAGAAAATTCTAATGAATAGCGCAAAAACGAAGTTGAAAACAGAATTATGACAAAGCTGAAGTCAGTGAGTGATGTTAAACGGTAAGATGTTTTTAACAGTAATGGATAGACATGTTTTTGTACCTTGGAAAAATTATAGTGCATTTTGATTTAGTTGGCTAGATGATAATCATTCAACATAAACTAGATGTGAGTGTGACAGAGGGTTTTACTCATGCATTATATCTTAGTTGACATAAGTATATGGTATATTCATGCAATCTGACAGTTAACATCACCAATTAACTTTTGGCATTCACAATACGACTTATTACTAATAAGTCTGTTAATGGATACTTTTCATGTTTTGATTTTATTTGTTAGCCAATTAGGATATATTTTCTGTATTTTGTAGTGCAAACAGAGGATCACACCGTCCGATTATGAATCTTCATGAAAGAAGCTTAAGTGTTTTGGCGTGCCGATATGTAGATGAGGTTATAATTGGTGCACCATGGGAAGTGTCGAAAGATATGGTGAGATTACATTGTCAATTTTTTCATGTTAATTTTTTGTAAAATTTTATGGAATTTAACATGTTTTATAATTATTTAAAATGGATATTAATTAAACAGACATTGAATGTGGCAACTATCATGGTCATGATCTTTCTAACCTGGCTTAATTTTGCGCCCTACCTTAAATTTCAGCCTTTTTGTTGGATCTGGTTTTATTTTTTTGCCATTATTCTGAATTCACCTCTAATCAGTACGTTAAAGGCATTCAAAAATGTGTTTAAGAAAACATTTTGGAAAAGTAAGGTGATTTGATTGATAGATTTTAGCTATAATGATCTAGGAAGATAGTTGAACCCCTTACCAAGTCCACTCTAGGTAGGGGGCCTATCAACCGAAATATATAGATGCAATATTAGATAAGGTGTTCATATTGGTAGAGCAATATAGACATGAAAATTAGGGAATCTCCAGCAAAATAAAAGCATGTTTATTTTTCTTCTATTTTTTTCTTGAAAATTAATCTGTTTACTTCTTATTATTATTATTTTTACATCAGCTTTACACCACCAATTGAATACTTTGAATTTATTAAATTGAGATTATCATTCAAATGTTTCAATTAATTACTGTATTTTATTATTAATAGAGTGACTAACATTTTACTGAAACAAAATTTAGTATTAATATTATTGAAAATTATTTCTGTCATTGATGTCTCAAGAACTGTTTAACTGTTTACAAATCGGTATCACATAGTGTTTTTTCTAATCAATTATCTATTTATTTTCATAGGCAAATTAAAGGACTAGAAGTACAAGGGCCTTTATTTTCGATTTTGCCTAGGGCTATGAAACGCCAGTTATACTCTGCAAACACCCATAGCAAAAGGAAGTAGTTATTTAACTTTTGCATTTTTGATGTCTAAATGTTTTGGAGTATTGTGGTCGATTGACTCCATGCATAGGGTCAGATACAAGATGTCAAGATTGACTGCTGCCTGACTTGTATCCATGAAATTTACTGCCACAAGGGTTTAGTTGCTTGTACCATTAGTTTAGCCTTGTCACGTTCAGTGTATATTGTTATCATTTTTTAATGTATTTCAGTATGTTTGCCTTTTGGGTTGCAGATTACTACCTTCAACATCTCTTTGGTTGTGCATGGAACTGTGGCTGAGGACAACGATTTCCTTAAGGTATTAATCTTTCTTTTTCTTTTTTGTTTATTTGGTTTTGTTTCATTGTAGTTTCTGAGATATGAATCCTTGTTTCATCCCCTGCTGTCCAATGGGCTAATATGTAGGAAAAGCAGAATCCTTATGCTGTTCCAATTGACCTCGGTATCTTTAAGCTGTTGGAAAGCCCTCTTGATATTACGACTAGCACAATAATCAGAAGGATTGTTTCAAATCATGAGGCGTACCAGGTTTTCTTGCATGCCTTGCTATTTGAAAGTGCATAAAAAACCAGTGTTCATTTTTCTTCTGTACATTGATTTCAACTTGACATCACTGCATTCTGCACTGAATAGTCCATTTCCTTCTCCCTGTGATAACTCCATGACAGAAAAGAAATGAGAAGAAGTCTGAAAGTGAGAGAAGGTATTATGAAGATAAAACTTACGTGGCAGGCGATTGACTGATTCAAGAGTGTTGGAGGTACAAGCATGCAATTCTTTTTCTTTGTTCCCCTGCCCCCTCCCCCCAAAAAAAAAAAAAAAAAAAATTTATATGGAGTTTGGTGTTTATTTACTTCACTCAGACTACAGATGATTTGGTTCCTGGATTTACCTTTTAACGAGCATGCTAGGTTAATCAGCTGACTAGGTTACCCGATGCTTCTTTTCTTTCTGTTCTACCCTTTCTTGGTCATCATATCTAGGTTTTGGGTAAAAGTTGTATACATTGTTGTGATGTAAGTAGAGCATACGTCTGCTGATGTAGCTGCCGCTTCCTAACCCCTAAACCATAACCACGTGCTGCCTCTCACCATTTTGACAGTTGTACAAGTGATTTGCAGATCTATCGAAAGGTACTTAGTGCCCAATTCGGGCACCTCTTCATCATCTTTAGTTGCCCAGGATGTTTGGTTAGCTCAAATTCATTCAAAGGCAAGCAAATTTTAAATTCATATTAAATCCCACAAAATATAGATTTTTGTAGTAGAAATTTCATTTGTTAGAAAATAATTAAAATTTTGCCGGTAAGCCGAGTTGAGACCAAATCGTGTCTCTGGTAGTGCATTCGCTTGTATGCGTAATATTTTAATGGAATGAGAAAACCATTTAAAATGAATGGTAGGAGTACAATTGTGATATTTTGATATCAGGTAAATCACATGTGCAAAAGTAGTTGTAAGTTGGATTTAAAAAAAATTATATAATAAATATTAATTGATAAGACAATATATATAGAGGTGAAAGAAATTTATTACTTTATTAGTTGTTCAAATTGATATTTCTTTCTTAGATTATCATTAAAAAATGTAGTATTTGTTTTCTAGTAAAAACTATATAATTTTTTATACATTTTTACAATAACAGAACTTCAAAATAAAATATATATTATGAACTTATTCTTTTACTATTCTAAATTAGAATTTAGATTGTTAATTTTATACAATTTTTAATAAAAAATATATAATTTATAAAATATCACATTAAATTATTATATAAATATAATTCATATAAAACACCCAATAACTTTTACAATCAAACAAATTTTATATATACAACTATATAAAAAAAATATTGGACCACTAAATTCTTTATTTATGATTTTTTTTTTAAGAAAATTGATTTGATTTTAGTATAAAAGTAATATTTAATAAAATATTTTATGAAAAAAAATAATAATAACATTTAAAAATATTTTGCTAAAAAATATATATTCATATTTATATTTAGTGTTACAGACTTACAGTAAGTATAGAAGTTTCAGTCGAGATTTTTGATGTCATCATCGTCTCGGGAAGGGTAGGGCAGCTGCTCTGGCTCTGGCGTTTCTCCTTTTGCCTCTGCTATCTGATTTCTTTCTGCTTCCATAGTGAGAAGGTCTCCCTATTTACGTCCCTAAACCTAGCCATTCCCTTATTTGTCACGAAGAAATGAAAAAGAATAAGACAAATATTAATAAAAGCGTTAACTTGTAAAAGCGTAAAAGCGTTTCTTTTTAATTTCTAATTTTGCAATTTAGGATTGTATAAATATCTATATTGAACCAATTTTGGGGACAACAAAAAATCTAATCGAATTACATGTCTTTTTGTTCTCCAATCTTTCTGATCTCTCGCGCGCTTATGCCGGAGATGTGACAATTTGGTATCAGAGCTAGATTTCGCTGCTCTCTCTCTAGATGATGCGATCCCAAACACAAAGGCTGGACGTTTTGGAACAGCAAATAACAGAGGTTGTAGACGGCCAAACTGCTATAATCCAAGGTCAGATTCAAATGGAAGGTAGGCTGGAATCTAAGCTAGATGCGAAGTTGGAGAGTCTTGGAGATTTGTTGAAGACTCAATTTCGGAATTTCATGAAGGAACAACAAGCTGGACCTTCATTTAGAGGTAAAGAGCCTCTAGATCCTCATATTTCAAATATTGCTCTCAACTCTGGTGTTAAACCTAAGGAAGGAAGGGGAATACTGTCTCCAACTCCCTTGACTAATGAAGCTCACTCCACTTTGCATAATAATAAATTACGATTGGGTTTTCCAAAATTTAATGGAGATAACCCCAGGCTGTGGCTTAGGAAGTGCACTAGGTATTTTGCTTACAATCCAGTGTCTGATTATGACAAACTCAGCCTTGTTGCTATGAATTTGGAAGGAATAGCTGATAGTTGGTTTGTGGACTATATTGAGGAGGATATCAATTTGTCATGGACTGAATTCTCTGCATTAGTGTTGGAAAGGTTTCTGAATCCTGCTGGAGGAAGTCTAGTTGCTCAATTTAATAAGTTGAGGCAAAACACCACTGTGCAGAATTATGTCCAGGAGTTTGAAGAAATGAGAGCCTTATTAAGGGAGGATAATAAAGCTTTGAGGAAAAATTGTAGAAAGCTTCATTAGCGGATTAAGGGAGGAGTTTGGAAAGTTCGTGACAATGCAGAAGCCTAACACTTTGAGGAATGCTATTCAATTGCCGATCCAAAGTGAGGATATTGTGAATCTTCTCACTAACGGACAAAGAGGATTGAACAGGGGTAGCAGCCATCAACCAACAGTTCCGTTAACTAAAATTGGTTCAGATGTTGCTAAACCAAAATTACCTCCTATTAGAAGGCTGTCCCCCGAGAAAATGAAGGCTAGAAGAGAAAAAAATTTGTGTTTCAATTGTGATGAGGTGTTCCATATAGGACACAAGTGCAAAAGAGTATATTTGATCATGGGAGAAGAGGATGGGGAAAGTGAGACCGACATTGGAACTTTGGAATTGGGAGAATGCCAAGGGGTGGAGGAACCCCAAATTTCTTTGAATGCTATGGCTGGTCAGGTCCCTTTCAACACCATTAAGTTGTTAGGAAAGTCCAACAACTATGAACTGGTTATTTTGCTAGACTCAGGCAGCACTCACACTTTTTTGGACCAAAAAACAGCCTCAAAGTTGGGGTGCATAGTGGAGTTTACTAATCCTTGGTTGATAACCATTGCCGATGGGAACAAGGTGGAATGCAGATCTAAGTGCCCTATGTTTGCCTGGAAAATGGGGGGCCACAAGTTCAGTGCTCCTGTGAGATTGTTGAAATAGGGGGGCTGTGACATGGTTATTGGAGTGGACCTGCTAAGTCAGTTTGGAAAGGTGACCATGGATTTTGCAGAGCATACAGTTCAGTTTTGTTTTAAAGGGAATATGGTTAAACTCCAAGGAATCCAGCCTGGGATTGCATTAAGCATGCTAACTATGAACCAATTTAGTAGGGAGCTGGAAATGGAAAACACTGGGGGTTTTTTATGCATTATTTCTGAGCAAACAGCAGTGGAGGCATCTATTTGTGATACTGAAATTGCGACATTGCTTCAAGAGTATCAACATCTATTTGAAGTCCCTGTTGGTTTACCCCATAAGAGAAGCATGGGCCATAGAATTTCCATCAAGCCTAATATAGGACCTATTAAGCAACATGCTTATAGGTATCCTATGATTCAAAGGAGGGAGATTGAAAAATTGGTGGATGAGATGTTGCAAACAGGGGTAATTAGACCCAATAACAACCCCTATTCCTCGCTTGTGCTATTAGTTAAAAAGAAGGATGGCTCATGGAGGTTTTGCATTGATTATAGGAAACTCAATGCAACTACAATTAAAGATAGCTACCCGATTCTCTTGGTAGATGATTTATTGGATGAGCTAGGGGGAGCAACTATCTTTTCAAAGATAGAACTAAGGGCTGGATACCACCAAATTAGAATGCATGAAGAGGATATCCCAAAAACAACATTTGTAACTGCCTCCGGCCTATATGAGTTTGTTGTGATGCCTTTTGGCCTCACAAATGCACCAGCTACTTTTCAAGCAGTTATGAATCAAATTTTTAAGTTTCACTTAAGAAATTTCATCATGGTTTTCTTTGATGATATACTTATCTACAGCTTGAACATGGCAGAACACTTGAGAATAGTGTTTAATATTCTATCTCAGCATACTTTATTTGCAAAAAAATCGAAGTGCAGTTTTGGAAGAAGAAAGGTTGAGTATTTAGGAGAGTGGAAGAGTGCGGAAGGATAAGTCTAAGGTTCAAGCAATACTGGACTGGCCGACCCCATATAATGTTAAGGCTTTAAGAGGATTCTTAGGCCTCACGGGATACTACAGAAAATTCATTCAACATTATGGAACAATTGCTAAGGCCATAACTGATCTTACAAAAAAGGGGAGGTTTGTGTGGTCTCCAGAGGCTGAGACTGCCTTCCAAATTCTTAAAAATGCAATGACTACAGCTCCGGTTATGGCCTTATCTGATTTCACTAAACCTTTTGTTGTTGAGACTGATGCATCTTACAAGGGCTTAAGAGCTATTCTCATGCAGGGCCAACACCCATTGGCATTCCTAAACAAGGCTTTAGGCCCTAAAAGTTTGGGGTTATCAATTTAGCATCAAGGGTTTAGGGTTTGGGGTTTGGGGTTTAGGGTCTAGGGGTATGGGTTTAGGGTTAGGGGTTAGGGGTTAGGGGGTAGGGTTTGGGGTTTGGGGTTTTAGGGGTTTTAGGGTTTGGGATTTTGGGTTTGGGGTTTGGGTTAGGGCTTGGGGCTTGGGGCTTGGGGTTCGGGGTTCGGGGGTTCGAGGTTCGGGGTTCGGGGGTCGGGGGTCGGGGTTTGGGGGTCAGGGTTTAGGGTTTAGGGTTTTTTTTTTTTTTTTTTTTTTTTTTGGCTGGGCTCAAAGAGCTGCCTACGTACCCCAACGGGATCAAGCCATACGTAGTTCTGCAAAGTTCGGTACAAGTGCTGCAAATGTAAATAAAGATTGTAAGCAAATAAAAGCTAACGGAAGCGAAAGCACGGGAGGCCCGCCGCGTCAGCATGGATGAGGCCACGGGTCCTCGCTGGGATGTCCGCCGGCTCAAGTATCCGCATATGAGGAAGGGCAACAGAGGTGTTCGCCAAGTTGTCCGCCACTTTATTGCCCTCGCGGAATATATGAGAGATCCTCCACTCGATGCTGCGAAGCTGTAGGCGCAGGTGGTGGAGACAAGGCTGGAGAGTCCAGTGTCCCGTCGAGGAGGAGATGAGAGAGATACTGCTGGCCGAGTCCATCTCGATCCAGAGAGGGATGAGGGTTGGGGTTCGGGGTTAGGGTTTAGGGTTGAGGGTTGGGGTTCGGGGTTCGGGGTTAGGGTTTAGGGTTTAGGGTTTAGGGTTTAGGGTTCAGGATTCAGGGTTCAGGGTTTGGGGTTCGGGGTTCGGAATTCGGGGTTCGGGTTCGGGTTCAGGGTTAGGGTTTTTTTTTTTTTTTTTTTTTTTTTTAAAAAAAAAAAACTATATAGCAGTGGCTGAACCCAAGGTGGGCTGCCTACGTACCCGAACGGGAATAAGCCATACGTAGTTCTAAGTAGAGCTACATAGTCCAAG